CGAACACACACAGATACTGTATCTACACCTGTACCCGGGTCCTCAGCGTTTTGGGATGGTTGATTGAACTCACAGATACATACGAAGACAGACAAGCTGTCAGATTGGACGGGACGCTGGGATTCCACTTGATTGATGATGGATCAGGATGTCTGTGCTCATGTCCTCCTGCCTCTTCCCTCTCCGATTTCCTATCTTTTTCCAAAGTTGTGTTACCTAATTAGCAGGTTTTTTCTTCGTTTTTTTGGCTCGTAAGCTAACGAGCCAAATGCCAAATGAATGTCAGCCTGGCGAAAAAGCACCATGGTAATGGAAAATTAGACAGTCGCTATTGACAATTAGTAGCCGCTGGCAGACTGCTTGTTTACTCATAAAATGGGCTTGTTATGCTATGGCTATGAGTGTCTTAATTTCCCCCCCAACACGTCGAATTTATTAATTAATTTATCGCCGTGGTAATTAAGTTATCACCAATTCCAAAGCAGCCAGAAAAAGACACACATAAATTAATTCGTTTTTAAATTTGGTAATTCGCCCCGACAGATGTGGGGCGAGTGGATACGGAGACCGTTTGAAAGTCGTAAAATGCATTTGGGGGATAATCCGAAAACCGAAACGAATGTGTAGGTTGTGTTGGCCACAAAAGCTTTTCCATTTAAAAGTTAATAATCCAATTGACAGGCTGTGGCCACTGTCTAAATACATATATTCATTTTTCACATGAGAAACGTCAGCAAAGAGCTGCAGCATATGCCTCATAAAGCTTCTTAAAAGCGGCCTTTTATCGCTTAACCACAGATCGATGGCCCCTTTTTAATCGAACATCGATTTGCACACTCCTTTATTTGCCAGCAATTGCAATCGCCATAAAATATGAGTTTCGAGCGCTCCTGAATTTAAATGAACTCACCCAGCTATCAGGCTTAACGGATTCCAGTCAGACAAATTACGTTTTTGGCTCATTAAAATGATCTCAGTGCTGTAGAATGGAAAAAAAAAATAAAGAAATGGCACTACGTGCCGAAAATAAAAGTCAGCCTCTGCTGCTACAAAAACATACACACGGACGCACTTATAAATCCGCAAAGCAATCAGATGAAATTTATGAAATTCTTCTTGCCGGGTAATTCATTTCAGGTCCTTCGTTTGTGTATGTTCCATGGCCATGGCCTGTGTGGTGTGGTTTTGCCAATGAATTTATTTTGCTTTATTTTATTACTTTCTTTTAGTTTGCCGCACAGTCCACACACACTTCGGTGGACTCTTGGGCTCTTGTGATATTTTTAATAGCATTTTTTTCCCCACCACCGCTGCCCGAGGAATGTGGCTGCCCGGCAACGCACATCGATGAAATGGCTGGAATCACAAATAAAACAATGTGGGGTAAGCCGAGGAAGCTGGGGCTGTTGGGCTGTTGGGCTGCTGGGATGGCTGCTGGGGGCGTGTCAGCGTGGCACACGACAAATAAATTTGTCAACAAATGTGGCGTCCGATGTGTGGTGGTGGGGCGAGGGAAACGACAAACCAGAAGGGGATCCCTTGCCAGCAGGACACGAGTAATGATGACAGTTGGGCATTAATTTTTGTTCACTAATTAATAAATGTTGCTGTTGTTGTGGCGGTGTCGGTTTGGCGGCTCCTCCGCTGATATCTGCTGTGCAGCGAAATGGTTTATTGGCCTATTAGCGCAGCATTTAAATGGCAATCAAGGCGTGGTGGTGGCCAGGTAAGCCAAAAGTCACGCAAGTCACAAATTGCGGGCCAAAACACAACAAACCTGGCTAACGACTAACGACCAAACACACAGCCGGAATGGCCGGCCAAGGAGCATAAACAAAAATGTCCCTGGCAAATTGAAAACGGAAAGGAAATCAATTGATGTGTGTGGCGACAATCGATACGGGGATACAGGATGCCCAGCTAGGTGTGGTGCGGCGGTGTGGTGTGAGCTTCGACGAGGTGGTGGGTCGCTCGGTTGGTTGCTTTCTGTCTGGTGGGCTCTGGTGTGGTCCGAATCCACACAAGCCTCTGTGGGCACGCTTGAAGGACCCGGCAATATAGGAGGTTTTTGTCATTGCCTCAATTTTGACACGCCCTAAACAACCACAGAAGCACTGAGAAAAATTACCAAATATTAGGGATTATAAACTAAAAAAAAAAATATTAAATTTTTTAAATAAATCTACTAAATAAGAAAAGTTTCTCTAGAAACTCTAGAACTCTTAGTAAGCCCTCCTCTATTTTCTTTCAGTGCCAACAAAAAAAATCCTGCAAGGGATGGCAGGTGCTACATGGCATATGCAGGAAAATGCCGGGAATCAGGAGAGCATAGCTGATATATGGAGTATATCCAGTCAGTGTTATCCCCGGCAACGTGATTGAAATTTATGACTGGCAAATAAACGCAACAGACACACACTCGGGGATCGGGGATGGGTCTGTGACTGGGAGTGTTGCTGGAGAGCTACCCCGAATCGTGAGTTGAATTCCTAGACCTTCCTGTTGGATAGTAGGGTGTGGGAGTAGGAGGTCCTGTGAGAAATTGCACTGAATAAAAAGCACTTGTACGCATTAAAACCTAATTGGGAATTTCCATAGTTCATATGCCATTTTCCCTGCCTGGTTGCCGTCTGAGTAAGTGAGTCAGTGAGTGGTATGTAGTACGTGTGATGTATGAGTACATACCGGGTAGTATCTGCGGGTAGGTACACATATGCAGCTGTCCATGTTTCTGGTTCTGTTCCTGGTGCTCGTTTTAGAGTCCTTTCGATGTGTCTCTGTGGCATGTTCTACATATTTTGGCTTTGCAAAATGTCACACGCAGGCAACGATGCTCGCTCCTGATGCTGCTGATGCTACCACTGCCGCTGCTAAAGTGGATTTTGCGCTTGGCTATGATAAATTGAGGGTTTTCAGCTGGACAACGAGAGTGGCAGGAGACTGAACTGGACCAGGGACCAGGGACCAGGAACCAGGGACCTAGGATACCGTGTATCGTTACCTAAACTCCTATGCTTCAACCCCTAGCCACCCCGTACGGCTACGGCGGATGCAGCTTCGCAACTGAAGGATGCGAGGAGATGAGAAGTGGCCAAATGTCATTTGCAGTTTGACAAGCCCAGCCAACCATGGCTCTATGTTTGTGGCCCTGTCTGTACCGTGGGAACCATCATCATAAATTTCAAATGTCCAGAATTAGGATGCTCATAAAAAATGAAATATTTAGAATGCAAAGCAGGAAACTTTAAGTTGGCTTTTCCAGCATTTCCCCAAAAGGGAAGTCTCTTTTCCCTTTTGTGTGGTTTGCTTTTCAAAACTTCATAGTTTTCTCTGTTTAATGTTGTTTCTCTTTTCAGGATTTTTGTGTTTTTAAACCACTGTTCAGAATAACCCTCACAGACTAATTTTATCAATTTTCGAAAAACTACACAACTGGGGGAAAACGTCGATGAGCCCAAGAACTAATCGACTTAATCGGAATGCGGCAGTCCCTGGAAAACTCTGTGCCAGCAACTGCAATGTCCTTGACATCCCGGTGGGGCTTGAATCCTGGTAGGGCTGGCAGGACAGCTGTATCAGCCTGCGATGATGACTTTGCCGCATCGTCTACGCCTCAGATAAGAAAGTGACAAGTCCTGCCACCGGCCCGCAGCTGCTTTGATTTATTGTGCGAGGCTTTAAGTTGTGAAAAGGCTGTCTTATCGCCAGGCTCCTTTGGCTTTTTGTTTTGTTGTTTTTTCCTGGCAGTGTGGGTGTGGCTGGGGTGGGTGTGCTGCTGGAGAAATTTATTTATATGCAGTGACTTTGAAAAGAAAGTTCGACCGTTGCCAGGCGAAGCAAACTTTCGACCTGCGAGCGCATCGATTATAAAACTTTTTGTCCTATCTCGTCTGGGGGATAGCTCTTGGCCGGAATTGGCAAAGTTGTTAAATAATTGCGCCCGGCATTTACTGGCCCGTATGCTTCTCGTCATATGCTCGCCCCCCCAACCCCCCAAATGCCAGTCGAATGCATGAGGACCCAGAATCAGCGCGGGATTAGCCCCAAACTTTGTCCGGCAGCTTAGCGGGTGAGTTAATTGTGCGAATGTCAAGACAAATTGCGTTAATACGACCAGACTGGCAAATGGCAGAAGCTATATTATATTGCCAGTTTCCAGATCCCAGATCTCCCGGCTTTCAGTTCCCATTTCCCAGCAGATCTCCCAACTCCCATCTACCAGTTCCCAGAGAAAGGTCAGGGGCGCAGAGATGCGCAGCATGAGTGTCGCAAAAGTTTTCAAAAAGTATTTTAAGCGAAATTTATGCAAACCACAAGGCAAACTGGCAGCAAGGATCCTCCTCGATTCGTCCGTGTGTGAGGGTCCTTATTTATGCAAGTATATGTGTGTGAGTGCCGGGAAGTGCTCTGCTAATCCCTGAGTAATCAAAGTTTCGGTAATGTCACCAGAGACAAGCAGCCAAGGAGGGGAAAGGGGGCACTGCCAGGAAAAAAGCTGCCAGAAAAATTGGGAAAATTGAAGCAACATACTCGGGACACTCACAAAGGAGGGCAAGTCCGCCACCTTGTCCGCCTCCCTTCTGGCTTTTTGCCCCAGCGAATGTTTTTCCGGGGCGACTGGGAAAACACTTTTCCAATTAATGAAATCTCTAAACTGCCATAAATTTTGGCCCGGACGCAAATAATTAAATTTCGTGGCCCACACGCAACACCACCCCGACACAATAAGCTCACACAGACAATGACTTGTTGACTTACGGTTGTGTGGGTATAGCCGCGTGGGTGTGTGTGTGTTAGCGTGTTTATGCGGCTGGATCTGACATTTCTGACCAATTTCGAATTGACCGCAATATGGGCCGTTGTTCAGGGCCAACAAAGGGGTCCTCCAATTGACAGGATTCGCCAATAAGAGGAAACGCAAGGGTGTGTCTATCAGATAACATGAACAGGACTAAGGACCAATCCCGACCTATTAAATCCAGAATAAGAGTTCAACTCACCTGCTTGACACTGACAACTGCCGTTGCCACCTTCGCCGCTGGCCGCCGCCGCTGCTGCCGCCTCGGCCGCCTGGCGACGCTGCTGGCGCCGCGTGAGCTGCAAGTGCGACACATCCCGCCGTAGTCTATGGAGTTCGCGCCGCACATGCAACGCCAGATGCTGCTGGCTTCCATTGCCGCTGGCGCTGTCGCCGGTCGCACTGTCGCTGGCCAGGATCTGCGCCTGGTCCGTGGGCCAGTGCAGGAGCTGCTGCTGCTCTAGCCGGAGCTCCAGCTCCACAATCCGGGCGTCCAGTTGCTGGAGGCGCTGCATCCGCTGCTCCAGCCGCGTCTGCCGCACGTTGCCGTAGAGCGCGAAACTGAAGGCGCACAGGCACAGCACGTAGCTGGCGACGTGCAACAAGGACACGAACCGGACTGTGGGGCGAGGTCGCTCCTTGCTGCTGCTGTTGATGGGGGGCTGACAAATGGGCGGGGCCAGGCGACTAGCTGCTGCTGATGCTGTTTCGGGTGCACCCGCTGCACTGTGACCCAGGAGCAGGCACTGATGCTGCTGCTGCTCTTGGCTTTCCGTTGAGGGAGATTCTCCGGCTTCTGCCTTTACCGCTGCTCCTGATTCTTCTCGCGCTCCTGCTGTTGAACTGTCCTGGGGCATTGTCCTTGGACTGCCGCTGGGCGGCGCTTTGTGCTTGCGCATCCTGCTGCTGCGTCTTAGATGGAAATGGAAGGCTGTCCCCGAACAAACGAACGAAATTCGCGTATGTTGCTGTCACTTGAAGTGTCCTTGTGTCCTTGTGGCATCACAGAAAAAAGCACAAAAAATAAAGACACATATGCTGCTGATGCTGCTCCTGCTCCTGGTGCTGCTGTTGCTGATGCTGCTCTCTTATTTTTTATGTTTTTCCGATTTTCGAGTGATTTTCTATTCGGTTGCTGTATTTGGCAAGTACATTGCGCCCCTTTGCTGCTGCAATTTTCTGGGGGCCATGGAAGAGACCCGAATCGATGGGAAAAACAACGTACAAGTTGTGTGCCGGTTGTGCCACTTGAGCTGGAAGTCCTCGTAGCCAGTAGCCTGGGCTTTTGTTTTTGTCCTGTCAATCGTCGCAGTGGCAGCTGCTTGTCGTCGAGTCCTCTGTTCCTTGGTTCGCACTTGTCCTTTCAGGGCTCTTCACATTGCAACTTATTTAGCTTTGCGTTCACTTTTCAACTGCAACGACACAGAAAAAAAGAAGAAAAGTGAAAAAAGTTGGGAAAGAAACTTTATTTTTTTAGGAGGTGCTATACAGATTTTTTTGTCCCAACCCCAACCAGGCGATCGTGGGCCAGGAATTATGTGCGAACTGGACCGTCGGCGGTGTCGCCACATTTTCAATAATCAGCCAGGCTCGGCGACGGTTACGGTGACGAAGGCATGCTCGCTAACTTGCCTCGGAAGTTCAACCAGCCGTGCCCAAGCCGTAGCCAGGACAACGACACAAGGAGAAATAGATGGTTTCATTACATAATTGTGGATGTTGCTTCCCCCTCAGGGATTATCAAGTATTTCTCTCAGTGCCCGAGGTACTCGTAAGACTCGGGGGCCAGCCAAACTTTTTCGCACAAAACTTTTTTCTAGCTCAAGTAGCAGTAACAGCCACTGACAAATACAAAAAAATAAAAATAAAAGAAAAGAGGGCCAAAACAAGAAGCAAATAAAAAACCTCTAAAAAGCAGCAACAAGATGCCCGAGCAGGGAAACCAGGGGGAGTACGAGTACAAGTATTTGACCCATAGACTTGTCGTGTCAAAAACATTTGTTGCCTTCAACTCTGCCCCAAAAAAAACAGCAAGGTGGCGGGGGGTTCGGCAATACAAAAGTCATAAAGTGGAAATTATAGCAACGGGAAAAGCCCTTCGAGTTCGAGGGGGAGGGAACAACGAAGCTGAAATGCCCTTTAGAGGAATGAAATGTGCTTGAGAACTTTTTACAAGTTTCCAGAAACAAAAAACAATACTTAAAAAAGTATCAGAAACTTGACCAATATGGGTGCGATTCTAGCTAAAAGTTTAGCACAAAAACATAAAGTTTAAAACTATTACTAAAGAATAATTAAATAGATTACCTAATGAATGGTTACAAAATGCCAGTCGTGTAATTTATAAATTCTATAATTTAATAAAGCCAATATTTCGGGAGGTCAAGTGGAGAATTTTCCCGTTTTGCTGACTCATTATGCGGCCCATAATTGCCGATTAAACTTTCACACAAACACACTCATTCATGGCACTCATAGCACCTATTTGTGTATAATCCAAATTCTACTTATTTTCGGTGCGTTGGCGTTGCGCAATCAAGCGCATAACAACCAAAATAACAATAAGCCGGGATCCAATAAAGCTCAAAAAACAATCGCACGCCTCACACTTCCAATGGAGGGGGGGAGCTAAAATTTCAGCACCGCTGAGCCGCAACCACAAAACGAAAAATGGCGCTCTAACCCGAAAAAAAAGCATAAAAGTCAAAAGGCCAATATCAAACAGAAGCAGGCCGGGAACAACAATGAACCCCCCCACTTCCCGTTCAATGTCGAATTTAGAGAGTCAATGGAATGTTTGGAACACCCTAATAAAACTAATTGAAAGTCTTGTGCGCTCCGGAGCCAATAATGGCAAATGAAGAAGACGAAGACTCCAACGAGGATGATCATGATGATGATGATGATGATGACGCCGTCGTCCAAGCACACAACAATAACAAGTGCAGGGCATGGGACTGGGTACTGGGGGGGAGAATCATGCTTTTAATTTAACAAATAAGAGCATGTGTGGAGCTGACTTTTGCGCTGACACTGCAATTGGCTGGATACAGTACCCCGGCGTATCGATTTCGACTTTGCACAGCCAAAGGTTAATGCTTATGGAGAGCTGGGAGGGCCCCACAAGCCAATCTTGGGGGCCAGCTAACTCAATATAATATAAATTGATTTCAAATTTCAGCAGCTTGGTGCAGCTTTTGTCAATTACAGGGGAAGTCCAATGACTCGGAGAGTCGTCGGACTCGGTCAGGCAGCGCAACAAAGTATGCTATGAATTTTTGCCTCAATCACCAGCGAAAATTGAATTAAATCGATCAGGATGTGTGTGGGTGTGTTTGGGTGGGAGTGTGAATGGAGAGTGAGAGTGTGTGTTCAGGAGTAGCTTTTTGTGAAGCCACTTAGCAACATGGTGTGTGCGTGAGTCCAGCTGGCAATTGAAAAATTTGATTTGGAATTGAAATGCAAATCAAGCCAGAATTGAATGGCATTAGCCGGACGCTTGTCGGACCGACCCGGTCCCGAATCCTGGCCAAGAGGCAAAAGCTTTCTAAGCCAGCACAATGTAGACCAAAGTGCCAAGCACACACACACGTCCTTACAGAGAGAAAAAAATTCGATGGAAAATCCATTTTCTTGCTCTTATTTTGTAGCCTCGATAGCAGCATTTTTTTGCCATGCATATGGTTGGCCCAGTTTATAGCCAATGGCTGTAAAAAGCTCAATTGCAATGCATTCAAAGGGATTATTGTCCTTATTTATTTTGCTAAATTTATTCGTTACGCACAAATGCGCCACGAACCCAAGAACCCGAACTCGAACCAGGGTCGAATCCAAGCCATACCCAAATACCCAGGAACGTGGCCGAATAAAAACATGAACATGAAGCCAAACAGCAAATGGCACACAAAAGCGGGCTCACAAGGGCCAAAATCAAAGCAAATAAACAATAAAAATAATCGTGGCCGTTAGTAACACATGTGCATTTTTCATCATCAACACCACGGCCGCCAGAGCCTTTGCCACCGCCGCCGCCAACATCATCATCATCATCAGAAATGTTTGTAGTAAGTAGTAGCTCCAGTTGTTGTTCGGTTGCTCCTGCCGCTGGCCGTATCAAACAACTTTGTTGCTGCCACTACAAAAGTAAACAGTGGTAGCAACAAGAAAAAAAAATAACAGAGAAAAACAGCCACAGCAGCCGTGGCAGCTTCGTCTGGGGCTTGGGCGAGGCAATAAATAGTTGTCGTGCCATAAGAAAAATGCAAGAAGTGTTTAAGTTTTCCCCTTCACTCCATGGTCGGTCGAAGTATGCTTTTTTTTGGCAGCCAGGACCCGGAACCTCCCACTCCCAGCTCCCACCGTCCGGCAACCCCTTTTTCCGAGTGTTAAGCGTCATTTCCTCTCTCACTCCATACTTATTTTTTTTTCTCCCTGCTGCTCCATCATTTAAATTGAAAAATATAGAGGAAACTGAAGTGGAAGTTCCTTGAAGTTAACTGAAACGGGGCGAGGATGGGCCGGGGTGAGAGCGAGGAAATGGCGCTGCTGGAATGAATTGGGAAACTTTCGATTTTGGGGGACAGCTTCCGAAGAAAGTCTTGAGCCATTTCAATTTTGATTAAGGACTCGCTAGAGTAACCCAGAAAAGAAGTTGCAGTCGAACGGATAAAGGGTGCAGAGGAGTGGCTGACAGTATTTGGATTCTTGGGATTTCCCTTAAAAAATCCTATAAAAAAAATCATAAACATATCCTGGCTAATTTCCACTTTCATGTCCATCCTGTTTAGGATTAAGTGATGCGAGTCCATGCTGGCGTTGGCTTTAATGTCCGTAACATAACACTTGTGTGTATGTCGTTTGTTATTTCCCTATAATTTTTACAGCTTGTTCTCCTCATGTAGATGCGGTTCGTACCATAGTTCTCCCAAAAGTTTAGGACTTTCTTTTTATGTTTCTCCTTCAGGCAGGTTGCCCCCTACACACATCCCCAGACAAACTATTAGTGCAACTCATTGGCATGCCGGGTTCTTGTCTTCCTTTGCTGTTGTTGTTGTGCTTTTATGAGGGTCTTCTTCCTTTACAGCCGGCCACGCCCCTCCGACGGGGTGGGTGGACGGGTGTGGCTTAAAGCGAGTGTGGGCCAGTATTTCGAAAAGATTTCCAACAGAAGTTGCCCTTGGGAGAAATTACTTAATTTCGGAATTTCAATTTAGCACTTAGACAGGAAACATGGCACTGAGGAGTTGTGGCAGTAAGGAGCCGGGAGCCAGGAGCAAGGACCTCCCAGACTGTGTGTGCGAGTGTGAGTGTCTGGGGCTTGTAAAAATTCAGCTTACACATGCTGTGACTCTTAAAAATTTCCGGAATTTTGGCACGCAATGTTTGCTTTTGTTTACTTGGGAAACCAACTTCCTGCTTCTTTTTTGTTTCTGCTACAAAAACATTACCATTTTTTTCCAAGGAATCTCTTCTATAGGTATTCTATACCTTTTTTTTTGAACCAGATTCCATTTCATTCGATGCCCGTGGAAGCTAGGATGGGGTTCTTCAAAGTCAAGAGGAATTGTAATTAACTTTCAGGCCACACGCTCATTCCGAGTTTTATTAGCTGAAGTGCACAGTAAGAAAATGCGAATTATGTTCACATAAAAAACGGATCTATATGTCTATTAATATCCTCGTTAAAAGCTAACTATCATGGCTCTTTAATAACTACTGCAATTATAATAAAGTTACTTGAAAAACTTCACTGTTTTCATTTGCCACACATGGCAAAGTCACACTTACTCTGGGGGACTCGAAATATTACATAGTGCAACCAGTCCACACCCCCCACGGTTAACCCAATGTATGCCCCGTTGCAACTGCTTTTTTCGCAACTCCTTTGACTCACTGTGTGGCAAGCAAGTGAGTTTGTTAAACAGTGTAAAGTTACACGCAACTAAGCACTTAACTGCACAAAAGCTCAAGCACGGCCAGAGGTGGGCTGGGACAAGGTCCGGCTACGGCAGTAGCAAGTGTGGCAGTGTGGGGTGAAGGAAAAACCACAGACGCGGGCCAACCTTGGACTTGCAACGCTTGACTTTGCGTGCATTTTTATGAATGAGTTGCTCTGACCGGACCGGGTTTGGCTCGGACCTGGGCCTGGGCCAGCAACAAATGTAAATCCGCGACCCCGTTGAAAGGTCGTCCAGAAGACTGACCAAGCCTGCAGGCCCATCGTCTCCTCCCCTCCTTCTTTTTGTTGCAGACCCGAGGAACATAAAACGACGTCCAGACGGGTTGCTAAAGAGCTGTGGCATGTAAACAGACACAGCTGGACATTCAACGTGGGTCTCCGTCTGGCCTCCTCTACTACGGCCTCCTCTTTCTACCTCTTTCTAGGAGAGTGGGCGACTCTCGTCCTCTGGGTGGCTTTGTCATGTTGTGGCCAAGGCGGGTCAAAGGCTGCGAGCAGTTGGCCATCAATTGTGCTCTGATCTGGCTCGGAAGGCATAGAAAAGCGCTTAACTTCTGCTCTGGTGGCGCACAAGTTGCGCCTGGAAGCCGGGACATCTTGCCACATCGTGGGAAATGAACAGCACACAGGAAAACTGGAGTGATAAGCCAGCAGAGTCGATAAATCGGTTAAGATAGAGATGCACTGGGGGAAAAAAAAGGCTTATTTTCCAAGTCTTATTAAACTCTTAAAAAGAGGAAATTCTACGAAATCCAGTTTATCGGGAAAACCTCACAGATCGGGGATATTTTAACCGCCTTGCACTCGGATATGATTCGTAATCCAGGAATTAAAATTGTCACAAAGGGCAGCAGGACGAGCAAAGGGACAAAGGATATGTGGTAAGCCGAACAACCCTGATCTGAATCCATCGAATCCTTGCAATACTTCCCAACGAGGTCTGTTTATAAAGTTTTAGCCTTAACTTCTCTATTTTATTTAAAAGTTAAATATCAAAGAAATAAAAAATAATAATAATAAAGAAAATAAATCTTGACAGATTTTTCTCTTGAAAATATCCTTTAAAAAAAATGTCACTTTTTATGCTGGCAACCGTCGTGTATGTCCTTGGTTTGTTCCGGCCAAAAGTGCAACTTAACCGCAGTGAAAATCCCCTCCCATCTGCCCCACCTGCCGCCACACACTCGTCCTCCCCCTCGACCAATCTAAATTTTCACATAAGCTTCTGCCAGACTTTTCGGCTTGGCATTTAAGTAATTTGCTGCCAGCAACCTGTGGGCTTCCACCAGCCAGCCAGCTAGCCCGGGTGTCCTTGCCTTTTTTCCTCCTCCTCCTCCTCCTCCACCTCCCCCTGCGTACATCTGCTGTCTCTGTCATTGGTTTGGTAATTTTTCACTGGCTGACAAGATGTCGCCGTTGACGGTGTCGCTGCCGTTTCTGCCGCCACTGCCACTGTTGGCCGGGTCGTGTGTCTGCCGCCCGGACTGTCTCCTTTGCTGCTGTGCTGCATAATTGCTTTGTGGTTAAAGGATTATTTACTTTTTTGCAGCTACGCCCATCCTCTGGGCTCTGGGCAGCCGAGACTGCCTGCTGAGTCACTTAAGGCACAGTTTGTCCTCGTCACTAAGCCGACGGCTTGCGCTGATTTGGGCTTAAATGCATTCAGCTCATTTAAGTTGCACTGCAGCACAAAAAAGCAAGCGAGTTGGCTTATTTCAATACTCTAGACCAGGCAACTTGGCTATTTATGGTTAAATGATAGTAATAGTGGAAAATATATGCTTTTTTTTGCTTAAATCCCCTACAAAAATCCAATATTATTTATCCAATATTATCCAATCCAAAAGGGTATCCAATATTTTGCTAGCTCGCCTAAAATATTTGTTCTCATGTCTTAAATATATTTTTTTATGTTGGTTGGGGACCCCGTACTCAGAGCTGCTGTCTCACAAATTATATAATTAAGTTAAAGTGAGCGGCGGCGGCGGCGGTTGCGGCAGGCAATTTACGGGCAACACCAGCTCCAGCGGCTCCCATCTGGCAGCTCCAACTGGCTATGGCTGTGTCTCTGGTTCTGGATCTGGCTCAGGCTCTGGATATGTGATGGTATAGTACAGGGTATAGGGTGTACGCTAATTTCTTAATTCTCACCTTCCGCTCGCAGGGCGGACGTGGTCGATTCCATTCCCGTGTGAAGGCAGCCCCAAAAATAGCATTTCCGTATTGCCCTGTCTATCATGACTTTTATTGTTGAATGCGAGAACCCTCCTCGGCCACAACCAGTTGTGTGTCCGATTCCCAGTGCCTGCCATGCCCATAGTCCATGCCCTTTTGCGAGCAAGCGAGTCCCGTCCCCCCAGTCGGCTGATTGCTGTTCATTCGCGCGTTAAATGTGACTGGTCGAAGGGAAGTGGATGCTGTTGATGTGGATGCTTTTGAAAACGAAACCCCCTTCACCGAGGGTAGCACCACCTAGCCCAACCCTCCAACCTCCACCCAAGCTGAGTTCAACTATATTTTCCGGGACTATTCTTCGGCTATATCTCGCCCTCCCTCCACTACCGTCTCACTGGGCGTTTTGTGTTCAATTTAGCGTCATAATTTCGTTTATTGCATGGCCTGCGACAGCGTTTCGTTTACTTTCGGTCAGTAGGCAGGCAGCCCTCGCCATCCCGCCATGCCGCCACCCTGCCACTACCACCTCTTCCCCCAACTTGGCTGGGACGACGCTGTCAAGTGTTTTGTTGAGTTCATCAAAATTGTCGCTGGCCAACGATGACATCCACTTAACGCAATTTTCAGTGCTCTCGGGGAGAGCATCACTGCCACCGGCAGCTCCACTCGAGCACCATTCATTCATTGAGTCAAGCCGCTGCTAAGCATCCATTCACTCATTCACTCACTCACTCATTCATTCATTCAGTCAGTCATTTACCCGCTCATTTCACACCATTTGCAGTTACAATTAATGTTTGTTTGCCAGTCTCCCGCATATTGAAATCGCGGAAAAGAACAACAACTTCAAAGAGGCCAGGACCAAAATCTAACCAGTATGGTCTTAACTTAAAGCAGCCGAAAGCTTACATATTTAATAATTGCTCAGCTGAAGTTCATAAAGACGAGGGTCGGCCCCAGGGGGATTCCCCGGCAATGAAAAGGGTCGAGGGATAACGGCAAAAAGCGCAGTCCTCCTCATAAATGAAGGCTTTTGCTACAGAATTTACACCTCAATGCGAGGGGGGCGGCAGAGCCAGCGAGCCTGCCTGCGGCATCTCTGGGATGCCTTTGGCTTTGGCCCAGCTGCGGCATGCCCATAAAGTATCTTGAATATTTCAGCAAGGTGTGTTGTGTTGGATACTTGAGGACCTTTCGCTCTCTGCGCCTCTGTGAGGTGGGGTGTGGGTTCATTAGATTGTCCAGTGCAACTTCATTTGCAGAAGCATAAAAAGGACTACAAATCTTATAGGCGGTTCCGCTGCCAACTACTGGGTATGACTTGACTTGGAAGGCAATGACTATGAAATGTTTGTCGTACTTTTTATTCAAGACTAGTTTAGTATCCCAAGTCTCTTGAATAAGATATTATTTTCTCATAAGGCGCACATGTGACAAGAAACTGAATTTCTATTTCAGCAAGGTCATTTTTTTGCAACTTATGACCATCTTGTATGAACAAAAACAACCCATTTGTTGATATTATTGTATCTTTATAAGATATTAGGCAATATGTAAGACAATTAAAAGACTTAAGAGGTTTTAAATGTTGTTTACAAAATTCTAAGCTGCCCTACGAAAAGAAAAGCGTAGAAAAGCATGCTTTTTTCTTACATTCTCTGCTTTTCAATTTCTATAGTTACTCTTCGGTTCGTTACCATTTTAATTGAATAACAACAACCTTTTGTGTTTTATGCTTTACGTATAGCATATACGTAGGCAAATTAAATGAAAGTACCCGGTATCATATAATCGTAAGACCTGGGATATAAACTGCCTGCCTGGTATTGTTTTTTTTATGCTGCTGTTATTTTTTGCAGCAGAGGCTTAGTCTGAGACGATGCCAGAATTTCAATGTTGTTTTCTCTATATTTTTTTTTTGTTTTGTCCTAGCCTGTTAATCTATTTTTTTATGCGCTTTGCCGGGCCTTTCGCCTAAAAGCGAGCAATGGATTTTTTCTACCTTTTTGGTCGGCTTTTGGTGCTGGCTGGCTTGTGCCTTTGATTTGATTTCGTTTTCGTTTCACATTGTGGGTTCTGCTCTGTTTAGTTGGGTTGGTTTTTGGGAACAGGCCAAAAACCGTATTTTGTTGTTTTGTTTGCTTTTTGTTTGCTTTTGTCATCTTGTCCAGCCACCCTAATTTTGAATTTTTTTTTTTTTATTCCTATTTCTCTGTCAACATTTTGCATACAAAGGACATGCACACGCACACATTCTCACAACAAGGAGCTTGCATATATGTATGCATGCACCCTGCTTATTATAATCAAACGGTTTGCTCACCTCTTACGTACTTTTTTATTTTTTTTTTCTAGATTGTTTCTGCCTGCTGCTGGCCTGGCACCTTTGCTGGTTCTACGGTTTTCTCCTTGGGATGCTGCAATTGTTGTTGCTGGTGATGGTGCCGGTGCTGCCTCTGCTGTTGCCAAAGGCGCTTTTCCCGTTTGCTTTTCACTTCACCTTCTTACTGATTTCAGCACTTAACATAATTTAATTTCGACAAAATGCGGCAACTATAAATTTCAACTCCTTGCACTTGCTGCCACACACAAACTGCTGTTGCTGTTGCTTGCCGCGTCGGCTTTCTTCGCTTCCTGTTGCCTTTAATCTAGGAACAACAATGGTTAGGCGGACAAGTATACGCCCAGACGACCGGATACCGCCACTCCCGAATAACTGCGAATATATCCGCGACGCACTCGCGACCACATGCACTCTGGCCTCCTGGCTGGATTGTTTTGGTTTTACTGTTCAAGATGCTTTTTTTTTACCAAATTTACTTTCCCGATTCCCGATATCGACTTTCTTTCTGCTTGCCGGCACCTAATACCGCTTTTTTGTTTACCGTTCCTAGTGCACTATCAGATACGACTCGGCGCGCACTTTCAGATGCATCCGTTGTAAGCGATTGTAACGGTGTAACGCGCTGGAGTGCTCAAACATGAATGATGCGATGCTCACATCCAGTGGATACGACGTCCTCACGGATGCTCAAACTTCCACCATGAACCATTAACCGAACAGATACGAATGCGACTCACGAAGCCGATTCGACAAAAGAGAGAATCAAACATTGCTTGTTTATGAAAAGTCTTTAGAATTGTTTGGATTTTTCAAAAAAATATATATTTTTGTTTCTTTTTATAGTGCTGAATTTAATTTGATTTAGTTTAATTCTAATTGTTTTTTAATCATAATACAAGTGTAAAAATAGGAGTTTGTTTAAGTGTATTCATGCAAGTTCGATGTTGGCTTCAAACTGTCTCCTAAGCACAGTGGTAAAAAGTTCGTTAAATCTTCCTAAAAACAAAATGAAATAAGATTTAAATTAAGCATATATTTTAGTAAAGTATATAAGAAACCATGTTAAATTTTGGTTATAATTATATAAATATTAAAGCATAGAAAATCGCGGAATATATTTATTAAAATAGTAAACTTCATACACTTTTGAGAGAGCCTATCTCACCTGTGTGTTTGAGTTCGAGGTGGGCATGTTTTGGTTCGAGAAGAACACCTCTCAGGTGCGAATCGGGAACGGATAAAAAGGCAGCAACAAAAAAAAGATCAACCAGTGGGAGATAAAATCCTGAGACAAAATATTTTTTACATTTTTTGTCCATTTTTCCTGATGGGATCCCTTGAAAATGAGGTTTGCCTCAAATGGCCCACAGTGATGGCTATATCTTCCCAAATTCTCATCCGATTCTCAAGCAGAGTACCTTAAACGATTTCTGGATTGATTTGCCACCATTCTGCATCAAAATTCTGAAACAAAATATTTTTTAGATTTTTTTCCATTTTTCCTGATGGGATCCCTTAAAAATGGTGTTTTCCCTCATATGGCCCACAGTGATGGCTATATCTTCCCCAATTCTCATCCGATTCTCAAGCAGAGTACCTTAAACGATTTCTGGATTGATTTGCCACCATTCTGCATCAAAATCCTGAGACAAAATATTTGTTCGATTTTTGCCCATTTTTCTTGACGAGATCCCTATAAAATGGGGTTCTCCCCAAGAGGGTCCACTGCGATGTCTATATCTTTCCCAATTCTTATCCGATTCTCAAGCGGAGTACCTTAAACGATTTCTGGATTGATTTGCCACCATTCTGCATCAAAATCCTGAGACAAAATATTTTTTAGATTTTTGCCCATTTTTCTTGACGAGATCCCTATAAAATGGGGTTCTCCCCAAGAGGGTCCACTGCGATATCTATATCTTTCACAATTCTTATACGATTCTCAAGCGGAGTACCTTAAACGATTTCTGGATTGATTTGCCACCATTCAGCATCAAAATCCTGAAACAAAATATTTTTTTGGTTTTTTTGTCCATTTTTCCTGATGGGATCCTTTAAAAATGGTGTTTTCCCTTATATGGCCCACAGTGATGGCTATATCTTCCCCAATTCTCATCCGATTCTCAAGCGGAGTACCTTAAACGATTTCTGGATTGATTTGCCACCATTCTGCATCAAAATCTTGAGAAAAAATATTTTTTAGATTTTTTGTCCATTTTTCGTTTGGCAGCTATACGATATATTCGGCCGATCGTTCCTACTAATATAATGCGTGCAAAGGAAAGGAGGGTGTATGCAAAGTTTCAAGTCGCTAGATTTAAAACTAAGAGACTAGCTCGCGTAGAAACAAACACACAGACGTACATGCGTTGAATACATTTGACCAAAGTTATAATACCTTCTGAAAGGGTATAAAATACACATCATACAGGTTTGAGAGAGCCTACCATTCTTGTGGGTTTGAGTTCGAGCTTGAGGTGACCGGCATGTTGTGGTTCGATAAGAACACCTCTCAGGTGCGAAATGGGAACGAATATAAAGACAGCAACAAAAACAAGATCAACCGGTGAGTTACCTTTATCCAATAAATTAAAATTAAATTACTTATTTAATAATTACAAATAATAGACTAAGAAAAATAAAATGTTGCTAAAAAAGCTGTTAAAAGTATGTCAGTTTTATTTTCTTTCATAAATCTTTTTTATCAGAACTTTTTATCAGCCTTTCACTTCTTTACACAATACTTTAGCTTTTAGGTCACGGGAGGGAATCCACCTGAAACCTCACCTGAGAGCCTCTTACGAACCCAAACGAATTGTTCTGAAAAGCCGGCTAAACCACTTAGCTTCATTCTTGTATATTTTTGGGTTTTTGATTTACAGCCCAGGTCCCTCTGGGAGATTGATGATGCCAATTACAATTACATATCAATTATAACTGGTAGCCTATCAGGGGTCGCGTAGGAGCAACTTTATTAATTAGCCGCAATTGTTGTCAAGCTGATGTTTTGTGGCTTTCCGATATGACTCTAGGTTTCTCTTAAATAACTCTCTTAAAGGTACACTGTACCATGGTACCCAGTACCATGCAAGAACGGTACTCCTTCGGCTTGGGGGTGGCATACTCATTTCCGGTTTCCGTTACTTTGTGTGCGTGGAAAATTTGAATTGCGTGGCAAAGTTTGGCACCCACGACCCTTGGCCTTTGCCATTCACTTTTCTCTTTTTCTGCGCATCTGAAATTTATTGAAAACACATTAAGTTCCAGCGACGACACTTTCGCCGGATGTTGGCAATTTCCCTGACGAGCCCCGAGACGCCCCATTCTTGTGGGCGTGACCCATCAGGGAAATCAAATTGTTTGGTGCAATGGTAAGGCCAATTTTCATTTTCCACCGTTATTGCCGAGCCGGCTAATCAGCATTGAGCAAGAGCCCTGGTATTTTTTGGGGAGCGAAACTGAGAGGTTTCTCACCTGGCCCATGCCTGATAAGACACCTGCATTGATTAGATTAGACGGCGAAAGAGCAGGAGCTTTCGATGGGGGGCGAAATTAGAATTAGTCACCCGGTGGAAGCGATCGCAGACAGACGGTCAAGATGGACGACACAGACTTTTCGCTCTTCGGCGACAAGAAGAAGCACAAGAAGGACAAGGCCGATGCCACTTTGGTGGCCAAGACGCCCACCTCGGAGCTGGACTTGAAAAGAGTCATCATCTCACGGCCCACCACTGACGACACCTACGAGAATTGCCCCCGAGCGGGCATCGCCCTGATCCTCAACCACCGGGACGTCAAAGGTCAGAAGGCGCGTGTGGGCACCGAGCGGGATCGGGACGACATGAAGCTCACGCTCCAGGGTTTCGGCTTCGATGTGAGGCCCTATGACGATCTGACCTTCTCCGACATCAACGACTTGCTGAAGGAGGGTAAGTTTTCGGGAAATAATAGCTGGCGAAATAATAGCTTTCCATTCATAAATCATCAAAGACATGTTATCTTTTGGGTGACGAGGCCTTTATTCTTTCAAAACCTTGGTATTTGTTTCTTTAAATGATGTTTGGTAATGAATTGAACAAAAAAAAAACATTTGAACAAATATAACTATCATCTATTGAAGTATCTAATCTACAAAGGTTCTTAAATAAATGTTATTTCAAACCTGAAACGAGTATGCAAGAGAGTAGAACATTTTGAATTTCATTTATCTTATCTATATCAAAACAAACAAACATACCACGATTATTGCAAAATGATCCGATAATGTAGGTAATCGATATTCACCAATTTCCCCTTCCAGTGGCGCTCGAGGATCACAGCCAGAATGATTGCTTCGTCCTGGTGGTCATGTCCCACGGCACGGAGGGCAAGGTCTATGCCAAGGACATGGCCTATCCTGTGGAGCGTCTGTGGAACCCCTTTCTCGGCGACAAATGCAAAACTCTGAAGAACAAGCCGAAGCTTTTCTTCATCCAGGCATGCCGCGGCGAGAACCTGGAGAAGGCCGTGGAGTTTTCCAGTTTTGCGGTGATGACCCGGGAGCTTGTTCCCCAATCGGTGGCCCCTGTTGCCCAGCCCATCACCTACGCCATTCCGAGTACAGCGGACATGCTCGTCTTCTACTCCACCTTCGACAGTAAGTATTCAAGAATATCAAGTATACGCAAGGTAGACCCATAAGCACCACCCTCAGGCTTTGGATTTTCTTGTCATTCTTTCAAATTTCGTGATTCATTTTGACGTATAGATACATAATAATAAATATTCCTTTCTTTTAGAATTCTTCTCGTTCCGCAATGTGGACGATGGCTCCTGGTTCATCCAGAGCCTGTGTCGCGTCCTGGACGTGGCGGCCAGCAACGAGGCCAGCCAGCCAGAGGGAGCGGAGCTGCTGCGACTCCTGACCGCCGTCAACCGGAAGGTGGCCTACGAATACCAGTCGAACACAAAGAACGAGGCCCTCAACCAAATGAAGGAAATGCCCAACTTCATGTCCACCCTGACCAAGACCTTCTACTTGCGTGTGAAGCCCAAGACCTAATGCATGTGAGTGAGTCAGTGAGGGACACCACAATCACGATACAATCACAACTCTTTCCCCTAATCGTAATGATATTTGCTATTTGTTTATAAAATAAAAGTCTACGCCCGTGTGCGTCTATCGACGGCACTTATCTGGAATTGGCTTAAAGCCGTTGGGAGCATTAGATAGCGGGCTTGTTACACACTCGACGCCACTGACACCTGAATGGCAATGGTAGCTCAGTTTGCCGCAAAATGGTGCAAGTGCCGCATGTTTGCGGTTTGTGTCTGCTGTTTCGGGTTTGGCAGCTGCTGGCCTTGGCCAGCGAACTGCCATCGCTGGATGACCTTGAGTGCGGTTTTCCGGTGGCTCCTCCTGACGGCCGTGGCACCTTTAATCTTGTGGAAGAGTGCCTCTTTATACGATGCCACCAACGTCCGGCACTCGGAGATCTTCAAGGGCATAGCTCTGGGCACCATGGCCGGGGATGTCGGTGTATCCATGGCCCTCCTTGGTCTCAGCATCTGGAATCGCAGGAAGCTGGCTGACTTGATGAACGGCTTGAATCGCCTTCACCGTCGCCGGAAGTTGAGCTGGTGGAGCACCTGGATGCTGTGGATTAAGATTCTCCTGAGTCTCTACGAGCTGCTCTGCAATGTGCCCTTTCTCCAAAGGGCCGGAGGTCACCTGCCCTGGTCACAGCTCCTCGCTTATGGTGTCCAGCTCTACGTCCAGCACGTGAGCAGTGTCTTTGCAAATGGAATATTCGGTGGCCTGCTCCTCCTCCTCGCCAGTTTGGATCAATTGGAAAGGAAAAACCTTGGTGTGGTTCAACTTCTGGAGGAAGAACGAAACCACCTTAGATTAGCCCTAAAATTCATTAAAGCTTCGGAGTGGGGTATTTTTCTCCTTGTGATTGGAAACTTTGTCAACATTCTGGCCAACATGTACGCCTACATGTCCTACTTTGTACAGGAGCATGGCATTCCCCTGACCATTTCCAATTACTGTCTAATTGTGACGGTTCAACTGTACGCCCTCGTTTTGGCCGCCCACCTCTGTCAGGTGCGACACAGCCGCCTCCAGCAGCGCTGCCTGGAGCAGGCATATCTGCCGGAGGAACTGTCACCGAATCAGGTGGGTCTAAATGAGATTAATCCAAGGATTCGACGGAAATAGAGGGTCGTCTTATCTTTCCAGGCCAAGAATCTCACACCATTTCCCCTGGTATCGCCGGTGGGCCATCTCAAATTCGGGATTCTCGGACTGTTCACGTTGGACAACTCTTTCTGGCTCTTTCTCGTATCTTATGGCATGAATTTTATTGTCATTATTCTGCAGTTTAGCCTGGAAAACATGAAGCGAACCAAGTTCTAGGATATTAGAAAGGAAACTCAATACTTAATATTAGAAATAGAAGTAGGTCATGGCCTTATGTCAGTACTAACTACTGAGCTGTTTCAGATTAGGATCACTCTCAACTAACGCTTCGAGCTGTCGAGATCGTAAACGCAGTTGTTTGTGAAAATATATTTTTCTGAAATATTTTTACTTTTGAAGTATATTTTATATAAGTTTTGCGTTTCAATAAAATCAATCAAAAATGTACGTGGAACTGATTTTCGTAGCTAAATACGTAGTGATGGTGAGTAGAAAGTAGAAGTTCTAGTTCTGGTTCCGGTAAAGTGTCGTAGAGATACTACAAGTGCTCTTTTCCCCTTTATAGAAGGGACTCATCCTCCAGCTTCATGAATCTGCTACCGTTTTTGATCTAAAGTCCGCTATAGAAAGTGTCTTGGACATCTCTGTAGAAGATCTCGAGTTGACAACCATTTATGGCGAGAAAATCGGGAATAGCGAGAAGGTGGCAGTGGTATTCAGCGAGAAAGAAAGACTTCGTCTCCTCAATCAAGGAATGAACACAGCATCCGTCACCCTTTATACGCTGGTTAAGGCTGTACCTCAGACCAGATCCTCTGAAGCAATACCGAAACCAAACCCGTTTCGTACTTATTTAGAAAAGATCATCCAAAAAGATGTACCTCAGACCAGATCCTCTGAGGTAGAAAAGATCACCCTAAAAAATGTACCTCAGACCAGATCCTCTCAAGAAACATCGAAGCCAAATCCGTTTCTTGATTTCTTGGAAAAGTTAGAAGCTACAATATCGCCAGCAAACAGTGATCTCAGCCTGTCGGCCAGTGCCAAGAGGTATGTCCTAGGTCGTTGTCCTTTGTCCTTTGTCGTTGAACTAAAAGGTGGTTATTCTTAAATGTAGATCAGTGGAACGAACCTGCAACTACAGGTCAGAGAAACCAAAGATGGTTACCGGAAAAGGAGTCGAGACTTTTAATTTAATGGCGAAAAATAACTCCGAATCCTTGGACGAGGAGGAAGAGGACATTGACGAAGATAGCGAGGCTTGCAATACAAGCACGGAATCTCGGTGCCCAGATCGTCGGAAAGTCTGTTGCAACCCAATCGAGTGTGACGATCCCGATACACGGCCGCCTTATGCGAAAATCCCGCCGGAGAATCGCCGGTACGCCGTGATGATCGTCAACGATGACTCCGAGGCCGATGTAGACATTCAAGCGATCATGACCCATTTATTTTCGTTGTTCGAGGAATGTCCGTTTGTTAATTTGGACTTCACAAACTGTGTCACGGTGTCAAGATTCCAAAATTGGTTAATGTTTGTGACTGAGGACTATTGTTCATCCGACTGGATTACAGACGCTATAGCTGATGTTTGCCCTCCACACTCATGCCTCCCCTTCATCCAATTCTTTGGTCTGGTCCGCGCCCACTTCGTTCTTCCCTTGGCTGCTCCAGGCAGGCCGCTTTGTTCCATTTTTCAGGTTTTTGAGAATCAGAATTGCGGGCTGGTGACCCACCAATGGGCCGTCATCGGACGGTATATGTTGGATCCCTGCGACTCGGATTATATCAACAAGATCGTCTCCACTCTCAACGATAACGAGGAAATCGACCTATTCATCGACGAGGCTAGCCGGGATTTCATCCTGGAACAGTGTAGCAAAATTAATTACTGCTTTTGGCATCTAAGTTTTCGCTTCCCGTGTTAAATTAAAAATTCTATATAACAAAATCATAATTCATAATTTTCTACATTTCTTTTCGCTAATATCAAAATTTTTCTCTTTCTCAGACCAAATTAATGTTTTTTCAGGCTTGGATAAGAACTAAGTATTGGATGAAGGAGAGTCATGTATGAGGGATTCAAAACTTATAGATAATATGGCAACAGTTGGCACAACTGCATAGGGGCTTGCATAACTCTGGTTTTCGACTTCCGCTGGCATCGTCTGTCCTCTTCTTTCCTTATTACCATATTTTACAATTTATATGTCTGCTGCTTCTTAAAATTAGGTAAAAGTTTCTATAACTCTTCTTACCAAACTAATTTGAATTCTTTATATCATCGGACTCGAAATAATTAACACATCCATGAAGGGTAGGATGAGTTTTCTTAATTAGAGGATTTTTTGGATTAAGAGATTGGTAATCCTTGCTTAAAACCAGTACCAGTGCTTAAAACCATACAAATATATAGTACAGTATATATTTAATGAAGGTATACGATAGTGTATAATAATTCTAAAATAATAAATATATGTTATTTGAATTAAAATTTAAGTTTCAAGGCAAAACAATAGCCTACCAAAAGGCGAATATTTTAAAACAAGGCTGCCAGACGTTGGATGTAAACTCAAACCAAAGATGGCGCATTTTTAATGTTAAAAATATAACAGAGGAATAGTTCTGTTAAAAATTAACAGAGCTTGAGCGGTAGGTTGAGCGGGCAAATTTGAATTGTGACTTATTCTAAACTGAAATATGTACAATTTGAATAAAAATATTATTTTAAGCCTAATTTAATTGATAATAATAAATTGACCCAGTATTGGATATGTTTTGTCTTAAGCAAAGTAACAAAGTTATGAATAAATGATTAAAATATAAACTAAAAGCCGAAAACCTTGCCCTGAAAGTTCACAAACCTTATTGTGATGGGATATTGTAATAGATTTGAACTAGTTTAAATAACTATTATTTCCCGTCGTCGATGCAATCTCGATTTTATCACATCTGCACCAAATAAAAACTCCATTCAATAAATTCAGTTTTGTGTCTTTTGATTTGGCGAAGGCGACTGACCATCGAATTCGTGAATTTTGATTTGATTTTGTGAAATGTCTTTCTGTCACTTGACCGACCAGATCATTGCGTAAACTGGAAACGAAAGTGGTGGCCAGCAAGTCCCACAAACAAGTTGGAATGGATTTTGGAGTCGGGCCGACTCTAAGCCCAGAAACTATACATCATTTAGTGGCTATAATTGGGTATTAATTACAAGAGGCTAGACTAAAAATACAATTTGGCAAAAAACGATTATTTTGTAGGAAAGTTGCGCTCCCCCAGAAAGAAAAGAATGAGCAAAATTTTGAATATAATTGGTAGAGTTTCAAAAACACTATCCCCAGCCCAACGATGCATTCAAAATTCGCCGCTTGCCCCACTACAATGAAACTAATGATCGGTGTGTAATCAGATATACTAGCTGCTGAGCTGATCGATTAGCATATCGGCTTACACATTGTCTCCCTGCTTTCACTTTAGCCGTCTCCTATTTGGCCGACTTCTCGAACAGCCCTCGCTGATTAGCATTGATTCTACCAACAGCAAATAGCCATTGGCCACAACCATTGGCCAGGTTTGAAGCTCCAGGGCAGGAGCCTAGCATTCGCACGCGCCAATTTTCCAAGCCGCTGGCTGGGTCGGTTCGGAGCTCTAACAGATAACTAATAGTACACGGTGAGAAAATATACTCAAACAAATTTATATTTATTTAGTATTCATTATCCTACAATACAAGTCTTTCAATAAACTGTATTCTATATTTTATTCTAAGAACTCAAATTTTATTAACTTAAATCGATTTCTTTCAGTGCATGATTTGCGTAGGCTGTGCTGGGCGGCTGGTCAGTGGCTCTGGGGTACTCTGATGCCCCTGCCCCCACTCCCTCTCCTCCCCAATCGGGTGTTATGTAAAGCTATTAAACCGCATAATGCAAACGCTGCTGTGTTGCGTCTTCGCCTCGCCTTTCTTCACTTTCCGCGGTCTTTCTTCGGGCTTCGCGCCCATCTTGTCTTGTTAGCATTCCCTTGATTCTTCTTTATCATATTGTTGTTTCTGTTACCCATTCGCGCTGCATCTGGCAGAACCGTTAAGACGCCTTTTTATTGCAACTGCAACGAATGGAAGAGCTTCTCGGGTTCGGGTCCATGGGGCCCTCATTTCGATCCATTGGACCCAGTGGATTATCGGTCCATTGTCTGGGATGGGTTTTGTTTCGCACCCATTACTGCCCTCTGTCTTCTGTCTTCAGTCTTCTGTGGGTTTTGGGGGCTTATTTGATTTTTGACTTGCTGACTCCGGCTTTCCATTGCGGCATCTTCATCATCATGGGGCATCATCATCCAAGGTGCCTAGGGCTCCGAGGGGACTTGCCTGCCTGACTGCATGTTTATGTTTATGTTAATAACTTTTGTGTTTATACTTTTACGAGTTTACGAGCTGCTTTTGCTCTTCCTTGTTTCTCGCTTTCTGGCTGGCTTTCATTCATTCATCGACTTGGGCTTTTGTCTTTATTTGTTTGCCTTTTTTTTTTTTGTTTTTTTGCCAGCACGCAATGCACCATAGAAATAATAAATAATAGTAGCGCAACGGTTTCGTATCTGAAGTTTCTGAGTTTCTGACTCCACAGCCAAGGATACTGCTGAGCCCCGCCACCCACTTTTCACCTGCCAGCCAGCCAGTCTTTGGGGTTTTCTTCTGGTGGCAGTATGCTGCCACTTGTCGTGGCTTTTCTTGTTTTCTTCGGTGTGTGAAAAACTAGTCTCATCGCTGGGGCTCGGCCTGGAGTTTACCTGAAGATAGCTTCAGTTGATCGCGAGGTGTTTGCTTAGACGGTTGCTTGTTGTTTTTTCGCGGAGCGCGATGCCAGTTCCAGCTTCGGACTTGGATTTGGCCAACTAGCGGATAAACGTTTTTGTGAAAACAAATAATCCCATACAAAGCCCAGGATATGGCCTACTTACATCTTCATTTTTGGTTTCTCCTGCTTGGCGGGTCATTTGTCATAGGCCAGGCTGCTAAAGCGGGACAAGTGCAAGGCAAGTGGTTTGGCCGAGAGCCGTTATAGCCTTTTTAAGCTGGCCGGGATCTGATCATTAATCTTCCAGTGCCATAGTGCCATAGTGTGTGTGTTTTCTCCATCTCCGTCTCCGTCTCAGTGCTAATGTGTTTGGCTCGCGTAAATCAAGTACCTGGACGCAGTTTGTCGCCTAAGTCTTTCGATTGCAACTCGTTTGGCTCGTTCCGTTAAATAACCCAATTTTCAAATTTAAATGCTGCTGCGACAGCTTTTCCTCAGGGGCTGACCAAAAACCGAAAAAAAACGATAAACGAAAAAAATGTGCAAGGAAATCGATTTTGTATTGAGACAACTATCTCAGTGCGGCAACCAGATAATGTGTTTATGCAACAAACTGACAACTGTGACCCACTTGTCGCCCCACCAGCGTCGACCCATTTCGTCAACCTGCTCCTTTCGGCCACCTTTCAGTGTCTTGCTCTTTCCGGCTCTGACTGAACTCGAATACCCCCACCATGTTCTAATTAAATAAAGAGACTTTTAATTCGTTTGTGTTACTTGGAATGACCGCCTGAGCTTAATGTTCTAGTTGATGGCTAAACTCGGTTGAAATATGAATGAGTTTTCAGTTAATTGTTGTTAGTTGCTAGACTAGTACCAAGTATGGTAAGCACCCAGTCGGGTCGTATGTGAATGGTGCATATGAATTACATATAATTTCTGTTTTATGAGAACAATGAGAATGACATTTATGTTGTGGGAAATGAGTTGAAGAACCGTTACCAAAAGAACATTCAATCTTGAAAGTGTTAAGTGCAATCGGAATGGAACTGTATAATTATTAGAATGTGATTGGGAACCTTTAAGATTGGGGTTAAAAAAGGAATGAGGGAAAATTTGCATACAGAATTCTTGAATAAATATTAAGAAGATATTTCTCAGCTTTTTAAAACAATATAAAGCAAAAGGTGCCGTGCTAGAAAATCTTAAAATGTGTCAATGCAGGCAAATTGGAATTCTTCGTCACCAAAATCGATATCATATATTTTATGAAATGCATCCACGTTCGTCACCAGCATTGTACTTATTTAAGATGTTTTTTAAAACATTTTTTATTTGATTGGATATTTGAATTTTTTTTCAAAAGCATTATTTGCAAATGAAAAGTATTTAAATATTTATGAGATTTTCTGTCGTAAAAGTTTACAAAAGAAAGTCAATAGATTTTATGTTTTTTTAATAAAATAATTTAAAGCTTAAACGTTAGTAAAGTTTTTTAAAACCCTATCCCAACTTTGAACCTTTTTTAATAAAAATACCTTCAATTACTATTTTTTCCTATTTGTTTTTTTGGGTGCATATATATATTTATATATATGATACCTCCCATATTTCCATATTTAATTGAATTTCTTGGCAACTTAACTCAAAGAAACCCAGCAATGCTGGCTGTTCACACCGAGTTGGGCCAGAAACTGCAAGTAAATAATAGAAATTGCAATCTCAAATTACAACTGCTGGGGCAAATGCAACAAGAAGCGGCAGCCAACAAACTATAGCTAAGCCACAAATAAAACAATAAACCCAAGGGGCCCCAGAAAAAGTCGCAAAAGTCGACTGCAGTCTACAGTCTGCAGAGAAGATGCTTGACGATGGCCAAGATTTCACTGAATCTGAACCTGCATCTGCATCTACTCCAACAATGATAATTTCTCGCTGCAGGAGATCTTCCAAAAAAAAAAAGAAAAAAAGAAAAGAAAAGCCCGGAGAAATGTCAGCGAGTTAGACATCGTGGTATGGCAGTCTTCTTGTCACTTGGAACGCATTCGGTTTGCTGTTTGCTGGGGCAGGCATACAAAAAAAATGCTTAATTATGTCATGAGGGTGGGAAGACAGAAAATAATTTGCAACAGGCAGGTAGCAGCAACAAGCAACAGAAGCTACAGCAACAGCACAAGCAACACCTGAGATTGAAAGACAGTTGAATGGATGTGGAAAAGTGTTGCAACTTGCAACTGCACATCAAAATCGCTGTGGTATGGGCCACGCGACAAACGTAGAAAGTTTTTGGTTAGGCTGGCGCCAGTTCTGCCACGCCCCCTGCCACACAGCACAGCCCCTCCTTTCGGTTCGCACGTCCGTAGCCGCAATTGTTGGCTGACATTTTCCGTTTTCGGTTCTCAGAGCAGAGCGTGCGCGAAAATTTGCATGCCCAAATAAACAAGACAACAATTTGTCAAAGTTTTACTTTTTTTCCTCCATGTAATCTGTGATCTGTGTGTCCCACTTTTCAGCCAGCTCCAGTTCCTCCGGCTCCTCCGGCCCCACCAGCAGTTGTGCGTTTCACACGCTCGACGGCGTGGCTGCGGAAAGCGAAGGTGTCCGCTTTATCCGCCTACGCGAAGACGCCCCGGTCGGCAAGGAGATCCTCCGGCTGCAGGCCTACCCCCGATCCACGGCCTCTCTCAAGGGGGCCGATCCCAGTGCGGATCACAAGTACTTCGATCTGAAGGAGCACAACTCTACTACCCTGGTGGTGACCTTGGCTCGGTCCCTGGAGCGCCTCGTGGATCGCGATGTGCCTCGGAACCTGCTCAAGTTCCGGATTTTGTGTGCCGGAAAGCAAGAGAAAATTGAGGAGGTTCGTAAGCCACCACAAAGTAAAGACCTTTATTGACTTTTCCGACTTCCAGGGCAGCTACTTGTCCATCACGGTCTATATCGAGGATGTCAACGACAACGCCCCTGAGTTCCTCAACGTGCCCTATGTGGTGGATGTGGACGAAAACACCTCCGTGGAGAGTATCATTTTCGAAGGGGTCCAGGCCTTCGATCGGGACAAGCCAAACACCCCCAACTCCGAGGTGCACTTCAGCATGACCACCGTGCCGGAGCAACTGTCGGCCGATGGCAGTCCCTTCTTTGCCCTGAAGAGTCCCCACCGCCCACTGCTCATCCTGAAACGCGAACTGGACTTTGACAATGGCATTCGGCAGTTCAAGTTGCCGATTTTCGCTTGGGATCGAGGCACTCCTGCCAATCAGGCAAACACCACTATCACAATCAATGTGAGGGATGTGGACGATCTGCCTCCAAAGTTCACGGAAGGAGTCTACAGAACAAGGATCAACGAGTTCTATCCGATGACAGGAGTGCCCATAAGGATTCCTTTGTACTTTGCCCCGCCCATAATGGCATTCGATCAGGACTCGCTCAACGCCACCCTGGTGTATGACATCATCTCCGGAAATGAACGACAGCTCTTCAGGGTTAATCCACACAACGGGGTCATGTATCTGCAGAAGGAAATCGATTTGGAGGAGGAGAGTCTGCCAGGGAACAGCTTTGTCCTGCAGTTGGAGGCTCGGCAGAAGGACAATCCTTTGAAAAAGGCTCTGGCACGGTAAGATTCAAATATATAACCAAAAGTTATATCTTTTCAAAATTTATGGATTTCTTCAAACAGCATCGAAGTGGAGGTCATGGATTTGAATGACAATGTTCCCGAGTTCGAGGCCGATTTCTACAACATATCCATCGTGGAAAATCTGCCAACTGGCTTCAGTGTCCTCCAGGTTAATGCCGTGGATCGGGATCAGGGCGAGAACTCGGAATTCCTGTACAATCTCGTGGAGACCAAGGACGCTGCAGGTGCCTTTCGCATCGATTCCCGCACAGGGTGGATCACGGTACGAGATGATCGTCTCTTAGATCGCGAACAGCGACGATCCATACACCTGAATGTGGAAGCTCTGGAAAGAAATCCTTCCTACCTAGACGACAAGCATTTGAAGAAACCAGGACCCAGTAAAGTCCAAGTGGAAATCACTCTCTTGGACACCAACGACAATACTCCGAAATTCGAGCATGGAAACCTTTACGAATTCAAGGTGCCAATTACGGCACCCATTGGATATGTAATAGGTCAGGTGGCTGCCCACGATCCGGACGAAGGTCCCAACGGGCTGTTGCTGTACGAACTGCAGCGACCCAAGGGCAGTGGATACATACCCTTTCGGCTGGACAACAAGAATGGTACCATCTATGTGGGTGGTCCTCTGCGAAGAGGTCGCATCGCCGTCTTCGTGGAGGCCAGTGATCAGCCCACCAATCCCTCGGAGAGACGTTTCTCCTTGGCCGTTATTACGATAGAGGTTTATGCCACCATCGATGACCAGGCCATTGACTTTGTGGGGGCTCCCTACGAGTTCTGGGTGGGGGCCAATACCCCGCTGGGCACCTCGGTGGGTCAGGTCCGCACTACGCTGATCTACGATGGCGAGGACGAGATCATGTACGATCTCTTGCATACCTACTCTGAGGGAGTTCCCTTTGCCATCGAGGAGCGATCAGGCATTATTACGGTGATCCGGGAGCTGTCGGAGTTCAAGAGGAAGATCTACCAATTCGAGGCAGTGGCTAACTACGTAAGTGAAGGCTATTCTCTGGTTCTATCATTTAAAGCTTATTTTTCTCCAATCCTTACAGCTCTTTGCAAACTCCTCGCAATCTCTGGTGATGTCCCGTAGCTCCAGCTCCGCCTTGACCACCATAGCCTCCCCAGCAGAACTCAGTGATGAGGGAGTCCTGATCACCAATCTTACCATCCACATAGTAAACAAGCCAGAACAAAAGGTCCCCTTGAGACCTGTCATAGAGTAAGTAAAGGGAATCCTTCCCAAAAAATCAATCAAGGAAACTAAAAGCGAAACCTTTCAGGGAAATCAACATGAATGTGATCAACTTCCATGTGGAGGAGAACGTCGTGGGTGGGATTATTGGTCAGCTTCTCTACAAAAATGGCGTAAACTTGGTCAACAACGAGCTGGGCACCTTCCGGGAAATGCCCTCCGAGGCAACTGGTCGTAATCTCACAATGGGCAGCCGATTCCGCAGTCGGAATCGTAGCCGCAGCTCGAAGACGAAGAGACGGTTTCCCAGACGCCTTGCCGGAGACAGCAACCTAAAGCTGCGATACATAATCGCCAACCAGCAGGAGGTGGTCAACAAGATCTCCATTACTGAGGACGGCACCTTGCTGACCCTCATCGGCCTGGATCGGGAACAGCAGGACAGCTACGAGCTGACGGTGATCGTGGAGTACAGTACGGGTCTGGTGAGTGGAGCGGGAATCTACCAGGTGAACATCAAGGTGGACGACGTCAACGACAATGCTCCCAAGTTCAATGCCCTGACCTATGTGGGATTGATTAATGAGAACTGCGCCGTGGGCACGGAACTCTCCATGAATCATGCCATCCTGATACAGGACGCCGACGAAGGTGTGAATGCGGAGTTCCGAGTCCAGTTGCAGGGCGATTATAGCGAGGAGTTCACCATCGAGTATGTGAACGGCAGCTCTTTGGAGAACGCCACACAGCACAAGATGCCTCCGAGAACCGGGGCCTTCAATATCTTCAATCTCACGGATCAGTGGAACGACGAATTCAAGTACCAGGAGCTGCACACCACCTTCATGCAGACGAACTTCAAGATGAGCTCCGGTCCCTACTTCCGCATCGCGTACACAGGGAAAAAGGGCTTGGATCGTGAGAAGCAACAGCTTTACAACCTTAAGATCATAGCAGCCGATACCGGAGGCCTCTCCGGCTACGCCCATCTGACCATTCTCGTGGCGGATGTGAACGACAATGCTCCGGTCTTCGAACGCATCTCGGTGTTTAAGGACTCCCGCTTGGAGATCCGGGAGTACACCACCGACATGGAGATCTACTTCGTGGAGAGCTCCAGCGGGATGTCGGCTCCCCAGGCCACGGCAGCCATGATGCTGGCTCCGCCCCCCTACCACATACCGGGCTCTCCCAGGCTGCACAGGGACAGCGAGCGTTCCATCGGAGTGGTGGGCAGGGCGAAAGCCCGCAGGCGCCTTGCAAGAGCGGTGTCCATCAAGTGTCCTTTGTTTGCCATCTACGAGGACACCCCGGTGGGCACCAAACTGCTCCAGCTGAGCGCCAGCGACGAGGACTTCGGCAAGAACGCCCAGCTGCACTACGAACTCCAGGGCGAGCAGGTGGAGCGCTCACCGGGAATGCCAATGTTGCGGGTCCAGGGAGTGCGGTACTTCAACATCGACAAGCTGAGTGGCGAGGTGGCTGTCAACTATCCCCTCTCGGCCAACATAGAGATCTGGCTGAATCTTACAGTGACCGACATAGACGGCCTCAAGGACTCCACCTGCCTGCGCTTCACCGTAATGGACGTCAACAACCATGCCCCGACTTTCAAGAAGTCCTGGTATAGCTTCGACACCCCCGAGGGCGAGTACAAGGATAGTGTTCTGGGCCAGCTGACGGCCATCGACATGGACTTTGGGGAGAATGCCAACATCACGTATACGCTCAGTGATCCAAAGTTGCCATTTACAATAAAACCCGCCTCGGGAGTCCTGAAGATCAGCGGTCAACTCGACAGGGAGTTGAAGGACAAGTACAACTTCCATGTGATAGCCACGGACAATGCCCCCTTGCTTCAACGCATGTCCAGCAGTGTGGACGTGGAGGTGAATATCCTGGACATCAACGACAACAGTCCCGAATTCATAGGCTACGATGATCAGACAAAGGCTGTCAAGTACATATCGAATGTTGCGGATCGTACCTTGATGTTGCCGGTTTACAAAGCCTATCTGGATCGGAGCACTCAGCCGGGCACGTTTGTGAAGCAACTGACTGCCATCGACAAGGATAACGTGGGCAACGGCAACGGCCTTGTCCTGTACTCCATCCGGCACCAGGAGATGCAGGCGCCACTCTTCCAAATCGATTCCAGGGATGGCACCATTTCCACAGTCTCCCGGATTAGTGGCTACAACGACTACGAGCACCTGAACGTCTCGGTCATTGCCTCGGATGTAGGTAGTCCTGCCCTTTCCGCCACAGCAGTGGTCATCGTGAATCTCCAGGGCCAGGCAGTCACCGATCCCCCGACGTCCACGCCCAAGCCAGAGCCACCCGCGAACATCACCATCTTCCAGCACGCGTATTACGAAGTGAAGTTGATGGAAAACAACGAAGCGCCCATTGAGGTGATGCGCCTAAATCTCACCACTGGTCTGAATCCCGAAAACTACCGATGGTCCTTGTGGCTGGAGGAGGGCCTGGACGAAACCGATGCCCATCCCCCCTTCGAGTACGATGCCAAGAACATGCTACTCTACGCCCTAAAACCCTTCGACAGGGAGCACATATCCCGGTACCAGTTGAGGATTCGGGCCGACCGGCTCAGCCGTGAGGCCAGGAACTTTGCCAGAGTCTCGTATCCTGTGGTGGATGAGCGAATCGAGGGTCTGTCCCCGAACGAGTGCAGAATCCTAGTCCATATCACGGATGAAAACGACAATGCCCCCAAGTTCCGGGGCAACGGGCAGCCGATCGTCGCCGTCTTGCCACGAAGTGCCAGTTTCGGGTATCCTGTTACCAAAGTCATTGCCACCGACCTGGATGAGGGCCTGAATGCCGAGATTCGCTATCGCCTGCTCAACGAACCCACTCGACTCTTCGGCATCGACGAGGCCACTGGCAACATTCGCCTTCTCGCTGATCTCCCCCACGATGAACGGCTCTATGGATTCGATGTCAAGGCTACGGATCGCCTGGGTGAGGACGATGGCAGGAGCGGAATCGTCAACGTTTTCGTTTACATCATCGACGAGGCCAAGCAGGTGCGGCTGGTGGTGGCGGGAATGCCCGTGGAGGTGGAACGCCGTATCGAAGGCCTGATGGAGGCGCTGAGCGACGCCATCGGCAAGGATGTTCGGGTCAGACTGCTGGAGCCACATTCTGGGTTACTGGAACCTGCGTAAGTAGATCTAGAGTCTAGACTTCAAAGCCAAAACAGCTAGGAATCTAAAGCTCTCTGAATCGAGTCCATTGATATGCAAATTGGCCATTTGATGGAATCTAGGCACCTCATCCTCTTCTAACGGATTCCACCTTTCTCTTCCATTTTTCAGCACCAATGCCTACATCTACGCCGTCGATCCGCACACGAATTCCATCGTGGAAATGGAGCAGCTCCAGGAGTAAGTATCCACAGCCCCCTTCTCCCCTTCAGCTCCCAACCCGTTGACCCACAAATGTCACTTTGGGAAATTAATGGACATGACTGGCTTTTTGCAGCTCCCTGGCCGGCTTGCAACTGGACGCGTTGCAGTTGCAACAGCAGAAACTGGATGGCAGCAAGTCGATGCCGCGAATCATAGAGCTGGCTGAGTTTGGCCAAGTGGTCCGGCCCACGCACGCCTCCGCGTCGGGCTCAATGGGCGGCCTGGAATTCGTAACGCTGATTCTCCTGACCGTGGTCAGCCTGGGGGCCCTGGTGGCGGCCTGCTGCTACATGTGCATGCGGCAGAAACGGTATGAATAGATATTGGAATAAGCAGATCATGCTGCACCCGAAAGACTGTCTACTGGGCCAGCTCCCAATGTAGCTCATAGATGCATCTTATGTTTAGTAGCCATAATGTTTTAGTATAAGCCATAATAAATCTTAAGTTAATTGCAAGTCGTGTTGTTGCTACTGCTGGTATTGTCGGGCCAGGTTGCTGGTTGCTTTTTGCCTTTGAGGAAACCGGCTGGATGGCATTAGGCCTTCTCCTGTCACCTGTCCGATTAAATTATAACGGTAAAAAGCAACAAACACAGCCAGACCCAGCCAGCAGCAACAATAAAAGCTGCAACTGCAACTGCAACACGAGGCAATTAAACGAAGATCTGATGACAACTTCAGCCGCAAATCCCCCCAAATGGGAATGCCAATCAAAACACCATCATATGATGACGTTCTATCTCAATACACTTGGAAAAACCACTAGTATGCTCTTTCCTCTCTCTCTCTCGTTTTTCAGGCGCCTCTGGTCGCAACGTGATTTTTCCGCCTCGGATGCCGGCCTCACCTATACTATCGCCGGGATCGGGTCCACTCGTGGGCAGAAGCAGCGCCGTCAGCGACAACAGCGACACCACACACAACGCTGCAGCAAGGGCAGCACGGGAAGCCAGCGCCCCAATAGCGCCTTCATGCCGGAGTCCGTCTGCTCCTCGGCCCAGACCCAGTCGACGGCCACCGCCACCGAGAAACTGGAGCAGCAGTTGCATCACCACCACCAGCAGCAGGCGATGGCCACGCAGCAGCAGCACCACCAATACCTGAACGAGTAAGTGACGAGCCGGTCGGACGAGTTTCCCATTCTGGACTTCAGACACTTGACTTCCCAATCCCATTCCCATGTTGCAGGCAACAGCGGCAGCAACAGCAACAGCATCGGGAATATATCGATGTGCCACTGCCCAAGTCCATTGCAGCCAAGGCGGCGGCGGCAGCAGCGGCGGCCGGAGGAGGAGCAAATGACGGCCAAGTGGGAAGCACTGGAAGCACTCCATTTGTGCTCAAGTACAATGCCTGCCAGCCAGTCAGCAATCTGTAAGAGGAAGCTTAGAAATCTTAGAGAACATGGATGTAACCTTCCTCCTTTTTAGAAACAATTATGAGACATCGCTCTTCTCGTTGCACTCGACGGGCCAGGACTCTGGCGTGGAGTTCCTGAGCAGCCGGGAGCTATACGAAACCTCACCTGATTCCTTCCAGCACAGTGGTTCCAAGCGCAGCAATCCCGAGGTCCTATGCCCCAGGCACGCCAAAGCTCATCTAGAGCTCCGCCAGCCCCATCCCAACACAGACAGTAGGTGAGGTTACTTTTTGTTACTTTTTTAGACTTGTACCTTAATAAACTCTTTAAATCCATTCCAGTGACACCTATGAGGACTCACTGAAGACCGATGAACCACTGGTGGCTCACAATTGCCGCAGCGGTAACTGTGAGCACCGCCAGCAGAAGCAGCAGCACCACCCTCTCAGCCACCAGCCCCACTACCAGAACACGCGCTTCGAGAAGCGTTCCTGCGTGCGGCACTCCTTCTCCGGGGTCAAGGACGATCTGATGCAGAGCTCTCCACAGATCTCCCTGCGCCCTCGGGGCCATGCCCTGCGCAACTCGATGAACGACCTGGAGCAGCGACTCCACAACCTGGAGCAGTCCTTCCGGCGACCACTCGAATTTAGCAAATCCAACTCGTTATTTTAGTTTAGAATGAAAAGAAGTGCAATCCATAGTGACTAGACGACTAGTTAAGTTATTTTTTATTGATAAGTAATCAGTGCAATAAATCCGAGAGCTTAGTTATCAAAGTATTTGCGGAACTCGAGGCATCCCTCCCAGTTCTCCTCCCAACCAGGCGTTGCCTTCTTGGCGGCCTCGTACCAGCGAGCCACGTTTGAGTACTTCTTGAGATCGAAGCCAGCCACATCGAAGGTGGATACGCTGGCCAAAATGGAGATGTCGGCCACGCTATAGGTATCGCCGGCCACGAACTCCTGGCCCTCCAGGAAGACGTTCAGAAACTCAAAGGCCACCTCGATTTTCTTGTAGTTCTCCGGGTTGGCCGGCTGCTTTTGGAAGATCTGCGGGTAATAGTTTTCGGCGAAGCTCTTGTAGAGGGTGCCGAGGTCGAAGTACAGACGCTGGTTGATCAGCGCCTGCCTCTGGACATCCTTGGGAAAGAGGCTGTCGTCCTTGCCGTACTTCTCCACCAGATAGACCAGGATGGCCCGCGACTCCCACAGGGCAAAGCCGTTGTCGTGAAGCGTGGGGATGGTGTGCTGGGGATTGATCTTCAGGTACTCCGGCTTGAGCTGGTCCCCGGCTCGGGTGTTGATGAAGATCTTGCGATCGAATTCCACACCCAAAGCCTTGGCCGTCATCAGAACGGAGCGGCAGGGAGCAGATCCGGGTCTATAATACAAATCCATCTAGTCAGAAGTCAACGGTCTGCAACAAAAGCAATCCATCAATATCAAGTTATTTTTTCTCTGGGAATAGCTAATCACTTTCTTTGATGGCACCTGCTGTATCGCAGTGACATAATCTTAGCGATGAGAAGGCAAAAAAAAAACATTTAATAATAAAAATATTCTTACCAGATAGCCAAAGAAGAAATTTAAGAGCACTGCTGGTGGCGAAGAACCCCAAACAACTGAGCAGTACTCTGCGGTACGCCACTTTTTTATACACAATAGATTGCCAAAAATACCCATTTTTGTGGGCTGATAGTTCAATTAAGTCCAGGTGATAATTGGCAAATATTTTGACGGCTTAGACCCAGAAGAGAGGAGTACCAATATAAGAGCGAAACCTAATCAACGGGGAGTGGAGCTCTTTTATAGTCAATTTGGGAACAAATAATATTATATTATTTACGTAAGATCTCGGCTGTTGTTGCAAACTCCCTTCTGGTAATTGTTTTTCTTTCTCTATCTGGCACGTACCATTATCTTATCGGCCCTGAAAATGTTTGAACTGGAGGTGTATGCCCCAATGTATTTCACAAGAGTGACAGTCCCTTATCTTAAGTTCTAGAATCTATAAAGTCAACGACTCTTAAATTAGTGCTAGATATGAAAACTCTTTATTAAATATTATTTTAACTTATTATTTCTTAAGGATGTCAGTCAAGTACAGATCCTTGTAGTAGATGCAACCCTCCCAGTTCTCCTCCCAGCCAGGAACCACCTTCTTGGCATTCTCGTACCACCTGACCACATTTGGATATCTGCTAAAATCGTATTCGGAAATCTCGAAAGTGGAGACCGTGGCCAGGAGAGCCACGTCAGCCAGGGTTAGCTTGTCAAGGGCAGCGTACTGGCGACCTTCCAGAAGAGTGTCAAACATCTTGAAGGCGGCGTCGATCCTCTTCAGATGCTCAGGGTCTGCCGGCTTCTTCACATCCTCAAACAGCTGGGGATAGTAGTAGTAGACATAGCTCTGGTACAGGGTGCCCAGATCGAAGAAGAGACGTTGGTTTATGACGGCCCTGGCCTGGGGATCCTTTGGGTACAGCTTCTCGTCCTTGTCGTACTTCTCGGCCAGATAGATGAGGATGGCCCGCGACTCCCAAATGGCGAAATCTCCATCCACCAGAGTGGGAATCGTGTGCTGGGGATTGATCTTCACAAACTCCGGTTTCAGATGATCCCCGGCATCCAGATCGATCTTTTTCTTGTTGAGGTCCAGCCCCAGGACCTGGGCAGTCATCAAAATGGAGCGGCAAGGTGCCGAGTAGAGCATGTAGTAGAAGTCCAACATGATTACCGAATAAGCTGCAAATAGGTTCTGAATTAGAATTACTATTCCGAGGGCTATTTATACCAGAGCTTGCTAGATCAACTGGCAAATCTTAGCCCATTGTTATGGTTTTCTATGCAAGTATTTCACAATACTAGAAATTTACTTTAAACGGCTGTTTTGGGTGTATTATTTCCAGAAGAGCAATATGCCTGCTATCAAGATTATTGAGTTGTTTACCAAATCAGGTTGCATTGGCAGAACACACGTGTTTAGTTACAAAGTTATAATCAAACATCTGGTAAGCTAGAAGCCCCCAAGGGCTAGGTTTACCCAGACCTTATTCTCCAATAAATCAACACCAAGTTTCTAGAATATCTCCCCAGTTGTTTGGTATAATTTTTCACCTCTGTGCTGATGATTTCTATTGTCGGCTTCCGGTATTCTCCCTTTGCCAATTCGCACTGATGAAATTCGTCAGAGATGTGAGCTTTTATTGCCTTTTGCCGGCTAAGAGCAAGTCTGCCAAACCAGTCTCTTTTCCCAAACAAAAAAGAGAGAGAAAGGAGCTGCTCCCCAACCCATCCCCATCCCAGCAGACCCATCCGCCATATGCCATATACGATATGCTATGATATATGGTATACATATAAAAAGTCACTTTAATTCATTTTATGCATTCAAAAAAGCGAACACTCATTTATTTGTGCACTGCAACAGGCGAATTTGGAATTATTTTGTTTTTTGTTTGTATTTTGCGATCGTGAATAAATATTAGTATAAAAAATAAACTCAAATATCAGGCTTATTCAAAGTACTTCTTGAACTCCAGGCAGCCGGCCCAGTTGTCCTCCCAGCCGGGGGTGACCTTCTTGGCGTTCTCGTACCACTTGTTGACGTTAGCGTACTTGCTAATGTCGAATCCGGCCACCTCGAAGGTGGACACGGAAGCCACCAGGGCGATATCGGCAACGGTGAGAGAGTCACCGGCGGCGTACTCCTGACCCTCCAGGAAGGTGTTGAGGAACTCGAAGGCAGCCTCGATCTTCTTGAAGGCCTCGGGATCGGCGGGGGCCTTGGCGAACACCTGCGGGTAGTAGTAGTTGGCGAAGCTCTGGTAGAGGGTGCCCATGTCGAAGTACAGTCGCTGGTTGATCACGGCGCGCTTCTTGGGGCACTTGGGGTAGAGGGAGTCGGTCTTGCCGTACTTCTCCACCAGGTAGACCTGGATGGCGCGCGACTCCCACAGGGCGAAGCCGTTGTCCACCAGGGTGGGGATGGTGTGCTGGGGATTGATCTTCAGGAACTCGGGCTTCAGGTGCTCTCCAGCCTGCAGGTTGAGCAGCTTCTTGTTCAGATCGACGCCCACGGCCTTGGCGGTCATGATGACGGAACGGCAGGGCGAGGAGCCGGGCAGGTAGTAGAAGTCAACCATTTTTCTGTCGGATAAGGAAAATGGCGTTAGAAACAATATATTTTTTTTCTTTACACACACAGTCTGTCATTTAAATAAATCGCAAACAAGCCTTATAAGAGCCCTGTAATTTCTTTAAGTGCATGAGATCAGACTAGATATGCCATAATTAGACGCGGTCTATAGTTTTGGCTTTAATAACAAAGGCTGGCTTTAATTGAGCAGAGATTAACGAAACCAACAGGCCAGTCCCGGGCCATGATGTCATATCTGTAGCTCTTTGAGGCTTTAACGATTTGGTTATTTTCCATGATTATTTCTTGTACACATTGTTTCTAATTTTTTCCCTTTTTTTTGTTTGCCAAGACACTCACAAAACACACACATTAGCACAAACAGTAATTTGGAGCTGGGACTTACGATTTAGTTTGGGGTTTGCTGGAAACTGACGGTGTACACTGTACCAAACGAGAAGCGATACTGAACGGGAACCGGAGAGCAGGTCGCTTTTATAACTCGCGGACCTGGTCGCCATAATGCCGGCGACCAGCAGAGGCGGGCATGCAAGGGGGAGTCACCATAAGAGAGGTTGCCGCTGGCTTGTTTTTTTGTTTTTGGCTTGAATTGTGTTTTGCCAACACACACAGCAAACATGCCAACTAATATCTGAAAAAGTCGTGACGTTAGTGGTGTAAATAATATATATAGGGTCGTGTGCAAGTAGTTGTTATTTAGTGGCTCCCATGGGCACTTTTATGCACCCCAACAAAATAATAAAAATACTACTTTCTAATGATCTTTCAATCGGAACATTGCTCTTCATCCTCTCTTAGAAAATGCTTTGGTTCGGGTTTTTTCAGCCCCCTGGCCATTGAAATTGCAAAGCTTGTATACACATTTTTTTAAATTTTTAATGAACATCTGTGCCAGAGCAAATTGCGCTTAAAAATAAACGGGTTTATCGTTGCAAATGCTTAAAAAAATATATGTACATGGAAAATAAACAGCAAGCGGTGTAGAAAGCCGGCCGGCAAACATTCATATCAGGAGGCTACTATCAGGGAAAGGAAACCGAGCAGTTGGCAACGATATGGAAATGTACTTACAAATCAGACCATATGAATAATAACGGAAAAAAGTTAATTCTTAAAAAATAAAGCCAAAAATGATGACTCAGATTGAGGTGTATCAGGATAGGGCTGATAATAAATAACTGTCAAACATGGAAGGGACATGCAAATATTCAATTAAAGGACTATCGTTTGTTAATAATCTTGTAATTATTGTAATGATAGTAACAATAAATCGATTGAAACATTTTCGGACGACCTTGGCCAGTAAGAAACGATTGTTATGGCCATATTGCTTAGAAAGCCAATTCAAGGCAAGTTTAGGTAAGGGGCAGAACGTGTGCAATTATTGTTTGTTTCCAAGACGAGTCTCGAACATTCTGAGGCAGCACTCTGCTGGGGGGTGTCTGTTATTTCAAAACATTGCTATTTATCAGCTCACAAATTGGGAATTGCAACTATCACCATGACTTGGCAAAATGTACAATAACAAGTGAAAATGAAAATATTTCATGGAAGAGCATTTTTGGGGGGCGACCGACACGTCAGTGAAATTGTTCTCTTAAAGCCCAGAACAGTCCTCTATACATAAACACTTATGAAATCGGAACACGTAAAACCCCAAGCCCCCGATACTCAGAAGTTACTCATTTGTACATAATGCTGAAATCCACTGAATCATGGGAAACATGATCGTAAACAATAGGTGTTGTTCGCCCATAAACTGGTTGGTTTAATTCACTAAAAAGCCGGGCCGAAAAATGTAGAGAAAGGTCACAGACACTATGTTTGGTCCACTCTTGATCTGCAAGAGAACCAGTTAGACGACATTGGCCAGGTATGCGTCACAAGCCATTCAAAAAAGGGGAAAGACAACAAGTAAGGTAGCCGAGCTTCAGGCCAAGTCGAATCTTATATTCCCTTGGAGTTGTAAGCCAGCTTTTCATTAATTGAATACTGAAGAAAGCCTAAGTTTGTACCCCAAAAACGTAATCTCCTCTAAGCATACAAACTTTATTGAAAAATAAAAATACCTTCCTAAAGGGTATACAACTTAAACTACCCAAAGAGTCCCCCCTTAAAGAGATACTTTTGTTTAAGCAAAGAGAAATACTTTGATGGGTAAAAGAGAAGTATAGTAATCTCTGCATTGTCTATATATGTATATAAACATATATATAGGTATGTATATACGCTTGATTTTTATACTGGATTTATCTCGCCGGCTGGCAAAAATAATTATTCAGTACAGCTGCGCTTTTAGCTTTAGCTGGACTTGACAAAAAAAAAAACAGCCATAAATAATTTAGATATATTTTGAAAGAAAATGTATCTTACAAAAACAGGAAAAATCTTTTAGAAAGAAATATTGAAAAAAGGTACTAAAATCAGATTCAAATAAACATATATATTTTATATCATGTTAGAACTCAGACCTATACATATGGCTTCCATTGTGTCAAATATTTAGCTAACTTTATCGTTAAAATTAAGTTTGTACAAAGATAATTATAATCTGATTCGATTAAAAAACAAAAAAATTCTTTTAGTGACTAATGAACAAAAGCAATTAAGGATATAAAGCTAAAATCTTAGCTTAAAAATGAATCAATATATTAACACAGATATAAGCATACATACTGATACCATTGCACCTGTCTTCAACGCGTATCTTTATCAAAAAACATTATCTTTTGATATTATAGCAGGCTAACTTGATTTATTCTGGTGATTCATACTAATGTTTGGGCTCGGTGCATCGCAGATAAGAAGGTAATATAGAAATAATAGTAGTCTACAAATTAATCTGACATATGTGATTAATATGTAGATTAAATCAATGTCCTGTCTTTACCATATGAACTTTATTAGCAACTTAGTCCTCTGTATATCCTTCTTTCCTTATTCCCGAAAGGGAACAGTCTTTAATGGGCATTGAAAAGGACGAATATTAGATTCTACTATAATAATATGGAATAGTTTTAAGAATCATAAGTCGTTTATAATATTATATTTAGAACTGCTTAAGAAATAAGTTCCCCTGTTCCACAAGTCTATTGATATAAAATTAACTTTTCAAGCTGCTTTTTTTATTGCCTTATAAATTAATAATATATGTATATCCCTGATAGATTTAAGTTGGTTAATTTTCATATCATATTAGTCATATTACTATCATTTAACTTTACTAGGCTTTAAAAAAAACAGACATACTCTAAGACATTAGTTTCGTCACCTACATGAACTTCCGTCCACAGACATATACATATCTACACATATGCACCGCCATTCATCACGTTTTTGCCAAAATTTCTTGCTATCAAATACTTTATCAATTGACATGATATCAGGCTCACCTGTGTTTGATACATGTATTCCCTGACTCATATGTTTGGGCCAGTACATCACAGATATGAATATAATCTAGAATTAATAGAGGAGCCACATATTACTCACCTATTTAACGGTTTATTTTTGTAGCTTTTGGCCTATGAACGTAGACAAACCATTAGTAATTATGACAAGAAGGTTTGTGAGCACTTAGCTATATAAATGGTTGGCCGGTGTGGTGGGAAATCAGTTTTTGGGTTACCTTCCAGAGGATAGCATTCAAGCAACTTCATATTCAACATGGATTTCCACTACATGCCCGGAAGCGGTGGATGCCGCACCATCTTGATGCTGGCGAAGGCTTTGGGCCTGGAACTGAACAAGAAGCTGGTGAACGTTAAGGCGGGTGAGCAGATGAAGCCGGAGTTCCTGAAGCTGAATCCTCAGCACACCATTCCCACGCTGGTGGACAACGGATTCTCCATCTGGGAGTCCCGTGCCATCGCCATTTATTTGGTTGAGAAGTACGGCAAGGACGACTCCCTCTACCCGAAGGATCCTCAGAAGCAGGCTGTGGTCAACCAGCGCTTGTACTTTGATTTGGGAAGTCTAGCGGAATCCTTTTCCAAGTATTACTATCCCATTTTCCTAACCGGCAAGCCGGGATCCGATGAAGACCTGAAGCGCATCGAGACTACCTTTGGCTTCCTCAACACTTTCCTCGAGGGTCAGGACTACGTTGCTGGCGATCACCTCACCGTAGCCGACTTCGCCATCCTTTCCTCTGTGTCCACCTTCGACATCGTTGAATTCGACATTACCAAGTACCCCAATGTGGACAGATGGTACCAGAATGCCAAGAAAGTCACTCCTGGATGGGACGAGAACTGGGAAAGTCTCCTGGAAATGAAGGCTTACTTCGAAAGCATTTTGGCCAAAGAAGCAAAGAACTAATCACTTGACCGAAAGCAGTATTATCCGTTTCTCTCTTATATTTGTAAATTGAAAATAAATAATAAATATTTAAAATAAATCATAAAACAACAATGTATTAAATTCTGCGGAATCCAATTATCAAACCAAAAATAACACAAACGAAAAATCACACCATTACCTCTAGTCTAGACTACATTTTTGTTTATATTCACGTGAATCTCAAGTGGTATAATGAAATCAATCTCAAGTTCGATAAAGTTATTTATTGATTTTAAAGAGGTCTGTTAATTTTCGACGGTTATCTAAAGTTCTAAAAATTCCTAGCAATTAAATCATTTGTTTTTTAAATTGTTTAAAAAATTACCATGAATCATACCTCTGGATAATAGTATGAAACGCAGTATCAATATCACACCCAAAGAATGTTTTGAGGTTTTATCTATAAGCTACGTCAGTTCTGAATAGACATTAGGATATCAGGGCGCATAGTTCCTCACCCTAATGGGAATTCCAAAGTCAAAAGGTCAGGATTATAATAAACTTATAATATTTTTTCTTGTAATACTAATAATTTCTTGGCTAGACTATTATGAAAAATCCCTGTTAGTGGTTCTTATAAATATTTCTTCCTAGGACATAACAATCCATGCAGTTGGCCATACAAAAATTTATATCTTTAAGATACATCCCTACATAGTTCAACTGATGTCTTTTTCATTAAATAAAAGTCATTCTTCTTACCTTTAATAATTTATTTAAATTAAGCAAGCCGTAATAAACTTTATTCTATTACTACAATAAAATGCTTACATTTTCGGCAATTTTGAACAAATACACGCAAAGTGATACTTTATTATATAACAATAAACATATTCATGTATGGTGTGGTATGTATTTAATTTTTCCAATTTTCCGCTGCGTGGCCGTCTCAGCTATTCTAGTCGACGCACCGTTGCCGATTTATAGATTTTAGTACCGAGAAGCTATAGATATTTAGTCCTTGCTCTGCATGTACTTGATCAGATCGATGACACGGTTGGAGTAACCGAACTCGTTGTCGTACCAGGAGATGAGCTTGACGAACTTGTCGTTCAGCGAAATGCCAGCCTTGGCATCGAACACCGACGAGTGGGTGTCGCTGAGGAAGTCGGTGGAGACGACCTCCTCATCGGTGTAGCCGAGGATACCCTTCAGGGGTCCGTTGGCAGCCTCCTGAACCTTAGCCTTAATTTCGTCATAGGTGGCACCCTTGCCCAGGCGCACGGTCAGATCCACAACGGACACGTTGGGGGTGGGCACACGGAAGGCCATGCCAGTCAGTTTGCCGTTGAGGGCAGGGATGACCTTGCCGACGGCCTTGGCGGCACCGGTGGATGCCGGGATGATGTTCTGGGCAGCGCCACGTCCATCGCGCCACAGCTTGCCGGAAGGTCCATCGACGGTCTTCTGGGTGGCAGTGGTGGCGTGCACGGTGGTCATCAGACCCTCAACGATCTCGAAGTTGTCGTTGATGACCTTGGCGAGGGGAGCCAGGCAGTTGGTGGTGCAGGAGGCATTGGAGACCACCTTCATGTCGGGGCTGTAGGCATCCAGGTTGACGCCGCAGACGAACATGGGAGCATCGGCCGAGGGGGCAGAGATGACCACCTTCTTGGCACCGCCCTTCAAGTGGGTGGAGGCCTTTTCGGTGGTGGTGAAGACACCAGTCGACTCAACAACGTACTCAGCGCCAGCGCTGGCCCAGTTGATGTTAGCGGGGTCGCGTTCGCTGAAAACGGTGATCTTCTGGCCGTTGACGACCAGGAAGCCGCCCTCAGCGGCGACGGTGCCCTTGAAACGTCCATGGGTGGAGTCGAATTTGAACAGGTAAACCATGTAGTTGACATCGATGAAGGGATCGTTGACGGCCACCACGTTGGCGCCCTTATCGATGGCGGCACGCAGAACCAGACGGCCGATGCGGCCAAATCCGTTAATTCCGATCTTCGACATGGTTATAGTTAAAATAAGTTAATTTTCTTTGGCTGTTGCAAATTTAACTTCCGCTCCTTTCGCTTGCTGAGAACCGACTGTGGCTACAGTGAGACGTTGAGCACTTTCGCTTATACGAGAAAATTTTCAAGGTCAGTTGAATGTCATCTGTGCCAAAGGCAAAAACTGCCATAGAAAAAGCTTTTTTCTCTCATCTCTGTGAAAGCTAAAGCTTTTTATTGTGCGCGTGTGCTTAACCTTTAGTTGGCTCACCGGGTGCTAGTGTTGGATGACATCTGCTAGCTATAACTTTTATGTATTTTAAGGTTTACTTTATTAAAAATAATATTTATTAGCAAGAAAAATTAATAATTTGTTTTATAAAAATAATACTAACAAGAAATTTTTAGTTTTAGCTGTCAATTCTTCTGAAAAAATAGATTTGTTTTGTAAAAAAAAAAGCTTTGGCCCACTTAAAGGTTAAATTTTATTAATCACTCTCTCCCTTACTGTCTCTCTCAACATTTACTCTCTCTCATGAAATAAAAACTCAAAAAATACATACATACATACATATGTACATCAAAATTGTAATTGTTTTATTATTATTACCTTTAGTCATTTCTATAATATAGAAATAGATAAGATAAAAATGCATTAGGCCATAGACCAAATCCCAAAGGCCCTCCCAGTTTAGATTAATCTATTATTAGTCAGTCCAGGAGCTTTCTATTTATATGTAAACGAAATGCAACGAAAGTGCTTGCATAACTTCATAGTATGTCATGAAAAAAATAAGCTAAAAGTGAGGTAATAAGCCGGTGCAAAGCGAAATCTGCTAAATAGTTTTTCCATTTCATTCTAAACGTGCACATTTGCCGAAAATATTAAAAATACGTCACATGCTCTGGGGAAACGGGGTTTTTGACACGGCGTGCTTTTTAGGGGTCAAATGTAAGTGAATTGGATGACCTGGGGTTAGGAGCAAGGAAGAGAAAAGGAAAGGAAGCAAATGTTACGTAGTCGTAATACTACCCTAAGCCTACCACAACGTACATAGTATACATATTGGTGTACTAATGTTTGAATTTTTATATCAACGTAGCTCTCATATACAAAGCTCATATTCAGAAAAAATTAAAAATTATATTAAGCTCAACTAAATGTTTACTAAACTAATATTCAAGATCGAACGATTGTATGGACCAGCCCCTCATCTTGGTCTTTCATTTCTAACTTCTTATCAAATTAGAATGTTTTAAAAACAGTTCATTTACGTCACACTATATGTATATATATAATTTTACACTAAAAACAAAATTTAATATGTAAAATGCCCAATTTCCATTATTAATTATGTACATACAAATTTCATCCTTAAATTACAATGGATTTATACTATTCTTATTAATTATATTATATTACGTCCTCAATTCTTCAAAATAATAATCATCTATTGTCTTGGGATAAAAACTAATAGAAAAAAGTAAATTTCGGTACCCTTGAGTATTTCGGCACCTACTTAGCCATCTAAGCACAGTGGGATTTTCAAATCATCTATTTTTAAATATATTTTAAAAAACTCCAATGAAACATGAAGGTATTTTTTAACTCAAAAATAATATGGTGTATAATTGTATAAGGTTAAATGTTTAAGTTATTGTTATGTTAAGTTAATTTTTTATTAACAAAATTTTGTTAAGCTCTAATTTTTAAAATCACATGAATTATTGTGAATTATAAGTGCATAGATTTTTAGAAATTTTATTAAACATTAAAGCTTGTTGCTACGAGTATTTAATTAGTTATGAAGCATTTATCAAGTTCGTTTCTAGAGTAAAGTATCAAATCGTAGACTTAATAGAAATTAAAATCAATCCCCACCAGCTGCCTTCAGGGGAAAAATTGGCGACGAGATCAAATTTAGGTTTTTGTGTGGGGAACGCTCTCACAAATACAAACAATACCCATTAAAACATACAAACATAGGAAATTGACCAAAAATAAGAGAATAAAGTAAGAGAAAGAATAAATTTTCTACTTAACTATGCTATATAAGCCCAGGCATGGGTGGAACAAATGGTAGTCTCTGAAAAAACGCGAATCCCGACAAACATGGACTTCTATTATTATAACGCTGTGGCTGCTTGCCGGTCAGTTATAATGGTGGCCGAGACTCTGGGCGTTAAGCTAAATAAGAAGGAAGTGAACACCCTCAAGGGTGAGCAGATGAATCCGGATTTCATAAAGATTAATCCCCAACACCTCATCCCCACCATTGTGGACGATGGATTCGTCCTCTGGGAATCGCGTGCCATTGCCGCATACCTGGTGGAGAAATACGGAAAGGATGACTCTCTCTACCCAAAGGATCCCCAAAAACAGGCCGTGGTCAACCAGCGTCTGTACTTCGATATGGGCATTTACAACGCCGTTGCAAAATACTACTTTGTGGCTTTCTCAACGGGTAAATATGGTTCTGAGGAGGATTACAAGGGCTTGGAAAATGTCGTTGGGTTCCTGAACACCTTCCTGGAGGGCCACGACTATGTGGCTGGTGACCAACTAACCATTGCAGACATGGCTATTCTGGCCAGCGTCTCCAATTTGGTCAGTCTGAAGTTTGATCTCACCAAGTTCCCCAATGTGGATAAATGGTTTAACCACGTCAAGTCGGTTGTTCCCGGATTTGAAGAGAACTGGGAAGGAGCTCAGTTGGTGGCCAAAAATGTCGCTTCTAGACTTCAATAACTGATATTTTGTGAATCGATTTTGAATGTAATTTAAAAAAATAATTTACTAAAATAAGTGATATATTTTTGTGTCAAAAACTGAATTAAAATAATGACGTTTAATAACTGAAAATACCTTTTCCTTTGATTCAAAAGGCAGGTGTCCGAAAAATTGCAGATCAGCATGAAAAACGACAATGAGGTCCCGATGAAGTATATTCTTATCAAGTTTTGTTGCTTTAATTGAGACATAAAACTCACACTAAATATAATTTAAGGAACACATCAGCATCAAGGATCTAGGAATGTAAATTGGCAATATAGACATCACTGTTTTCCATACTATATAGCAGTTCCTATGCACTTCCGGTCCCAAGCACTTTCCAAACTTTCAAGGGGGTCCATGGAAAAAATTGACAAAAAATCAAATCAAAAATTTGTTCGAGGGTTTTAATGCAGATTTATTGAGAATCGATTCACCAATCGTTTGGGGTATTCCGCTCAAGAATCGGATGGAAATTGACAAAGATATAAGCTTCGCTGTGGGCCATATAACCGGTCCCAAGCATTTCCCCAATTTTCGAGGGGGTCCATGGGAAAAATTGACAAAAAATCGAATAAAAAATTTGTTCTAGGTTTTTAACGCAGATTGATGGAGAATCGATCCACAAATCATTTGGGGTATTCCGCTTAAGGATCGGATGGAAATTGACAAAGATATAGGCTTCGCTGTGGGCCATATAACCGGTCCCAAGCATTTTCCCAATTTTCGAGGGGGTCCATGGGAAAAATTGACAAAAAGTCGAATAAAAAATTTGTTTCAGGATTTTAATGCAGATTGATGGAGAATCGATCCACAAATCATTTGGGGTATTTCGCTCAAGAATCGGATGGAAATTGACAAAGATATAGGCTTCGCTGTGGGCCATATAACCGGTCCCAAGCATTTTCCCAATTTTCGAGGGGGTCCATGGGAAAAATTGACAAAAAATCGAATAAAAAATTTGTTTCAGGATTTTAATGCAGATTGATGGAGAATCGATTCACAAATCATTTGGGGTATTTCGCTCAAAAATCGGATGGAAATTGACAAAGATATAGGCTTCGCTCTGGGCCATATAACCGGTACCAAGCATTTTCCAAACTTTCAAGGGGTCCATGAAAAAATTTACAAAAAATCGAATCAAAAATTTGTTCTAGGGTTTTAATGCAGATTTATGGAGAATCGATTCCCAAAATGTTTGGGGTATTCCGTTGAAGGATCAGATGTAAATTGTCATAGATATCATCACAGTTGTGGGTCCTATTTAAGACCTCGGCAAGAGTATAAGTTCTTCGTCTTGTTAGAAAGGCGGTTTAATCTACAACACGTGGTTCTTCTATAAACAGTGATAGTACTTATTACTAACGCAGTTACCGGCTTTTAAAATTTTAGGGCAATCGACCGATACCACTTTACCACTTGGCACCAGAAATATGAGAGAAATACCTCGGCAATCTCTTAAGTTTTTATTATCAAAAAGTGCTATATAAATAAGAGCCCCTGGGTGAGCAGTTTAGTAATCAAGTTTCCCCTCAGAGAACAACATACGATATGGACTTCTACTACAGCCCCGGCAGTAGCGGTTGCCGAACGGTTATCATGACCGCGAAGGCAGTGGGCGTGGAGCTAAACAAGACGTATCTGAGCGTGCGTAAAGGGGAGACTCTAAATCCAGAGTTCGTGAACCTCAATCCCCAGCACACCATTCCCACCATTGTGGACGATGGTTTTGTGCTCTGGGAGTCGCGTGCCATCGCCATTTATCTGGTGGAGAAGTACGGCAAGGACGATTCTCTCTACCCAAAGGATCCTCAAAAACGGGCCGTGGTTAACCAGCGCCTGTTCTTCGACATGGGCACACTGTACCCCGCATTTTCCAAGTTCTACTATTCTCTTTTTCGACCGACTAAGCCCGGAACTCTCGAAGACTACAAAAAGATTGAAGATGCCTTCCAGCTGCTGAACACCTTCCTCGAGGGCCAGGAGTACGTGGCCGGTGACCACCTCACCGTGGCGGATTTTGCCTTTGTGGCCACAGTTTCCACCTACGAAGCCGTCGAATTTGACATTGGAAAATACTCAAACGTATCCAGGTGGTACGAAAACGCCAAAAAAGTAGTTCCAGGCTGGGAGGAAAACTGGGAAGGCGTACAGGGTTTCAAAAAAATTTTTGAAGGAGGGCTAGATGAGTTCAAAAAGAAATACGGTTTATAAAAGTCTGTATGAAGTGCAATAATATCTAAATTATATTTAAAGGAAAATTAAACTTTTCTTTTATTAAAAATCCCATATAATACCTTATTAACACTCCGGCTAATCAATTTTTATTTAGTTCATCATTTTTCCGAACACAGTATCAGCATATTGCAAGAATACTTCTGATACTTCAAAGAATAATGATGACAGTTCATTCCAATAATATGTAAAATAATCTACCAAAATGTATATGTTTTTTAAAAACAAAATGATTGTTTTTACTTTTTACAGCTACTTAAGTTCAATTAATTTTTATAATAAGAAACATAATCTCTTTTGGCACACAACGAATTGAAATTTCTATAATAACAAAATTTACTTATCAATCTACTTATTAAAAAAACTCAGGCCATTTTTCCACATTAAAGTCGTTTGATATTAAAATAGGTAATAAAAAAGCTGGAACATTTTTCATGACCCATAGCGACGTAATCGTATGTTTGAGCACAAACTTGTCTCTTATCTTTCTGTGCCTTTCCCAATTGTATTATTATTAACTCATATCTGATAAACACTCGTGGATCCGAAACGAAATCAATTGCCACCCAAAAATTAGAAGAGAATATTCCAACCATGACTAGCTACTTTTATAATTTCACAATCACAATGCTATATATAAGGGACCCCAAGTAGGAGTACCTCAGTTTACGATCCACCGTCGTGCAACACACAACATGGACTTCTACTACACTCCCGGAAGCAGCGGATGCCGCACCGTTCTCATGACCGCCAAGGCTGTGGGCGTGGAGCTTAACAAGATTATCCTGAACCTGCAGGAGGGTGAACAGCTGAAGCCCGAGTTTGTGAAGCTCAATCCCCAGCACACCATTCCTACGCTGGTGGACAACGGATTCTCCATCTGGGAGTCCCGCGCCATTGCCGTTTATTTGGCGGAGAAGTACGGCAAGGACGACTCCCTTTTCCCCAAGGATCCCAAGAAGCAGGCACTGGTGAACCAGCGATTGTACTTCGATATGGGTACCCTGTACGCCGCATTCTCCAAGTACTACTATCCGCTGATACGCACTGGTACTCCCGGAACTCAGGAAGATTACCAAAAGATCGAAGCCGCCTTCGAGTTCCTAAACACCTTCCTCGAGGGCCAGGACTACGTGGCCGGGGACCACGTCACCGTGGCGGATATCGCCATTGTGGCCACTCTGTCCACCTTTGAAGCCGTCGAGTTCGACTTTAGTAAATACTCCAATGTTACTCGGTACTACGAAAACGCCAAGAAAGTAGTTCCCGGCTGGAAGGAGAATTGGGAGGGTCTGCAGGCTTTCAAGAAACGTGTTCAGGAACGATTGGCCGAACATAAAAAGAACTAATATTATACACTGCCGCTCAACTGAATAGGTTCACAAAAATTCGCATGCATTTTCATGATTTGTTCATTACATATTGATCGTACACATGTTTTTTTAAATACATTTCAACTTTATATTTGTGTCAATGAGTGTGTTCTAGCTAGAACCGTTTGCGATGTACCGTTAATTTGCATTTTCTGTTTTTCTATTTCTTTCGCTGATTTCTTTCAAATTTTTTGGTTCAACTGAATAGGTTCAGCTGAAAACTTTTTAGTTTGCAATTAAACTTGGCGGATTAGTGACACATTTTTGATGCAAAATTTTAATTTCATATATTTTCTTTAAATTAATTGAAAAATGGGACGCGGAGAACAATTATCCGAATATGAAAGAGGTCAAATTGAAGCCTATCGTGAAAGTGGACTTAGCCATCGCAAAATCGCTCAAAAAATTGGACGAAGCCAAAATGTTGTAAGCAATTTTTTGAGAAACAAATCAGAATATGGCAAAAACATGAAAGGCGGAGTCAAACACGCCACCTCTGCGACAGACAGGAGGCATATTGTGCGAGCTGCGTCCAATTCACATCTGTCAGCACCCAAAATTAAAGAAATTTGCGGTGTTAAAGCCAGTGTGTCAACTGTTAAAAGAGTGATTTCGTCGGCTGATCATCTAAAACGAATGAAACTTAAAAAAAAACCACCTTTAAATGATGCACGTAAAGCTTCACGACTGCTCTTTGCGCGCAAGCATATGAGCTGGACGAGCGAATGGCAGAAAGTGGTTTTTTCCGACGAAAAGAAGTTTAATTTGGACGGCCCCGATGGATACAACTATTACTATCATGATCTTCGAAAGGAAGATAATTTCCTGAGCCGTCGCCATAGCTGTGAAGGAGGCGTAATGGTTTGGGGGTCGGTATCAGTCTTTGGCACTTGCGACCTGCAATTTGTTACTTCCAAAATGAACGCAGAAACCTACAAATCCATAATACAGACAGCGTTTCCTTATTACTCCAACATTTTTCACGTTGTTAAATGGACTTACCAGCAAGATAACGCTCCTATTCATACAGCTAGGGTGGTAAAAGAATGGATTAAGGCTCAAAATGTGGACTTGCTCGAATGGCCCCCATATTCACCTGACCTTAATATAATGGAAAACATATGGGGGTTGCTATCGCGCAAGGTATATGAAGGAGGCAGGCAATTTGATAGCAAAACAACTTTAGTAGAGGCAATTAAAACGGCCTGGACAACAATTTCGCTGCAAATACTGCAAAATTTGTATAGCTCGCTTCCCGATCGTTTATATGAAGTTATATCGAAAAACGGCGGATTCACTCATTATTAAACTTATTAAAAATTACATTAGAAATGCACTAAAGTATAAGCCAAGTGCCAAAAATTTGAAAATGTTATAAGTTACTTATATAATTTGTATTTTTTGAGGATGAACCTATTCAGATGAACGAAAAAAATTCATCGATTTTGTTAAGCTTTCAGGAGAAAAAATAAATAAGGATTAAATAATATGTTTTTGATAAAAACTTCTTCAGATTTTTATTTTAATATGATTTAAGAATTAAAGAAAAAAAAAATGATGTAAATTGAAAAAGTGGTTTAGGAATTATAGATAAATTTCTACCACTAAAATCATCAACCTATTCAGTTGAGCGGCAGTGTATTACAACAAAAAATTATTTTATTAAATAAAAACTAAACTATTTATCACATTTATTTTTTAATTTACTGGATGTGTGAAAATACACTTCTCTTAATTCACTCAAAGAACAAATATTTTTCAGACTTTATAATTTTTGTATAAATTGTAAATAAGCCTAAATGTGTCTACCTTTAGTTGAATGAACAAATATTAGTCATTTATGAACTCGAAATCGTTTAGGCAAATATAAACAAATGGTAAAAGTTAACAATTTTAGCTTATCTTTTTTGGAGTACTTTTATGGCGTTAGAAAAATATTTATACTCTTGCAATAAGTATTACAGTTTTGTTTCAAAGAATGCAACGCGATGAAGAAAATATGTAATTTTCCTTTAAAATAAAATATATATTTTATATTAGGTTCTTCTCTTAAATCGATATTAGCAAGTGTATAAAGATAAAACTTTAAAAATTTAACACACCAAATAGCTTTGCTGTTTTTTAATTTACAAGTTTAAGACTTTCTAAGGATTATGTTATTAGTCAACTTATTCGATCTATTCCTTTTTTCAATCCGGTAAATAATTCCAATACAAATACAATATTTGTACCTTAATTTAAGTGCAAGGGTATATCAAGTTCGGCTCTGCCAGTAGCTAGCTTTTCGTTTTATAAAAGATAATTATCTGTATGTATTTTTAGATCACAACAAACCACAAATTGCCAAAAAAAATGAAATAAAATGAGGTAAAAACAAACACCTATCGTGATTATCAGTCAGGTAGAAGTCCAACAAGTTGTTAGCATTTATAAGTGGGAATTCCTGCCACTGTCAAATTAGTCGACTTTTGCTATTCCAGCCAGCAGGGTTTATTGAAGACTTTTCGTCATGGATCTGTATAACATGCCAGGCTCGCCGAGCACTCGAGCCATTATGATGACCGCCAGGGCTCTGGGAGTAGAGTATAACTCCAAGTTTCTAAACACCTTTACAGGAGAGCAACTGAGCCCCGAGTTTGTGAAGATCAACCCTCAGCACACTATTCCCACACTGGTGGACCATGGATTCGTCATCTGGGAGACACGGGCCATTGTTACTTACCTGGTGGAGCAGTACGGAGAGCCAGACTCTCCGCTGTACCCCAACGATCCTCAGAAACGGGCTGTGATCAACCAGCGACTGTATTTCGACATGGGCACCCTTTACGATGCATTCGCAAAATACTACTTTCCTCTTTTGCGAACCGGCAAGCCGGGAAGTCCGGAAGCCTTGGAGAAATTCCACACGGCTTTCGACCTTCTGAATACCTTCCTGGAGGGCCAGGACTACGTGGCGGGCACTCAACTAACGGTGGCCGACATCGTCATCTTAGCCACAGTCTCGACCACAGAGTTGGTTCCCAACTTTGATTTTTGCAAATACCCAAATGTGGAGAGGTGGTACAAGAACGCGCAGAAGGTCACCCCCGGATGGAATGAGAACCTGGAAAGGATTCGAGATGCAAAAAAATTCCTTGAAGCCAACATGATAGAAAGTTTAAAAGTGTAAACCTTAATAAAATTTAAAATGGAATACCTTACTATAAGTCTTTTAATGATGATTATAAAAAATGCAAATATATTACGGCAAACTACGGTACAAGAGCTGATAACTTTAAGATAAGATTGTCATTTCCAAACACTTGATAAGATTTGTCATATCAATTGTACCTCTTGATGCTTCATCATGAATAATAAGTAAAAGCAAGTGTTTTGATTTATATTACAGTCGACAACAAAATTGAAACAAATTATGAAATACAATAGAACTTAATAAACCAATAAATATCTTGTTTCTGTTGGGATACCTTAACCTACAATAATTGTATCAAATTTAACTAAAGTATTCAAAATACTCAGCGTAATTATATGGTTTGTATATAAATACAAAAAAGTATACATTATTCATATAATTACCTTCTAGAGTTTTCTTCATTTATGCTTTCTCAAACCTCCATCGCGAAATTCATAAAAATTGTTTACTAACAATGACAAACATATTCTCGCTATCGTTAAAAATGAGAGAACAGTTTTTCAGTATAAATAGGGGTCCCCTGTGGGAGTACAATCAGTTTGCTTCGCTCTGTCGACACGGTCGGTATACACTCGGAATTCTTCAACATGCCCCAATTGGATCTCTACAACATGCCCATGGCTCCCGCCAGCCGGGCCATCCAGATGATTGCCAAGGCCGTGGGAGTGGAATTGAACTCCAAGCTCATCAACACCATGGAGGGTGACCAGCTGAAGCCCGAGTTCGTGAAGATCAACCCCCAGCACACCATTCCCACACTGGTGGATGACGGATTCGCCATCTGGGAGTCGCGAGCCATCGCCGTCTACCTGGTGGAGAAGTACGGCAAGCCCGACTCTTCCCTATACCCCAAGGATCCCCAGAAGAGGGCTCTGATCAACCAGCGCCTGTATTTCGATATGGGCACCCTCTACGACGCTATGGGCAAATACCTCTTCCCTCTCTTCCGCACCGGAAAGCTGGGAGATCAAGAAGCTCTGGACAAGTTCAACGCCGCCTTTGAGTTCCTTAACACCTTCCTCGAGGGTCAGGACTTCGTAGCCGGCAAGGAACTCACGGTTGCCGATATCGTTCTTCTGGCCACCGTGTCCTCAACCGAGTTTATATCCTTCGACTTGTCCAAATTTCCGAATGTGGATAGGTGGTACAAGAACGCCCCCAAAGTGGTTCCCGGTTGGGCTGAGAATGTAAAGTCCCTTGAGGAGGGTAAGAAGTTTTTCGAGCAAAAATTAGCCGAAAAGAAGTAAACCATCGACATTTAAATTATTCTATTTTGTAAATTTGTAAATAAATAAAAATTTGTATATAAACTATTCCATCTTGTTTTATGATTATGAGGGTAATCTGGTCTTCCTTTAAAAATAGTAGATAAGAGATATATTTAGCTTGAAAGAATGCTTGGAGAACTGGACAAAAACAAATGGGTACAGAATGTTTCTTATAATAAAAAAATAAGAGATATCTGGACTTCAAATTAATTATACATATTTTTATTTTCATAACTTAGCCATTAAATGTTAAAACATATCAGAGTTCTTAGTCATAAAGCCAAAGCCCTATTTAGTTTTCTTAATAATTATTCGTAATTGCGGCGTTTAATTTTAATGAACTCTACGTGGCCTGACCCTAGACCTCTCTGGGCACTTGCCCCAATCGGAGAAATGTGCTCATTATCTGGCCATTAGCTAAGCACCTCCGCCATTTGACAAAAGCTCCCACCCAGCGCTATATAGAAGTTGCAAGTCACTCTATGACTATATATGGAAATCGATATGAATTCGGTTGCCGGTGTCGTTGCGTATAAAAGCCGGTTTCATCCACTTGGATTTGGTCAGTTGTGAGTAACATCTCTTGCCGAACTAATCACCATGGACTTTTACTACTTTCCGGCCTCGGCTCCGTGTCGGTCTGTTATAATGACAGCCAAGGCTCTGGGAATCGATCTCAACATGAAGCTACTGAATCCCATGGAGGGCGAGCAAAAGAAACCCGAGTTTCTGAAGCTCAATCCCCAGCACACCATCCCCACCTTGGTGGACGATGACTTCTCCATCTGGGAGTCGCGGGCTATTTTGATCTATCTGGTGGAGAAGTACGGCCAGGATGATTCCCTATACCCGCAGGACCCCCAAAAGAAGGCGGTGGTCAACCAGCGACTCTTCTTCGACATGGGTACTCTGTTCGATAGTTTCTTGGCGGCTATCTATCCGCAGTTCAAGAACAACACACCTGCTGATCCGGAGGCCATGAAGAAGGTGGACAGCGCCTTCGGGCATTTGAACACCTTCCTGGAGGATCAGGACTACGTGGCCGGCGACACTCTCACCATAGCCGACATAGCCATCCTGGCCTCCGTGTCCACCTTCGAGGTGGTGGACTACGATTTCAGCCCATTCCCGAACGTGGCCAGGTGGTATGAGAACGCCAAGGAGGTGACTCCCGGATGGGACGAGAACTGGGAGGGTGTGCTTATCATCAAAAACTACATCGAGAAGCAGCGCCAGAAGGAGTGAACTTACCTAAGCAATATTTATTTGTTAAATAAATTATTAAAAGTATTAATACCATATATGGTTATCAAAATATAGAAAAACAACGAATAGCAATTCCATGGGTTTGTGTTATTTTTATCTTATCTGTACAATCATTTTCCATGGGAGCTTTATGGCTTTTATCATATCATCTAGTTTTAAAAAGCAATGTGTGGTTCAATATAATCTCCAATTAAAAATGAATGAAATTGAGGGATTGTATCAGTATCTTGTGGCTTGTGGAATTTCAAATGAATTTCGCTCTGAAAAGTGCACGCGATGTGTTACTTGGGCCTCTCCGGAACTACGTTCTATAAAGTAAAACAAATAGAACCATAGATAGAGCTAGACTGGGCCGTTTACCGCTCGACTGTTAAAACAATTGCAATTCCAACTAAATTATACAGGCAGTACTGACGTTGTTTACATTACTCAGTGGCCTCAACAATTACAGGAGGGCTGATTCAAAAGTTATTTGATTGATTCCCATACTTGTACTCTAAAACTGAATAGTTTATTTACCTTTAGACATTTTAAAAGATGACCAATAAAAAAATCGTAGTTTTTAGATATATTTTTTTATTTTATTCCTTTCTACAAACTATTATAGCTACCCCTGTGACATATAAAAGTGAAAACTGTTTTTATGGCGTCATTAAAGGTATTGTTTTGCATTCCACTTAATTAACGAGACGGCACTAAAACTAAAACCCATTCCTTCATCGCCTAAGTGGTTGACACCTCCGATGTGTCCACTAGCTCCTGCAGTTGCTGGTATTTCTTGATGGCGTTCTGAACAAAAACGCTGGCACGTCGCACCCGCTCCGGCGTAATTTCTTCGGCCAGCATACGGCCCACATCCTGGGCGCCACCAGATCGCAGGATATTGACAGCCTGGGCGGGAATATCACAGATCGGCGTCACACGGCACAAGGCACTGGCGATGGAACTACCAAACAAAATGATTCCAATAGTGGACAGGACCACGGCAATGATGCGGAAGAGCGACGACATCAGGATCGAGGGCAGAAACCTTGAGGCAAAGGCCACAAGAGGATTGGAAGCTGAGGAAGAGGAGTCGGTAGAAGCCACCACAGTAGTGGTATCGGATGCAGCGGCATTGGCAGGGACTAGGAATCCTTCGTATCCTGTCTGAACGACAATGGGACCCGGGTAGGGATAAATGCCAGGAGCTGCAGCGCCTACAGGGGCCGGATAGGCGCCCACAAATGGCGGATAGGCACCGTACTGCGTCAGATACTGCTGGAACACCTCTGGCGTAAGGACACCTCCGGCATAGATGGTGGTGGGATCGATGCTGCTGGCACTGGCAACGTTATCAGGCTGTAAAATAAAAAAAATTAATCTCTAATCTTTATTTTAAAATTAATTTAAACTTTAATTAAGGTCTTTGAGGAGTCTAACACAAAAACACTTTAGCATAATTATTTCAAAAATCATATTCTTAGCCACATTGTCTTCTTTGGGCATTCTACTTACCGTCGATGACTCTGAGGATTCCGGTTCTTGGGTAGCTTTGTCCTTGGAACTGGTCAGGGCAGCATCGTTGGCCGAGGCTTCTCCGCTTCCTTCGGGCAACTTATCCGACTCTTCGATGGTATTGGGCGTCGAAGCTGATGGGGAACTATCCAGAGCTGGAACTCCGAATCCCTCATGGACCACCAAGAGCAGGAGCAAGAGCAAATGAAAGTGACACCGTTTCATCTTCTTTGTTTGAGGCTAGACAGTCAACTAATCGGCTTTCTAGCAGGTTCATCCTTTTTAAGGACATTCATTGCCTTCCACGTAGATTTCTCAGGATCATTTTGCAATTTATGTCGCATTTTCCTGGAAATACCCCGTCAGTCAGACAGGATCCCTTTATCCAGAATCCCTCTAATAAACGTCTTAGGACCCGACCTTACCTGATCCGTCCTGACCTTTCTAGCAGGTAGAGCTAGCATGAGACCTGTCACCTGGATTATTTATGACTTTTACTAATTACCCTAAAAACCGGCCATGTCCTTCGAGTGTCCCTCGAAAATGTCAAGCACGCGATGAAGTCGTGGCTGTCGAAAATGCTTGAAAATAAACATTCCAAGCCCCCGGATGATGGCGTTTCGAGAGGTGCCAATCAAGAACCCCTGACACCCCCACCCGACCCCTCGTCAACCTCTTATCAAACCTAGTGAATTGGAAAATCTGTTGGCAATCAATAAAAAGGTAAAAAGGATAGCATAGCTTCGAAATTATGTAGTCGTATAATTTTAGACACGAACAGGAGCATTTTGACCGACTTTCGGCACCATCCGGTTGTCTCTCCCACTGCCACTGCCCCGCCCCAAAAGCGGAGCATACAGGTGAACACCCACCAGGACATCGGTCGTCCTGGTAACCATTTTCGTTACGAAAACTAAACGAAAACAAAACGGGTCCCAAAGACAGCGCGCGGACAACAAAACAGAGTCGAGACAACATGCTCTGAAAATTGGCTAGACATCGGACGGATACATCCGTGGACAGCTCGAGGCCGAATGAGAGAGATTCTATCTGCCACAAAGGATCCACAGCAACGCACCAGCCGCAGCAGCCACAGGACTATCATTCGCATTCCCACCCGCCGCCAGGACAAACGCGAACGGGACAACATTCGACAGCATACTGGGGAACTGCATAGACATCGACTCGGTGGCCGTGGTGCAGCACAAGCTGGTGCACAGGATCGTGTGAGTAGTGGGTAGTAGAGTCCTGGTGGCCCAGTCCAGTGTCGTGAAACCCCAACACCCTCGGTGCTTGTTCCCTAATGAATAAATAAATGAATGCAATTAAGTGCGGGTCGCTGCATGGATTTGCCATATTCCTTGATAGCTGCAGGCAGAAAGGATTCGAAGTGAGGCATACCCAGGATTCATAGTTTTTCCAAATGAGAATTACCTGATTGGAACAAGATTTATTTTACACATGGAAATTTTACAAATCGTAGCATATTTTTAAGCATACTTTTAGGCTGAGAGATTTTAAACAAATAAATAAATTCAAATAATAAACCAACCGGGCTATAGACCACATCTTTGAGCCACTAAACTTCTCTATTCTTTAATATATATCCTTTGATCCACTCTTGATTAAACAAATTACTAAAAATAATGATGATTACAAAATTACATAAATTACCATAATTTCCTAGTAATATTTCGTTAACCAGCAAGCCCCAGAACCTACATAGGTTCTAAAACAATTGTCATTAATAAAATACATATTTCGACATACAAAATCGATGAATTGATTTTTTGCGTTGACCACCAACTTGGTGGTTTTTTTTCGGTGAGAAAGGCCTGCAAATGTCAAACTCGATTTCGGCCTGGCCGAAACAGTCCAGTTTTGGCCAATGAACGAGACAAAGCAAATTGTAACCGAATTCGTTTATTGTTTGCTCCTCAGAGGCGGGAAGATGTCGCCCCCCGTGCTATACTATCTGCCGCCTAGCCCGCCCTGCCGAAGTATCCTACTCCTGGCCAAAATGCTGGGCCTGGACTTTGAGTTGAAAATCGTGAATATCCTGGAAGGAGAACAACTGAAGCCAGACTTTGTGGCCATGAATCCGCAGCACTGTGTCCCAACGATGAATGACGAGGGCTTGGTTCTCTGGGAGAGGTAAATACTACTATTAATTTAAATCTGTGTAGTATTTTATTTAGTTTTATTGATACCTTTCAGTCGAGCAATACTCTCCTATCTGGTGGCTGCCTATGCCAAAAGTGATGAGCTGTATCCCACGGACATACGAGTGAGGGCTCTGGTGGATCAGAGATTACAATTCGATCTGGGAACACTTTACATGCGACTTACGGACTATTATGTGAGTAACTTTTTAATTATAACTCTTTAATTAACTGTCTTTTTTTTCTAGTTTCCTACCATGTTCATTGGAGCTCCATTGGATGAGGGTAAACGTGCCAAGTTGGCTGAGGCCGTGGGCTGGCTGAACATCATTCTGGAGGGAAAACAATATTCTGCCGCCGAGCACTTTACCATCGCAGATCTCACGCTCTTGGTGACGGTGTCCCAGCTTGAGGCCTTTGAATTTGAACTGCGACCCTACAAGCATATCCGGCAGTGGCTGGACCGCTGCAAGGATCACATGGCTCCCTACGATTACGAGGAGCTCAATGCCAGCAAGGCAACTCTTCTGGCCGATATGTTTAAGGCCAAGATGAACCAAACGGGTGGTTCTTAATGCTTATATCTATAAAATAAACTCAGTTACGTTTTAAGTGTTGTATTAAATAAAAGTATTGTTCTGTCAAGAAACCTTTTGTGTTTCTTTGTGAGGCTTCAGTATAATCCCATTACCAGGTATCTATCAATTGACATCCCAATTGGCAGTTAACTTAATTGAGTGACGGACTCCTAGGTGTGACAATCTAGATGAATCGACTACTTCATTGTTAACCGAGCCAAAACAAAAAAGAATCGACACACATTTTAAAAATACCGCCACCCAAAAAAAGGACACTGCCCCAAATGGCTGCAGGCAAATGTACAATATTAACGTGTGTTTGAAAATGGCCAACGAGAGGTCCAATAGCGATGGTCGGGGAAGGGAAGGGAAGAGGAGGGGATAGAGGCCAACTAACGGATGCTGATGGCGGCACCTGGAGAACTCAACTGAAATTTAATGGGACCACAACAAAAAAGGAAAAGAAACCAAGTTTTATGAGAGAAGCGGGCTATTTTTATATCACACAGAAAACAGAGCCGGGCAGAGCCAGCCCCAAGGTAGACTTTCACGGCAGGATAATGGAATCTGGCATCACAGTCTCACTTTGACCGCTGACAATGGCGGCCGCGGCAGCTTGGCTGGCTCTGGGATTAGCCATGGCTCTAACCTGGACCGGAAATAGTCAAAAACAGGAGCAATCGGGGCAGCAAACTTCCACCAGCAAGCAAGCGCAACTGTGGTTGGGTTGGTAGTAACTACTACTTACTAATGCTACTCCGTAATGCTACTCCGAATCCGAATCCCTTCCAGACTGCCCATGTCTGCACTTCAACGAACGCAACTCCAGCCAATGGGGTCACCTGGAAGTCAATGCTAGCCGTGCCGTGGGAGCCAAGAACAACTGCCTGATGATCTTTGTCGGCGGGAAGGACGATGAACTGGTGGCCTTTCAGCTCGAGCAGTTACAGCTGCGTCCCGGGTGAGTAGAACTACTTCCGGCGAAATTCCGGCGCTGCCGGTTGATCCGATGGATCGTCAAAATCGACGGACAGCTGCCGGCGACAGCCATCAAATCTGAATCCGTCGATGGATAAGGCAGCCGTCCGTCCGACTGTCCTTCAGTGGAAAAAAATTGACGATTGCCAATTGCCGATTCGCCAAATGCGGAATGAGCCAAGAACCCAAGGAGCCGAGAATCCCAGAAGCCAGAAGCGGCAATGTAATTAAAATACCTTGCGAAGGCCATGTGGGCGGTCCGGTGCGGTGGAGCCGTGGCCGTTGCGGCACGCCTGGTTATTTATATTTATAAATCCCGCAAATTTGTGTCAATTTATGCAGCCAGCCATTTGCGCCATTAAAAATAACGCACACACAATATTTCGGAATCGATTTGTCAATAAAATTGGAGAGCACTGGCCAAGCACATTTCAGTGACCGCCGATCGTTGCAACCGGGCTGGCCCACCAGTCGTATGAGTAATTCTTGAAGTGCAACACAGGAATCGCGTCCGAGTCGCTGTGCTGTCGCTAAGAAGTCGCGCGCGGCTCTCGGTGGTTGAAAGTGTCAGTGCTATCATTGGAAGATAATTGATGACTTTATAGGTTCAACTATTGTGAAGTTCATAAATAAATCAAAGAGTAAATATTTTTATTCAAAATGTCTATGGACCCTTCGGTTTCCCTTGAGGATCTGGAGCGAGTGAGTGAAAAATTAAGTGAGAAATCCTCTAAAGGATTTTAATCCATTCCACAAATTCCAATCTCAGCGTCGCCGTCGTGCCAGTACCGCCCGGAAGCAGTCACAAACCCCTCAGCCTCCAGCTCACCTGGCGGACTCGGAGGCCATGGCCGTGATCAATGAGATCTTTAATCCCACGTTGAAGTTGCCGGAGTCCAGTGGCCACTACACCCTACCGGAGGAAATGAGTGCCAACGATCAGGTGTCGCCACAGGAGCTGGACATTGCCAAGTTGGCCGAGTTGAAGGAAGTAAGTTGAAGCCAGAGGCGGAGAAGTGAGGGGAAAGTTACAAGTTCCCACTTGTTGCAAGGTCTTCTCCCTGTTCGACACGGATTGCGATGGTCTGATCTCAAAGGAGGATCTCCGGTTCACGTACACCGCTTTGGGCAACGAACCGAACGAGCAGCTCCTGGAACAGATGATGCAGGAGGCGAACGAGCCTCTGGACTACGAGGCCTTTGTCCGGCTGATGTGCAGACGCACTCAGGAGCTGGATCCCGAGGACGTACTTCTTGAGGCCTGGAGCAAGTGGGACGATCACGGCACGGGCAAGATCGATGAACGCAAGTGGGTGGCACAAGTGGAGTGGGGCAGGATCGGATTTGGATGATCTAAATCATTTACCCCGTAGGATCTACGAAGAGCTGACCAACTACGGCGACAAAATGACCCTCAGCGAGGCCAAGGAGGCTCTCAGTCATGCTCCGATGGCCAAGCCCAAGTCTCTGGAGGAACCGCCCATGATCGACTATCCTGCTTTTTGTCGGATGCTGGGAGGAATGCGGAAACGGAAAGGAGAATAACATGGAATGATTTATTATTATAAAGAGATTATGAAAAATATTATCCCAATTTTAAGAGGCTCCCATGGAAGGAATATAAATTTTACCACATTTTTAAAATTGTCTAAAATTTAGGAATTCTACAGAAAAAACCAAAATTCTAAATGATTTTCTAAAAAAAACAGCTTTTTTCTTCCTTTTTTTTTGTATAAACGTATTTTATTCACTTATAGATTCTTTCATTATAATTTTTCACTTTAAAACTCTTTATATTATTTTATTTAAACTAAACTATTTTCGATCATTCATTTTAGAATCCCTCATTCGTCATATATTTCAACCTCTATCCTTTCTTTATACAGATTACAGATAAAGATCCTTTCCTATATATCCTATAGCAGCTGTTTCCATTTGTGACAATCGTATTTTGTCGTAACGCCAACTTTTGTTCGACTTTTTATCAAAATAAATCGTGAAGAACCAACAGAGCGTTGGGAATAATTTCTTAATGGCCATTTGCTGGTTTACCAAGGGGATGATATTTATAGGCTAGCTGACCAACGAGCCAGCCCCAAACGTATCGGCCAATAAATTTTAGACATCATTACGCATCTGCTTCTGCAAACCAATGCAAGCCAATGCGAAATTCCTCTTAGTTTGTATTCCTATTTTATAATTCTTCTTATATATTTTTTGTGCAATTTATGCAATTCGGTGACAGCTGCTTGGACAGCGTGGAGGTCTTTCCGTATTTGCGGGAGCCCGTCATCGAGAATTCTACTTTGGCGGCGGACACCTTCTGTCAGCACAGCCGGAACCGCAGTGCCACGCCTATTTATAGCGCCGGTCGATTGTTTGGACTGCGACTCCGGTTCCAACAGCCGCCGACCACGGAGGAGGCCTGGAACTTGACCCTCAAAGCCAGCTATCGGTTTTTAAAGAAAGGTAAGTTTAAATATAATATTTTTTTTTTAGATTTATAATATTGTTTATCTTAATCTTTAAGAAAACTTCCGCACCGAGGGCCGCTTAGTGCCACACAGCTATTGTGACTTTTACTTTTTTGCTAGCCTGGCCGGAGAAGAGGGCAGTCTAGGCCAGGGCTACTTCCACTCCCCTCGGTTTCCGGCCCACTATCCGGCGCACATCAAGTGCGCCTACAAGTTCATCGGGCGTCCGGACACTCATGTGGAGCTCCTGTTTGAGGAGCTCCAACTGCCACCGGTGGTCAGTGGCGGTTGCCAGCTGGATGCCCTCACCATCTTCGATGCCGAATCCGCCCACATGAGCGCCGTCATCGATGTCCTGTGCTCACCCTGTCCCACCCGCCGACTTGTGAGCAGTGGGCCGGATCTGCTCCTCGAGTTCAACGCGAGCTCCAATCGCACAGCCAAGGGCTTCCGGGGCAAGTACAAGTTCGTGCCGAATGAGCCGGGGATGCTGTTGTCCGCGCCTCCGGTCGTGTTGGAGACAGCCAGCGTGGCGGTTAAGCAGGAGAAGCCCCAACAGCAGCAACTACAGCAATCCCTCGGCGTCAAGGCCAACAGTCTGCCGACGGATGCGGGGCTTTGGAAACCGGGTCGCTCATTTGGTGAGTTTGGCGCCCCATAAATTAGGATTAAATTGAAGGAACAGCCAATCATGGTTCTCACCCCCATATTCTCATTGAAAATGTGATGCAATCTTCCACTAAATTAGATGTTATTTCTACGAGGCAGACAACAGGCCAACAGTGCGGATAAGTAATGAGACAACACTGCGTATGAGTAATATGCTTTAAAGACATTTCACATCCGGGTTATTTCCAGTGAGCCTAATTAGCTCTCTATTGGAGAAATACTAACTAACACTAAGAAGTCAACTTAACTTTTAGCTGAAACTTTGTTTTTAGTGTCCTTTTTCATTCAATCTAATTGAATTACATTAATCGATGAGAAATGGCGGCAAAACTAGTTTCCTCACGCCCCTCCGGCGCCAACATCCGTCTGGTTTCCTCCGGGCTCTGGGGCGGAAACGGATGTGGCCAATCCACGGAGCCTGAGTGAAAGGCCATGTAAATGGCGATAGTCTCTTGGAATCAGTCTTCTTCGAGCTTCTGCTGCGTTCAAATGGCGCGCTTCGTCTACTTTCTCGTGCAACTTCATCTATTATGGCTATTTGTTTTCGGATCTTTGGCATTCTGTAGTGGCCCAAGCCCCAGTGAGTCATTAATGTGGCCAATAACTTTTATTAATTTTCTAAAAAAATTAAAACTAGTATTTGAGTGTGTAATATTCACTTAAAAACTAATCAAGAGCTTGACTAAAGACCAGAAAATGACTGCAAGCCCGCTGCATAAAATAAATTGAAGCATCCGATGAAGGACTTTGAATCTGTGAATAAAAAATATATTAGAGTGTATGCTTTTTTTTCCTGCATCCCTCCAACACACCGCCAGAATATTCTCCTTCCCCTCTCCAGAGACTCCGCTCCGGGGTCCTCCTTGCCCAAGTAGATGCGGATTCCTGGCAGGGCTTGCAAAAAGTAATCGTCCCAGTTGAGACTCCGGATATCGAAGTCGAAGAGCTTCTGATCCTCGGCGGACATGCGACGCCACAAGCGCTGGGTGTTCTCCGTTTCAAAACGCCACGACGTGTCCACAAACGGAGCCAGGATCTCAATGGTCTTATGTATCTTGTCGTACAGTCTAATCATCCGAGGCTTCCGGCCACGCACCCACAGAAACAGATCGATGGTGTACCCGGGTAGGAGGTGATAGAAGTAGGACACAAGTCGGAAGAGCCAGGGCGTGGTGGTGCAGTGCAGGAACGGCACCCACATCATCCGTGTTAGAGGGTAGTCGTAGCTCAGCCTTGTGGCCTTGTCCCGAAAACCACCCCAAGTGATCAGGTTCTCCTCGCAGGGTGTCAAAGCATAGATCGTCGGTTCCTTCCGAAGGCTGGGGCTAGTCACGGCCGTGTGCCAGGCACAGGTTAGTACGCAGTTGACACAGTAATCCACTGGCACAATTCCCGCCCTGGCCTTAACATTTAGCCTCGTGATGCGGAGGACTCCATAGGAGGCACCATGCAGCACAGCAATGGGTCCGTACAAATTATCAATCCAGCCGGACACCGGCTCCTTATAGCTGGCAATAACTTGAAAGAAAGCATAGGTCAAAAGGGCTCTACGACTCTAATCCACATCCACCTACTAACGCCAGGCCGAAAGATACAGATGGGTAGATCACCAGCCTCCTGCTGAATAACCTGCTCCGCCAGAGCCTTCGTGTAGGTGTAGGTATTTGGATACCTGCCCAGCAAAGCTGGCGCCATGTTATCCACCAGGTCAGAGCTGAGGGTCTCATTCAATTCCAGGACCTTGGCGGCGGGACAGGTCAAATGTTCCGGATAGAAATGCTCCTTGATATGGTCCACCACACAGTTAGAGTAGGCCGTAGAAACATGCACGAAAACCTGAAGATTCTGCATTTGGCGCGCCAGATCCAGCATCAGGCGGGTGGCCCGCGTATTTATGGCCAGGGCAATGTGCAACGGCTCAGTAAATCGGACTGTGGCGGCACCGTGGAGCACCACCTGCACCTCCTCCACCAGCAGCTGACGGTCCGAGTTGTTCAGACCCAGATCCGGTTCCTGGCAGTCGCCACAAAGTGGAGCCACTCGCTGCAAGGCCTTGGGATTCGATTGCAAAAGGCCAACAAAGACCTGGGGAAAAAACATTGCAGTTTGAAGGGTTTTTTCTCAAAAAATAAATTCTTTCAAGCCTTTTCTCACAAGACATGTCCTGTAATTTCGTAGACCTGCTCACCGGATGACTTTCCCAGCTGGAAAAACGCTCCTTGATGTCCTGACCACTTTTGGAACGCAACAGCACATAGATCCGTTTCACCTCTGTGGTGCGAAGCAGCTTTTCAATGATCACTGAAAAGGCAATAAACTTGATCTTGAACTTGAACTGGTCTCGATTGATGGCCATGTTTTTTGCCGGTTTTGCTCACAACCTATTGTTTCTTTTTTTTTGTCACTTGGATTGCTTTTTTTTTTGTGGCTAACACTCTGCTAATCGGTCCAGAGAATTGCATGTTGTGTATAATTCGTATAATTTGCAAAAAACGTCTCCATCTAACAAAGATCACCGGTCTTTGAACTTTATAAATATTCCTTTCTCATTAGATTACACTTTCAATATTAGTCATTGTACATTTTTGCCCATGGGCAAGCGAATTGAAAATATTTTTCAATAAAGTATCATAAAAAATATTTTAAAACTGAAATACCTCTGCCGAGGAAACCACTGCCACCTGTGAGAAAGACGACTTTGTCTTTATAAAATTTCTGCATTTCCGATGCCATTATGGATTTGGCTTCTACAACACTGATATCCTTGTCGCAACACAATCACACTTCCACATCAACACAAACGATTTCACTTTTCCGAGATCCGTGGTTGGAGATTCGATTTCCGATATCCGGCGGCGCAGACTATTCTTAAATGAAAGGTGTTCGGTATTTGCAGTCGTTATTTATACCCGATCCGGCCAAAAACAAAAAAAGCAATATCAATTCTACATACGTATATGCACACATCCGTAGGAAGACGAGATCGTAAATATAGCGTCAACATTTGCTTACCGGGCCAGCCGGGAGAGGAGGATTCCCAACAACAACCGGCTGCATATTACGTATACGCATTTATGGCCCATTAAAGCATGAGTGCCCCGCCCTAATGGCTGACCTGCTAAACAAACAGTTTGCTTAGGCTTTCTCATCTTGCATTTAGAACCTGCAGTTGGTGATAGTTTTTTTTTGTTTTTTTTTTTGGGCCCAGAAGAAATCGTATCGCAGTCCGGTAGGCAAAAACAGTTTCCAGGGCTCGTGCTAAGTGGCTTGGCACTCTCTGAACCCTCTATTAGCCATTTGGCTAATTAGAAAACGGTGTTACTTTGGCCACCCCATCGCCAGAGGTAAAGTACACCCCAGGGAAGGAGAGCAAAACCCGGTAGTTGAATAAAAGGTAATTAAACTCGAGTGCCTACGGACCAAGCAGTTAGTGATCCTCAAGCACGAGCTGTTTGCTGCATTTTAAGATTATCTATCGCGTTTATTAATTAAGCATTCTAGCTTTTTTTGGTTTGTCCAACCATTTTATTACTTAGTACATTGTAGTCCAATTAGTAGATAAGTGTGAAATTACAGAACTAATTTTTATGCTCCTATTTTGAATCCAAGCAATAAACAAATTACTTTGTAGAAAAGCCATAAAAAATCTTATTTTCTGCAATAAATTGTATTATGCTAAAATTTTCAATAAAAATTTGGCAGTTTTATAAAATTAATTGCGCAGCACATGCTTGAGTCCAAATCCGCCTTTGGATAACAATTATAAGCGAATCCTGTGGAAGCCACAGTGGAAGGATCAATTTTGCCTCCAGACGCCAATGTTATATCTCACTCAATATTTTGTAAGGAAATTACCCATTTATTTTATTACTTAGTAACTTATGAGTACATTGTAATCTCATTAGTATATGAGAAGGAAGTTAAATTGTTTGCCCATTAAATGATACCAGGTTTAATGCTAACCATAAACAACTTAATTGGTATGAAAACCATACAAAATCGTATTGGCTGAATTAAATCTTTAATAAATCACATTTAAAATTATCAATAAACATTTAACAGTTTTACAAAATCAATTACGCGGCACAAGCTTGAGCCAAAATCCACCTTTGGGTACCAATTGAAATCCACTGCTGGAGAGCTCAAGTGGAATACAAGACTTTTTGGCAGGGACGAAGCGGTAGTTCTTAAGAAGATAGTAAATGACAGCCTTTGCCTCCAAAAGAGCGAAACGTGATCCTAAAAGTATTTAAAGATACAAAATAATGTCCTTAAGCATCAGATATTAAAAATCTATTCAAATTACTTACCTATGCAATTCCGTGGGCCAAGTCCAAAAGGATAGTATGTGAAAGGCTGAATATTTGCCTTGTTTTCGTCACTAAAACGCTCCGGATCAAACTTTTTGGGATTCTCAAAGTACTGGGGATCACGGTGGAAGCCACAGGTGGGCAACCAGATGACATCGCCCTTCTTTATTTCCACGCTCTGGCCATCTACCTCATAGGTGATATCCTGATTGCACTCCCTATCAACAGCAATAGCTGCCGGCCATTTTCGGAGAACTTCCTGGACCACCTGATCCAAATACTTCATGCCCATGATGGCCTCATAGGTCAGTTCCTTGCCATCGAGCTCCTGATCCACCTGCTGCACCTCCTCGAACAGCTTCTGCTGCACATCCTCGTTCTCCATCAGCTCATGGGCGGCGAAACACATAAGCACCGCCGAGGTCTCAAATCCGGCGAAGAAAAACACAAAGCACTGGGCCACAATATCTCGATCGCTCCACTCTCGAACGGGGGTCGTTTTAGTCTTCTCAGTTTGGAAGATACCCTGAGCCTCCATCAACATATTTATCATATCTGGACGGATAATGTTGTGCTCCTGTCGGTACTTCATAGCATCTAGGACCAGTCGAACAAAGTACTGAGTGCTCTTTTTGTCGAAAAGTTCGATTTTCAAAATCTATAACAGATAAAAAATTAACTAACAAATTATACGTACAAAAATTCTACGAATTCTACGAACCTTATTAAGCCTTTTTAAAGTAAAGAATACCAAGAACTTAATGTTCTGGGCAAAGGTAAATGTTGTCAACTTTTTCCCCATCATATAGAAGGTGTTTTCGCGCTCCTTGAAAGAATTCACCTGAAGACCAAAGGCTGTCGAGGCGATCACATCATTGGTGAATCTTGTACAGTAGTCTTTCAAGTCCAACTCAATCCCCTCCTCAATTTTTTCATCGCGCTTTAAACAGTCAACGGCCTCTTTGGCTACTTGATTCATCAGCGAGAACATCTGACGCATTTTGCTGCCTGTGAAAGCAGGACTCAGAGTGCTGCGCATATCCTTCCACCGGGCATCCCGCATAGAGAACAGCGAGCTACCAAAAAGATTACTCATATCGTGGGGATCATCGTCACTGGAGGTGGCGAACACATTTCGATGGTTGATAAAGTGATCGAAGTCCTTGATGGTGATTTGCTTTATAAGATCAGGGTCTCGAACCATTAATAGGGGTTGCCGTTGCTCGAAGATTCCAAAAACCCTACAATAAAAATGGTTTTAATGATAGTATCTATAGAATAGTTAATGCATTTTATAGAAACACTTAAGGTTTTAAAAAGGTCGATTTAAAAAACATTTAAAACACCTAAAAATAAACACCATAACCTAGCCAATAATTTCTTTCTTAGCTCTCAAGCTTAATAGCTCTTATCTTATATTTTTTATTTTGCCTATATATATTTCGATTCACACTGAGATTATAAAAACAAAATTATACTCATAAATAATAAAAAAGTCGTAGAATATATGACTTCATTGATGACAGATGCCCAAATATCTCTAAAAAGTTTTCATTCAAACATTCAATGCTATGCTATCATCAAAGCTTTGATAACTTTTTCTATTTTTATACGAATTTATTTCTTTGTTTGACCCGCAACAAACAACAATTAAAGCTGCCATATGTATAGTCGATTAGATTAAAACAATTTAATTTGATAAACTGATAAATGTAACAAAGCATTTCACAATATTTACCTAGCTTTTCATTGTTTCTCTCTCTGATAAAATTTTTATTAGCATTATTCTCTCTCTGATAAAATTTTTATTTGCATTATTCTCTAAATTGTATAGATTTATTCACTCAATTCGATTGAACTCGATTTGAGAATATTTTTATTCAATAATCACTCAAACGTAACCCCACCCACCATAAAAACGCATACGATGGTGACACAACTTACAACACAAATAAGTAGTTTGACCTTGGCTGGAACCTATATATCATTTGTAGATCCCCATACTGGTTCTGAACGGTAGCACAACGCATTTTCGTAATTAAACCAGTCTAATTTAATAATTTTCAATAGAAACCACTTACTTGTTAGAGCCTCCTTGGTTGTAGAGCTCACAGACTATATCGAACATGGATTTCTTTTTGAAAAACATTTGGCCCATATTGCCAAAATATAGAGTGGGCTTTGCAAAAGGTATATTCTTGTTTTTGAAAAAGTCATTGTTTGCAGATGCCCAGCGGTAGAACAAACCGCAGGCGATGGCAAACAACCCCAAGAATTCCCAGAGCATATTGATGTCGACTCTACCGATTAAAACCAGAGCACGTTTCGCGATCCAAGCGTCCAGAAGATAACTAACGACGCCACAAACAATCCGGGATCGTTTTGTTTTCACTACAAAGAGCTTTCAAGCTTTACGCCGCTTTTGATAAAATACTTTTTTCTATAATATATGTATACCTATATATTCTGTTTAATCAAGCATGTATTTATGATTAGAAACAATTTCAACACGGCACTCAACGTTTCAACATTACGGCAAACAATGGGTATGGCTGTCGGCTTTGCTTTTCAAGTGATGTTTGCATCCAACTGACATTCAAATGACGACAACTGCGGCGGTAGAGGGGCCTAGAGGGGAAGAAACATAAACAAATTAATCAAATCATATTTATAGAGTTAACTATTCGGTAACCTTCACCTCAGTTTGTTTAGATCTGCTATTTCGGGGAGGCTATAAAAAACTAAATTCGCTTTTCGGGTATTATTGGTGATGGATCCTCCATGCATCTCGAATAGGTCCCCCAATTTCTCTTTATCTTTTTCCATAGCAAAGTGAGCCACTAACCCTGAAAATAGTTTGCTCTTTGGACTTTTGGGCTCTTTTTTAACCTCCAATGTTTCTATTCTAGGCTCCTTTGATTGACTTTTGAGCTCCTTTTTAACCTCTAGTTTTTCTTTGCTAGGCTTCTTTGCAGGACTTTCCGGCTCCTTTTTAACCTCCAGTTTTTCTTTGGTTGGCTTGAAAAAGTCCTTTAAACCCTTTTGTGAAGGCGACAAACTCCGATCCACTTTTCGTTTTCGTGGTTTTGGAGATTTTTCCTCATCATCTGAATCGGGTATCGATCTTTTCGGTTTCTTCGTGCTACTGGTTTGGGAACTACTGGGCTTTGAGCCTTTCTGGGGTGTTTTTTCAGATCCCAACTCCTGGTTTTGGGGACCACACCCTGCTAGGAGTAGGTCCACATTGACATTCTTTTTGGAGGCATCAAAAAGCTCTTCCAAATGAGCCAGGTCATTGGCCTCCTTGGCGGTTTTGTCACTTCGTCTGCGAGTAATCCGCGGAAATCTTATAGATATACCCGATGCCGTATGAGCCTCAGCCTTGGTAAATTCTGCTCCCGTTATTTCCCAGACAGGCATATCCATTGGATCTTTAGCTAGCACGTCCGGTACCAGAGATTTCTTGCACAGAAGCCAACTTGGTGTTTGATTGGCATCGGCACGCTCCGTGAGTTTGATGAGAGAACTGTGAACCTCGTCGTTAGTTATATCGTCCAAACCAGAATGTACTTTGGTGACAGTCTTCCAAAGCCGATCCTTCGAGTCATAACACCCCATGAGAAATATGCTGAGTATGCCACCCTTTTTTCCCGATCCATACCAAGCTCCCAGGACTACCAAGTCCGCCGAGTCGGCCATTTTGCCATCAAACAGATAGTCCTTTTTGACTTTTAACCAATTTCGTTTGCCGGGTTGATATGTACTAGAGGGGCTCTTGAGCACCACTCCTTCGAGGTTCGCATGCAACACCTTGGCAGTCATCATAGCCAGTTCGCTTTTGGTTTTGAGAAACTCCGACTCCGACAGCTGCACATGAGACTTGATGGGTTTGATGTTTTGCTCGAGAATCTCTCGACGCTTGCGGAAAGACCTAACCAATAAAAAAACACATTAGTCGTATGGATTAACTATTAACAAGGCGTTAAATAAAGACTCCAGCTTACATCTGCGTTAAATCTTCGCCATCATAAAGAATGCAATCAAAGACGAAAAGGCACACGGCAGCATTCGCAAATGTTTGCTTCTTGTGGGCTCCCAGCGAGCCGAAGGGCAGCAGTGCTCCGGTATCTGTATCCACTAATATTATCTCAGAGTCCAGAATCATTTCCTCTGCCCCGGGAAAAGCTTGCGGAATATAATCCTTAAGATCCCTGATTTTGTGATCCATAACGGGCTTCAAGTTTCGGCTAAAGAATTTAAAGTCCTTTCCCTGCTTGTGAATTTGTACACGCTCGCCATCGTATTTGATTTCACTGTACAGACCGCCCGGACTTTTCTTGAACGCTTCCTCCACGGACTTGCAGGCACTGGCCAGCATTGGAGAAATCGGAGTCATCACCTGGATTCCACTGGCGTTTCCTTTCTTAAGCTTTTTAGCGGCTGCTTGGACTTTCGTTCCTTTACCCGTACCCTGACTAGCAAACTGCTTCACTATCGCCGACAAATCTCTCGAAGATTGATATGCGGGATAGGCCTCGGGACCAAAAGCGTCCAGGATGTGCCTAGCTCGTGCGTTTATTCGCAAATCCTGTTTTACTAGTCGAATAAATGTCCGCAAATCCAAGTCTGTGGCCTTCCGGCATAGTTCCTGCAACAACTCCGTTTGTTCGTCTTCCTTGGTGCGTTCCTCCAGTTTTAGGAGCAACTCTTCCACCTCCTGCAAGTACAGCCGGCTCTGTGCTTGCGGCTTAAGTTTACTGGAAGCGGCAAAGTGTTTGCGCAGCGTTTCCGACACATCGCCATCTATAAAAACCAAGGATAGTCAGTGATTTGGATACTTTTATATCGCTAGTTACTTGCCCTGCTCCAGATCAAGGTGCATTTTCTGCTGACTGGCATTGAAAATCTTAGAGAACAGCTTGATCAGAGCCTTGTTCTGAAGATTATAGACACGCTGGTTGGCCGCCGGAATAAGGAACTGCACCCAGAGCAGCGTGTCGCCCTGGAATCCAGAGCCACTGACTCCTCGTTCAAAAAATCGCTGCAACTTTTCGGCTTTTTTTAGGTAACTCGGTTCGCCGGCAATTTCATCACAGATCCGCCGGAAGGTATCCAATTTGTTGTCATCATTCTGAACGCTACTCATTAGACGTGCTAGAAACCTGGCCTGTCTGGACGTTTTTAGCACACTAAGCATGCGCAAATAAAATCAAACAAAATAAATTTAGGAGTTGTTTTGATTTCAGAATCCTGCAAGCAGATATTTGACTCGCGAGTAAACAAGTCAGGAACCTTTGATTCGAATCAGCTGTTGTTGACCAAACATGTCGGTGTTGCCGGATCGAAAAATTTACAGTGCCGTTATGAATTTGAAGCTCAGCCGGGAGAAAGAATCCAGATTAGATTCCACGACTTTAACATTCCCACAGAACATGAGAATTCCACCAGCTGCCAACCAGGAGATGCCCTTCATGTGGTCACCCAGGTGCGAGAACGGTACGAAACCCAGGAGCTGCTCTGTGGCGCATTTCTGCCGAAGCCCCTGATGTCCAATGGTCCAAGACTACAGCTCCAATTTGTCGGCCAGAATCCACCAGCAATGACAAACAAGGTTCAATACTACGGATTCCGGGCGGAATACCGTTTTTTAACCAGTAAGTAGAACTGATACAAGTATTTAATAAGTCTCTTAGTAAGGCGTTTTCCTTTAGACTTTGGCATCATGTCGGGAATCCAAAAGGGCCAAGATTGTGCCTTTGTCTACAATAGCAGTGAGCGTATAAGTGGTCTCTTCCACTCCCCTAATTTTCCTGGATATTACCTTGAAAATGTAGTCTGTCACTATTACTTTTACGCAGCCAGCGATGAAAGAGTTGTACTACATTTTACCTACTTTGATGTCGAGGGAATTGGAACGTAAGTAAATAAACAATTATAATAATCAAAAACCTAAGATTTCCTATTTAAACTATTCAGATGCGACCACCAGACAGCCAGCGACTACCTCGAGTTTTCCAATTTTATGAGCACGGATCGAAAATATAGTAGATATTGCGGAAAACTACAGAATTTCGAAATGCGATCGGATGGTCGCTTTTTCCGAGTCACCTTGCATTCAAACGACCGCTTCGTGGCCATTGGATTTAGAGCTCTGTATACCTTTGAAACGATCCCAATTAATAATTCTGATAATGACTTACGGGAGACTGCTTCAATGCAAAGTTATGTGTCCTCCGCGCCTATGAAAGCCATCCTCTCTAATGCATTCCAATTATTTATTTTCTTTTTAATATTTACAACTAGCATTTAAACTCATCTATCAAAAAAATTCATAAATAAGAACTTCCCAATAAAAATAAATGAATAAAATAGGTACATAGTAATAGAAAACTTGTTTTTTAATTTGCTTTTAAATATATTTTTTGAATATTAATGAAGGTTTTAAGGGGCAACCCTACGGTGCTGCCACACCAACGAAATCAGCTGTTTAAAAAAGTCCAAATGGAAGCAAACTTTGTTTAACCAGTTTTTAAAATTTAAATAAACACTCAAGTGTCGTGGGTTCATATATATATGATATTTTGTTCCTTTAATTATCATGTTTTTTAATTTCAAGATCCTTTAATTATCTTGAAATCTCTTCAGGTATAAACGAACCACCTGTTGCTATCTTGAACACATCGAACAGTGATTCGGTTTTTGAAAAGTCACTCCTGGTCTGCCTATCTGCAATAAATAGAGCGTTTCTTCACGCCGATTAGCATTATTAACATTTTGCGAGTCGACCGGAGCAGCAGAATTCTTTAGAGCTCCTCAATCTGATAAAATAGGAACCAGTGATATCATTGTGACCTCTGGAATGGCGGCTAAGAAACTAGATGCTATTATCTTTGGAGCCACTGGCTTTACTGGCAAGTACACAGTCCTGGAGGCAGTGAGCGTGCTTAAGGGTCTGACATGGGGTGTGGCCGGACGCAACCCGGAGAAACTGCAAGCGGTTCTCAAAGAGATTGGGTCAAAGTCCAAAACAGACCTTTCCCAAACACCCGTTGTCATCGCGGATGTGAATAACGAATCGTCATTGCTGGAGATGGCCAAGCGCTGCCGGGTGGTGGTAAACACGGCAGGACCGTACCGCTTCTTTGGCGAAAAGGTCGTTAAAGCCTGCATCGAGGCAGGAACCCATCACGTGGATGTCAGTGGAGAGCCGCAGTACATGGAGCAAATGCAGCTGCGATACAACGATCTTGCCAAGGAACGCGGGGTGTACGTAATCAGCGCTTGTGGCTTTGATTCTATACCCGCGGACATGGGAGTTACCTTCATCGAGAAGAATTTCGATGGAGTAGTTAACTCCGTTGAAAACTTTGTCCACATGGGCGTCAAAGGAGGCACCAAGGGAACTGGAAGCGCTGCTTTAAACACTGGAACTTGGGAAAGTGCCATTTTTGCGATCGCCAACAGAGGTGAAAGCTTGGCCATCCGCAGGAAGCTGTTTCCAGAACGCCTGCCAAAGTTCCAGCCGGCGCTAAAGAATCGTTCCCCATTATCCCGAGCCCCTGAGGTGGACAATAAGGTTATCCTGCCATTCCCAGAAACAGATCGTTCCGTTGTCTACCGTTCTCAAAGGTTTCTTTATGAACAAGAGAAGAAGCGTCCCGTTCAGATGCAGGCCTACATGACGTATCCCTCCTGGTTCGCAGCCAGCGTGGTAGTTCTCTTTGCTACGGTGATTGGAATAATGAGCAAGTTCGCTTTTGGCCGACAACTGCTCCTAAAGTATCCCCAGATCTTCTCCGGTGGAATGGCTTCGCCGGACGGTCCCAGTGAGGAGCGCATGGAGCGTTCGTTCTTCAGGATGACCATGAAGGCCACAGGCTGGCCAAAATCTGAGAAACTGGCTGAGAGCACGGACCCGTACAGCACTCCGCCATCGCAGACCTTGACCGTGAAAGTGACCGGTCCCAATCCCGGCTACGGATCCACCTGTGTAGCTCTCTTGTCTACTGCGAAGACCATTCTAAACGAGAGTGACAAGATGCCTGGAACTGGAGGAGTCCTGCCCCCAGGAGCCGCCTTCCGCGACACCAGTCTTATTACCGAGCTGGGAAAGTACGAACACGGCATCAAGTTCGAGATTGTGGGAAATAGTAAACTTTAAATGGAACTGTAGTATAAATGTTCTGAGTGGCTATGTATATACTATCTAAATCACGCAATAAACAAACAAAAATAATACAAATTTAACCATGTCTAAATTCTTAAATTTAATTAATACAAAGCTCAAAAAATTACTCGCTTTTTAAAAATTGTATTTTATGGGGTGTTCACTGTAAAACGCTTTTCTGCATTTTGCGTGGACGGTCACTCTAACAGCGAATTGTTTTGTTATTGGCCACGGCCGTCGCAGAGGCCTTTCTTGTTTACCTTTGCACCATAATTAGTTAAGAAGCAGAGCACGCAACACCATTCCGGACAGGATACGGTGGGGAAAGCAAAATCCCCAAGAAGGGAAAGAAAAGCATCCTATAAATAAAAACATTTGGAAAAGTAAACAAAGGACAAAGGAGTAAACAAATCAGGATACTAAAAAAAACGACAGTCTTCTTGTGGATACTGCTACTCCTGTTCATCCGATCCGATTTTAGCCATACCGGACGAGAAGATATACGTAGATAATGAGCGCTGAACTATCCGGCTTCCGGCGCTTCATTCATTGGGGCCCCATAACAGCGTTGAGTGAGTAATTCTACAATACTAAGAAAAAGAAGTCTAGTGTCAGTCTGAAATCCAGTTCCAAATAAAAGTGGTCAACTGGCAAATGGGCCAAAGTGAATGAACTTCCACTCCCCACATAACAAGTGGCAATTAGGGCGTCTAAGTGATGGGCAGCAGTTGCAGAAGCCAGCCACACCCCCATGGGGACCATGTCGTGTTTTCATTCCAGTGGCCTGAGCCATGTTTGAACTCTTTTTTGGGGGTGCACCCATAAAATATAACTTTTATATAAAGTTTATTCTTCAAGAATCTTATTCTCTTAGGATTATGAGCAATCTGTTTATAACCCCCTCTTGTGGGTCAAACTGGTTCTCGCTAATTGCGTTTTAGTTGTGCGTCCTGACATTTTATTGCGTCGAGTCCTCCGTGTACTAGACCCTGAGCCTATCGAGAATTTCACGGGGTCCGGCTTGGTGGCGTGCAAATTGAACGTTTGGCCGCCAGCCGGGCAGACGGTATAATACTTCCGGTGTAAGCTTTATAAAACTGATATGCCATTGTTCCTTTCTTAATGACTTTATTAGACGCCGGCGGCCAGCGGCTGTCCGCTTGTTGCTAGTGCTCTTACCCAGACGCTAGGAGCAGGACACACCACATTAACATTTCCATTGGACCGTGGTGGTGCCGGTTAATCAACTCAGAAAGCGACAATAAACTAAATAAATGAGCTTTATTTCCGCAGCACGGCATTGCCAAGCCAGGCATAACCACCAAAAATCACCCCCATCCAAGCTTATCGCATTCCCAGAAGTACCTGGATCCGATTCCATATACGATAAATGTTTACTTTTACTTTTTTTTGCTATAATCCCACTAATGTTTACCAACCTCTCAATTTTCAGGCATTATCAAGTGCATAACGCTGACAACGCTCTACATGAACTCAATGTGGTGGCCACCGAATGAATCATTCGCCGCCTTTGCCCACCAGGCCCTGTTCCTGCTTCTCTCCACTTTGGCCACTTTCAATTACGTCATGGCCACGCTGACAGGTCCGGGCCTGCTGCCCAAACAGTGGCAACCAAAGGTAATAGAGGAAGCCAGAGATGTGTGGACATATTTTGCTGTGGAACGGAACTGGGGAAAATTACTTGTCCGCCTCCAGCCAAGTAGGAGAGTGGGAGCTCCACACACCTGTTACCATTGATAATACCTTCTAGTGGCCCTAAAAAACAGTTGACCCGTCACGAACTACAAAACGTACCTTGTCCGGGGTGGTTTCCACTTCTATTGTGCATCGTCATTCCGCAGCGGAAGCGATTGTTTAGCTCACAAAGGGACGGTTCCATCAACACCAATCGGATGGCGCTCTGGGGGTTTCCTTGCCGGAATTCCAAACCAGACAAATGGGCCAAGCCAGCCCAATGGCGTGTGTAACTGCTTATCGCTCCATAATCCGCGCCAATTAAACGCTGCAATTTATTTTAAAGAATCCGAACCGTACCGGGCTGGAAAATCCAAATGTGTCGTGTCGAGGGCGACACCGCCGTGGCATTGGAAACGTTTTTCGGTTACCATTAAATTTTTTTTGTTGGTGTCGGCGCGACCCAAATATAATTTATTAGCGACAGGCCCTGGTATTATGGCTGTGCCTTGCACGCGAACGCATTCAAAGTGGACCTAAAGTCCGTAATGCAATTACCCGAATTTGCATAAATGTTTTGTAGGCGAGTCCAGTCTCAAGGGGGGTGGCGGATGGGAGGCGCCTTTTGGCGATGAAGTACCTAGTGGTCACTTAATGACCTATGCGTCGTTAGGAGTTGGTGAACATTTGTGTTAGTTTCGAAAGGAACGCGTAAATCATGCATAATATTTCCATTCTGGGTACTCTAATTAATTTTCATTTTGGCAGGATCCCAAGGACACACGGTTTCTGCAGTACTGCAAGAAGTGCGAAGGCTACAAGGCACCACGCTCCCATCACTGTCGCAAGTGTAAGTGCAATAAAAATCATAATTTTAAATTATTTATATTATGGCAGGCAATTAAATAAAACCAGCGATTTGACTAAACTGGAATTCGTATGAGAATCACAAACTCATAATAAAAAATATATTCTAGTTATTGGTTTTTTTTATTGCTGCTTTGGTTTGGACTTTGTATCTAATTATAAATCATTCTATTAAAGGCGATCGCTGCGTTAAAAAGATGGATCATCACTGCCCCTGGATCAACCACTGCGTTGGCTGGGCCAATCATGCCTACTTCACATTCTTCCTGCTTTTCTCCATTCTGGGCAGCATGCATGGCACCGTGGTGTTGTGCTGCTCCTTTTGGCGCGGTATATATCGATACTACTATCTGACCCACGGTCTAGCCCATCTGGCGAGTGTCCAGTTCACGCTGACAAGCATCATCATGTGCATTCTGGGCATGGGCTTGGCCATCGGCGTTGTGATCGGACTGAGCATGTTACTGTACATCCAGATGAAGACGATCGTCACCAACCAGACTGGCATCGAAATCTGGATAGTAGAGAAGGCCATCTACAGGAGGTACAGAAATCCCGACAGCGACGACGAATTCCTGTATCCATATAACCTCGGATGGCGCGACAATTTGAGACTGGTGTTCAATGACGAGTGCCAAAAGCGCGGCGATGGCATCGAGTGGCCCGTGGTGGAAGGTTGTGATCAGTACACGTTGACGGTGAGTTTAAAAACCCATAAGCAGGGAATCCATCGACATATATTATGGGGTATTCCGCTGAAGGATCGGATGAAAATCGACAAAGTTATAGGCATCGCAGTGGGCCATACAGCCATTCCTATGCATTTCACTATTTTCAAGGGGGTCCATGGGAAAAATTGACAAAAAATCGAATCAAAATTTTGTTCCAGGGTTTTAATGTAGAATTATGGAGAATCAATCCACAAATCTTTTGGGGTATTCCGCTGTACGATCGGATGAAAATCGACAAAGTTATAGGCATCGCTGTGGGCCATACAGCCATTCCTATGCATTTCAATATTTTCAAGGGGAAAAATTGACAAAAAATCGAATCAAAAATTTGTTCCATGGTTTTAATGCAGATTTATGGAGAATCAATCCTCAAATCTTTTGGGGTATTCCGCTGTACAATCGGATGAAAATCGACAAAGTTATAGGCATCGCAGTGGGCCATACAGCCATTCCTATGCATTTCACTATTTTCAAGGGGGTCCATGGCAAAAATTGACAAAAAATCGAATCAAAAATTTGTTCCAGGGTTTTAATGCAGATATATGGAGAATCAATCCTCAAATCTTTTGGGGTATTCCGCTCAAGGATCGGATAAAAATCGACAAAGTTATAGGCATCGCTGTGGGCCATACAGCAATTCCCATGCATTTCACTATTTTCAAGGGGAAAAATTGACAAAAAATCGAATCAAAAATTAGTTTTAGGGTTTTAATGCAGATTTATGGAGAATCAATCCGCAAATCTTTTGGGGTATTCCGCTCAAGGATCGGATGAAAATCGACAAAGATATGGGCATCGCTGTGGACCATATAGCCATTCCTAAGCATATCACTATTTTCAAGGGGGTCCATGGGAAAAATTGACAAAAAATCGAATCAAAAATTTGTTCCAAGGTTTTAATGCAGATTTATGGAGAATCAATCCACAAATCTTTTGGGGTATTCCGCTGAAGGATCGGATGAAAATCGACAAAGATATGGGCATCGCTGTGGGCCATATAGCCATTCCTATGCATTTCACTATTTTCAAGGGAGTCCATGGGAAAAATTGACAAAAAATCGAATCAAAAATTTGTTCCAAGGTTTTAATGCAGATTTATGGAGAATCAATCCACAAATCTTTTGGGGTATTCCGCTGAAGGATCGGATGAAAATCGACAAAGATATGGGCATCGCTGTGGGCCATATAGCCATTCCTATGCATTTCACTATTTTCAAGGGAGTCCATGGGAAAAATTGACAAAAAAATCAAATCCAAAATTTGTTCTAGGGTTTTAATGCAGATTTGTGGAGAATCCATTCAAAAATCTTTTAAGGTATTCCGCTCAAGGATCGGATGTAAATCGACAAAGATATGGGCATCGCTGTGGGCCATATAGCCATTCCTATGCATTTCACTATTTTCAAGGGGGTCCATGGAAAAAATTAACAAAAAATGGAATACAAAATTTGTTCCAGGGTTTTAATGCAGATTTATGGAGAATCAATCCACAAATCTTTTGGGGTATTCCTCTTAAGATTCGGATGAAAATCGCCAAACATACAGCCATCGCCGTATAGCTGGTCCCATGCAATTTTAAGAGAGATCCATACAGAAAGTTAAAAAACTAACAATTTTTTGTTCCATTTTTAAAAACAATCCTTTTTTTAAATTTATTTACAGCGCGAGCAACTCGCCCAAAAGGAGGAGAAGCGGGCCCGCACCCGCACCTACAAGTGCATCAGACCAGTCACGGGTCGGTGGCTGCCCCTCTTTTCCCAGGGCTGGCGTGTGTGCGTGGGAGCTCCGTGCTCTGATGAACCGCGCATCCGCCTGCTACCCGACGACATCGTTAGGGTCACTCGTTTCCGATCGCACTGGCTGTTTGGAGAGCGGGTGCCCTCCGAGCAGGAACAACATGGTGAGAAGAAGCACCAGCGCAAGGGTCACATCCGGGGATGGTTTCCGCGGCAAGCCGCTGTCGAGCTCATTGAACCGGATCAAGACACCAGTGCAGATGGCAGCCACGACGAGTATCCCTCAGCTCAGAATATCAACGGTAATCACAGCCATTTGAAGCAGCAGCAACGGAATGGACACGCCAAGAAGTACATGTAGCTCTGACTGGAGCCGAGGCAATTCATGGCTTGTAAATAGATTTAGAAACCGCTTAAAGACTCGCCACTTTCTCGCTTGGCCGGGCCGTCGTCTCGTTTACTCTGTTAACACTGTCGACCAATAAAAACTAACTCGAAAGTTATTTATCAGCAGTATAGCTGGGAGCTTATCAGCTCGGTATCAGATGGTCATCGATTACGTCCATCATGATTTATTTTCTTATATTTTACCCACAAAGTATTAATTTTTTCGGCCTATTTGGCCATTTTTATTGAATTTCCCATGCGGTAGATTATTTATTGGATAAAACTTAATTATATTATGTATATCAGTTCATTACATATTGTGTCAATATTTTATATTGTATTGTGTGTACAGCAGATGGATCAATACCAGATTATGGAGAAGCCATGGCGGCCTCAATTTCCTCCACCGTGCGAGGCAAGATCGCAAAGTTCTCGGTGCCCGTGGCTGTGATGAGCACGTCATCTTCAATGCGCACTCCACCGAATCCACGGAAACGGTTGAACATATCCACGTTTAGGTACTTGACAATGTCCGGATTGGCCAGAGCCTGATCCATTAACCAGGTGATAAAGTAACATCCAGGTTCGATAGTCACGTACATGCCGGCCTTCAAAATTCGTGCAAAGCGCAGCTTGCTAAGCCATGGCTCACTCGGACGCTTTGGTTCCGCGGGCAGATAGCCACCCACATCGTGAACGTCCAAGCCAATCAGATGTCCTAGGCCATGTGGTTGAAAGTATCCGGAAACACCCGCCTCAAGCATTTCCTCCACATCACCTGTTACCATTCCGCCTTCCTTGAGTTTCTGCAAAAGCACCCTGCCGGCTAGCTTATGCATGTCCACCCAGGAGACTCCGTCTCGAGCAGTCTCCATCACCGCGTTTCGGGCCGCAAGGACCGCGTTGTAGATAAACTTCTGGTCGTCGGTGAACTTTCCGTTGGCCGGGAATGTACAGGTAATGTCCGCCGCATATCCACAGTAGTTGGCGCCCATATCGAACAGACAAAGTTCGCCGTCTTGGACGGGCTTACTGTTGGGAGCTCCAGCGTGTCCGTAATGCAGGATCGAAGAGTTGGTGCCGCTACCACATATGCAGGTGTAGGAGGCGTGGCGACATCCGCCCACAGAATAGGAGTGATGCAAAAATAGAGACTCGCCCTCAAATTCCATTCGTCCCGGACGCATGAACTTCATCACCTTAATGTGGGCATCAGAGGAGACTTTGGCCACATATCGGAGAACCTCAATCTCAGCCGGCGACTTGATGACTCGGCATTCAGAGAGAACGGGGTAGAGAAGATCGCAGTCGGTAACATACTTTTCCTTGCCATCGAACTCTGGCGGCTGTAGGGTTAGCCCGCTATCGGAATTTGTGCCGCTCAGCGTTAGTATCAACTTGGGTGCAGCTCGCTCCAGATAGTCGTTGAGTTCATCGACATAAAAGACTTCGTCCACCTCGTACATGTCTTTAAAATCCTTGGGTTTCAGTAGGTCACCCATCCAGGTTCCATACTCCTCGGGAAGACGCGGAACAAAGAGCACGGTCTTGTAACCACCCGATTTCACGTCAATCGTTATGATGCCATAAAATCCCGGCTCCTTGACTCCAAAGAGGTACTGGAAGTAGGACTCCTGGCGGAACACGTAGTCCACGTCGGTGTTGTACAGGCTCTTGTCCTTGCCGCCCTCGAGCAACACCAGCAAGTTGCCAGAGTCGAATTTAAGGCCACCTGCAATCCTCTGAAGGATTGCTTGGACAGACCGTTGCCTGTTGTCCCTGAAAAGAGTCATAGGCACAGAGTGCCCCGATCCCATCTGGTAAGCGGCCATGTCGAAGCTAAACGTCCGTTCTTCGGTGGGCGAAAGTCGTTACTGACTGCACTGGACAAAGTATTCCTCGCGATTAGCTCACTGATATCTGCGAGTGGGAACAATGGTTGTAAATTAAGGGGGTTTATCTGCAGTGTTTTTGTTTTTCTGTGTTTTTGTTTGTAATTGGCAACAAAGTGTGCCCGCCCCTATTTTTTTAAATTCTGAACCCTTGCCCCTTAACCCCTCACTATTATCATCGATTATATCAAGTTAATTCATTTTGTGTAATTTTTTAATGATGAACATATCATCCTTTTTCGTCCTGGATTTATTTAAAAATAATTTGTTATCAAAAGGAACGAAATGGAATTGAAACATGGAGCTGCCAGCCATCGTTCCTTATCAATAAGAAGCACCCTGTTTGGCGGGTGTTGTTTGGAATTTAAAAATAAAGATTTCGGATCAAGACAAAACAAAAATATAAAAATAAAAGTGGCCATTTTCTTTAAATTATTCAACTTTTATAATTCTAATTATTAGAATTTTAATTTTACAAATTTAATAGGTAATTTTTAACTCTTCTATTAGATTAGAACCAAACTATCGTATACACGAGGCAATATTAGTGTTCTGACGGCTGGTCACACTTAAACAAATTTTTTTGCAAATTTTTTCCATAATTTGTGAAGAATTTGCAGTTTAAATAGAAAAGAAAACTGCTTTATCGCGAAAATATAATCTCCTGCAGAGCTTAACTCTTATGCATACTTGTGGTACAATTGCGGAGTCTGTTATTACCCAACTTGGAGCCTCCAGTGACCTTTTCTGATCCGGTCCTAATGTCGGCGTCACAACGCGGCCTACAGCCAATGAGTTAAATCATCGCCATTCTGCGGAAATACTGATTCCAATGCGCCGCTAGCAGTGGCTCTAAGGAATCGGCGCCATGTCCAGTTCGGTGTTCACCGAAGCGCCGAGCCGGCCGGCGGCGTTGGACGCGGACTCCAATCTGGTGGTGGTTTACGGCAAAAATGGCATCTCGTTTGACGAGCGCGCCATCGAGAACATCATGGGTACGAGTAAAGTAAATTGTTTTATCTTCTATCTAATATTTGGTTTCGCTTATCTTCAGAGGAAAAATCGATTTCCACCATCAGCGTGGTGCGGCTTACCTCGCCTACGCCCAGTATGATTGATCAGGAGGAGGCAGAGCGACTGGAGGAGCTGGAACGCTTCCTTGACACCGCATCGGACTCAGAGTTGGACAGCGACAATGCTAGCCAAAGTGGCGGCGATGATGCCAGAAGCGATGGTGAAGCCCCCGACGAAGAGAATGAAAACTCCAGTGAGGAGAACAACGAGGATTCCACTGAATCTGAGCCAGATGCTCCACGTTTAAGGAAGCGTCCGGGTCGTAAACCAAAAGTCATAAAAAAGAAAAAGCGCCGCAAACCCAAAGAACGCCCACAAATTGTGGGTCTGCGGGTGGAACAGTTTTACGCCGATGGCACAGCCAATATGGTTGTAAAAAATGCACTTAGTAAGTATTGTTACCCCTTAAAAGTTACATCAAATTTAACGTCAAATATGCTTCACAGAGCTAGCTGGAGTACCAATGTACAAGCGAACTCCGGAGACAGACGCCCTTATGGATGTTATCCGCAACGATCATAACTACACACCGTTCACTTCGCCAGAGCAGCTGAAGAACCACAAACGGGCCGAAAAGATGGCCACGGATGTGCAGTCCCAAAATCGCAAGATCATAATACAAGCCCCAGGAAGCATAAAGGTTATCAACGCCAAAAAGAGAGTTCAAGCCATGCCCTTCAGTCCGCTGCAGGTTAAGATCCAGAGACTGCCAACAAAGCTCTCCCAGCAGCAGCAGCAGCAGAATCAACAGCAGAGTTCTGTACAGGTTCACCTCCAAAAAAAAATCAGCCAGCAACCACTGCCAAGACAAAAACCAGAGATTATTCCAAGTACGGTTAACCACAACATCAGACTGAGGCCAGTTCGAGCTCCTGTCAAGGTAATGGCACACGTGGAGGAACATATTGAGGACGATGAAGATGCCCAGAGCTCGGATGCTGCGGATGAGGAGAATGCCGATAAATCGTACGACACTGAAGAGCCTAGCGAGGAGAGTGATGAGCTCCAGGACTCTGACAATGATCGCGATAGCGACATTGACTTCAATATGAGAGGTAGTGGTGGTCGTAATACAAGTAAACGGAAGCGGGTCCGAAAGACAGTGAAACCACCTCCAGCTAGACCAGCGAAGGCTTTAATCACACCTCCATCGGCCACGCCGCAGTTCCCAGATTTAAAGCGCCGCAAAGAACAAGTGGATCTTAGGGCGCCGCAAATTGGACAAATCATTCAGCTCCCACCTCGGGCACCAGCCGGAGTAATTGCTCTTGGCAAGAGCATACCTAGCACCTCTTTCCTTAAAACCCGGCCACCTACCCATCAGGCGCTTCCCGTCAAAAAACTTCCACTGCCAGGAGGCACTTTATCAGGAGCCGTTGTCACCAAGGTGGACATTCCAACAACCCAAGTGCGTCGGACTCCTGTAGTGCAGGTAGGTTTTATTTTGAATATAATGTTTGTATATATTTCACTGTAACTTTTTTGCAGGTTGGCCGAATCCTGAATAATTCATCACGCGGCGTGTTTAAGAATTCCACTCAAGATGTCAAAGAGATTATAATTAACAAGAACATGGCAAGCCCGAAGGGTGTGTTCACTAATCTCAATAGTTTGCTGGGTGATAACAACAATGCGACCATTAAAGCGTCGCCAGATCCTCAGCGCCATCGTCAGATAATGTCGCCCAGCACACCGAGATCTAGTTATAGCAACCAACAGTCGACACCAGTTACCCCGAAACCTATAACTCCAACACCTTCTAAAGGCTTCATGCCCATTGGCGTAAACACAGCTCAGTCGCACAAGTTGCCAGCCCAAATCGTTATCGAGACGCACCAGAGTTCCTCGGAACTGGCGGCTGAAAATGATAAACAGCTTGATCTCATTAATTCCATTGTGCAGGATGAGCTGCTGAAGTCTACGCTGGTGGAGCAGCCACCTGTAAATGCGGACGAAAACATACCAAAGCTTGTCAAAATGCTGGAGAGTACGGCGGCGAGCTTAGATCCTGCCCCGATCAATCCAGTGTTTCCTGAAACGGCCAATTCCGCCTCAGTGGATCCCATTGACGAAGATGAGATTACGGCCGATTTTCTGCAGCACGTCGTTGAACTAATTGAGGAAGACAAACAGTTTGAGGCCGAGGTAGTGAAACAAGTGCTGGCCAGCACCGAACCAGGAGAGCTAGATGCCATTGTTTCCTTGCCCACGCCGATTGCACCAGTTTCTTTGCCCCATTCACTAAATATTCAGGTATAGAATAACATTTCTTCTTGTTTAGATTTCTTTAAAAGTATATTTTACATTTTAGCCGCAAACGAATCTTCCTCTCAACGCGGTGATTGTGGAACCACCGGCGCCATTATCGTCCGTACCGATTGCGAGCAGCACTCCTTCCAGAACCCACACTACTCCGATGACCCCATCGGCTAAGATTGTTCGTGGTAATGGCCGTGTAATCTATCTGCCTCCCATGGAAGCGCCCACCACACGTGCCAAGCGACGGGCACAAATCCCGACAGCGTCGCCAAGTGCCGGGGATCAGTCGATGAATGAATCGCTTCTGGATACCAGTTCTGAGCAGTTGGCCAATACTAGCAGTCTCAGTGTCGACAGCCAGTCAGGTGTCGGGCCGAAGAGACCGAATCCTAGGGAACCTTCACTCGCCCGTCGCTCAACGGCGCCTAGAAGAACAAAGAAACTGAACACGAGTCACAGTACGGACCCAGAGGCTTCTGAATCTCAAGAGGATGACGACGATCCCAACAAGTAAGATTCCCCTAAAAATATGAATGATCCAATACTACTATGCCTTTGTTTTAGACTGTGGTGCATCTGTCGTCAGCCACATAATAATCGTTTCATGATATGCTGCGATATGTGTGAGGATTGGTATCACGGGTCTTGCGTGAGTGTTACCAAGGCAATGGGCACAGAAATGGAGAACAAGGGTATCGACTGGAAGTGTCCTAAGTGTGTCAAACAGTTGGAGGAGAAGGTAAGTACAAAGTTTGTTTGTATAAGAGCACTTGAGAATTCGTTTCGGTTTTCAGAGCCAGCCCCGAATCACAGAAATGTTGAGGCCAGCAATTTCTTCGGAGGAGAAACCGAACGAAACCAAAGTTTTTTCCACGTCTTTGGATTCTGTCAAAGTTATTTCTCCAGCTACGCAAAAGAGAGTGTTGCCTTTGGGCGTAACTGTAGCCAGATCCCCTCTGCGAAGTCCCATTATGAAGCCCTCTAACAAACGACCGGCGAATGCTATTCCACACCAACAGCAGCAGTTAAACTTCATCAAACTCGGCCCACTCCCTGGTAACCGAACAGCGGAAGCACAATGTGTTGTTTGTAAACGACCAGCGAGCTCGAACTCCGTTTATTGTGGCGATGAGTGTATTCGGAAATACGCTCAAAGCGCCATCCAAGCCCATCCCTCTTCTAAGCAATCTGATGGTCCGTTGGCCCACAAGAAAAAGGATCTCTTCGAGGATATGCTGCGGCAAGCGGACTCCATGTCGAAAGTAGAGAGAGTGAGCACCCAGTTAGGTTCTATATGTGGATGGCGAGATGTAATCTATTTAACTTTCAGATCAACGTGTTCGAGCGTAAAAGTGGACGAGTCATCATTGGCCATTTAGCACCCACGTTACATCAATTCCGAAAATGGTTGCAAGACAACCCTACTTTTGAGGTGCTGCCCTCCGGAACCCTTCAATCCGCGGACCCTGAAGTAGGATTTACGTTTTTTCCATAATAGAAAAGAATTAATTTATTAAATTCTTTATTTTTAGAAACGTCAGTTGAAACGAGTTCCAGAGCCATCTACCAATCAAGAATTCATGGCTTCGGTTGCAACAAGTTCAACAGTAGCTAAAAAGCCTCTGGAAGTTGCAATTAGGTCTCCCCAACCTGCCACAACACCCACATTAGTTCGTGCTTTGCCCAAAAAGGATAAGGAAAGCTCTTCACCCGCTTTAACTGCGTCAGTGGCCTCAACAAGCCGATCCGCCACAAAACCAGAGCCAGTTCGCATCGGTATTCGACGCTCCCTTAAGGAACAGCTTTTGGCTCGTATTAAGGAGGCCCAGGATGAGGAGAAAGCTTCCAGCCAGGGTGCGACTACAAAGTGGTTGACGGCTGCCGAGGTGGACCATTTCGTTAAGGCCGTGGAGTCGGAAATGTATCATTCGTTTGGGCGTGATGTGGGAGCTAAATACAAGGCCAAATACAGGTCCCTTATGTTCAACATAAAGGATCGCAAAAATAGGACTTTGTTTGAGAAGATCTGTGCCAAGCAGGTGGAGCCCAAGCAACTGGTGCGGATGACTCCGGAGCAGCTAGCCAGCCAAGAGCTGGCCAAGTGGCGAGAAGAGGAAAATCGTCACCAGCTCGATATGATCAAGAAATCCGAGCTGGACATGCTGTACGTTGTAAGCAACCACAAAGGCGAGGAAGTGGTGACCAGCAAAGTTGACGTAACACTGCCGGAAGAGGAAGCCACTGAAGCTTCACCGGTGGAGAAAAAGCCGGGACTAGACACCTCAGGCACGGAGCGTTCCAGCTCGAAAGGAAAGTCCTCTTCCTCAAAGGAAAAGCGCCACAAAAGCCACAAGCACCACCACCATCGCAAGAGGAGTCGCAGTCGCTCCAACAGTCGAAGTCGCAGTCAAGACAAGCGCCATCGCAAACATCCCAATGAACCGGAGACGTTTGACTCACCACCAGGTGGAGGAGAACCTCACTCGGTGGAAAAACAAGGCAAGGAAGGAGGTGAGGGTAGTGTTTCGTCGCCCCTTTCCAAAAAGAGGGAAGAAAGCAATCTGTCGCCAACTGTCAAAAAAATGGAGAAAACGAATAGAAAATCAGAGGTAACTACCTACAACCTTATCGATCAAATTCTGGAATCCGAGAAAACAGTTGAGCAAGCAGCGAACCTGGAAAAGCCGACAAAGCCAGCCGCAAAACCACTTCCAACTCTTCCGCCTTCAATGGACCACTACGCCCGATATGTTCACGGTTTATCCACCACTTCGTTGTGGTCGGGCAACCTCAAGATGGTCGAAGTCACCGACTTTAATGTGGTCGTGCATCCAGTTTTGGGCGAGAGCAGCCAGCTAAGTAAGCTCTTTCCACCTCAGTTGGATGTGATTGGTCGCATCACCCGCGTCAATGTTTGGGAGTATATCAAAAAGCTGAGGAAGAGTCCTACCAAGGAGGTGGTCATCGTTAACTTCTTTCCCGCCTCGCCCAGCGAAACGCCCAAGTTCAACTTGTTCTACGAGTACCTCGACTCACGTCAGCGGCTAGGTGTCTTGGGAGCTAATTCGGATCAGATTCGAGACTTTTACATCTTTCCATTTGGTTCTGGTGATGTATTGCCGCCAGAGCTAAAGCTCGCGGATCGGGTGCCTTTTTACGAGGATGAGCACCGGCCAAACACTTTGCTGGGAATAATAGTTCGGTGCTTGAGCAAGCGTTCTGTAACGGGTACGCCAAACTCTCTTCCTTCCACTCTGCCAGTGGCTTCTCCGATTTCATCGGTGACCAGCAGCAAGGTATTTTGATTTCAGAAGTTATATTATCTATAGAAGTTATCTATTATGTTCTTTTCAATCAGAAAACACGCAGGACTGGCAACTTTACGCCGCCCAGTAGCCCCAAACGTAAGGCGAGCACCCATTCCACCAGTTCCAAGGACGAGGAGTTTGACATCGATGCCATCATTAAGGCGCCCATTGCCAAGTTGCAGAAAAGTAAGAATATTATCAATCCATATGGTCTTAATTTTAACTATTTTCGTTATTAGCCTCCACAGTTGCCCCCAAACTTCCTATTGCGCCTTTGGATGATGCCGATGAACCGTATTCGCCCGGGGGCTCCGACGACGAAAAGCCACCACCTGCTCCAAGGATCGCAAACGATCTGGAGCGGCAGGTGGATGAAATTAACAAACAAATCGCAGCACAGCAAATGGAAATTGCAGGTTTACTCAAAGTAGAGCCCAAGGTAAGTTCGAAATGATGAACACACCAGATTGGACAGCACTTTACCCATTTAAACTCTTGCAGGGATCTGCGTCTTCTTCAAAGGTACTGGCAGGCATATCGATTCCACCCAATCTTTCAAAGATTCTGGCTAGCATAAAGGACAAGGCGCTTGGCGAAGAAGACGAAGAGTATAATCCCGAGGACGCAATCACCACGCCCAGTACATATGGTAAGTCGTCATAAATACTGACAAATACCCACCTATAATGAGGAATATTGTTTCCAGCAACGAAGCCTAAGAGCAAAGGTCGTTTGGCGCATCTAAGTGAAGCAGAGCTTCTTAGCATGGTCCCGGACGGTGCGATGCCCAGCACGTCAAAGACACGCCACCAGCAGTCACCGCCCCCACTTCCGCCACCCCTCCGCCCCCAGGTGTTTAGCAGAATCCCCCCATGGAAAATATAGTCCTTAACCCGCGCGCTAATTTTAGATTTGTATGTCATTTCTGAATGGAATCCACAATATTTAACTTCCAGTTTTCTGCTCATATTGTGGACATTCTCATCCAGCGAATCCGATACCATCTCTGTATTATATCAGGCAAACGGAACAATTTAGTTTTCAGCCCCCACCCATCCCCCAAAGTTAGGAATATCGCTTTCAAATTTGCCCTACAAATCCTGTAAATTTCCACGAAAATAAATAGTACTACGTAACATTTGTTTTAGGGATATGATAATTGCTGATTTAATGATTTCATATTTTTTATTTTAAATATTTAGTTGATCTCGCAGGGATCATCCTTGCCGCTGAAATGGGCACATGATATCTTGGGGCCGTTGTGAACCCGTGGAATGGCGATGCGGAAGAGCGTTCCGTGTGGCATGCACACACATATCTTGTACTGAACACTACCTGTACGTAGGCCCATTTCGGAGCTGACAATGGGAATACGATTCATGTCCAGAAAGATTCCCGCGCCGCCCTCTAGAATGGTGGCACCCTGAGTGGAGTTGATGGAGATATGATGCTCGGCCTGAATGTCGACCTTGGCGCCGTCCAAAAAGACTCCCTGGGCGCCCCTGATGGACAACCTGCCGTCGCTCTCCAGCCTTAGGGCTTCGTCTACGGGACTTGCGATGCCACTGGCACTCATCACCTTAGCTTGGAGGGAATTCACTCCCCCCGGAATGTTGTACTGAGGACGATGGGTGGTGAAAACTGGTTGCCTGTCCTTCGGGTCCTTGACCTCGAAGAGATTGGTAGCCTGGATGAGAACGCCCTCCTTGTTCAGAACGATTCTATCGCGTTCATTGGTGGAAGCTCCATTTCCATTGCGAAAGACCCGAATGTGAACACCATCTTCAGCATCGCTGCTAATGGTCACAGGCACATCCGAGAAGCCGTGAATCTGACCATACGAACTGGTCAGGACTCTCTCCAAGTCAGTAGATCCGTAAAACTTGATTACATCCACCTCAGGAATCACCTCCATGCCTTGAACTCCCTTGCCCAAGCGCAGCACCCCAACGATGGTCAGTGTGAGCACAAGATTGCCCACAGTCAGGGCCAATAGGATGACCACGATGGTCCAGAAGGCAAATGTATTGCGTCCCTCATGACCAGGATGTAAGCGAGAGCAGCTGTCGCTGTTATACTTCTCGTCAAAGTAGTCCGCCGTATCAGTCTTGGAGTCGTCGCGACAGAAATCCAGCTCCGGAATAGGTCCTCCGATGGGAAGAGTTACTGAGAGAGCATTCTCGGAATTGGCATCGTCGGAATAGGATGGCGATGGTCCTCGAATAAAAGTGTTTTCAAATGAATTTATCATTTTTTTTTGGAGCAGTTCTCAAAAAACAATCTTCACAAGTGCTGTATCCAATGGTACGAAAATAGTCCGTGTAGGTTAAGGTGGGGAATACAAATATTGGACATGCGCGGTGATCCTCAGTTGCCCATTGGAACTTTTAGTCAAAACCCTAGGTTTTAGTTTAAATTTTGTTATTAATCCAAAATTTTAAGTTTTGTACTGTTTTAAATTTTAATTTTTCTTTCGTTTAAAATAAAAGAAAGTATAAATAAAGTTTTGTGCTTTTTTCAAAGTTGAAGAAAATAACTATTGCAGGATATTTAAAATAAAAACAAGATGGTTATATATATTTTATAAAATTAATAGAATCTGTTTTTAATTTACAATTATATTAAAAGAGGAAATGAATAAAAATGGGTACAAAATAAAATGTACATAAAATTTATTTTTTAAATAATGTAAATACATATATATATTTTTTAAAGTAAACTGTAAATTATAAAAAATAATCTCTAATGAAACTAAATTTGAACGAAATTTAAAAGCTTTTAAGCGACAAAGTTGAAGTGTGACCATAATTGTATTGGTATTTTTTCGAAGAGTGACTCTCGGCCACACCATTTATACTTTTTCAAGATGTCCTTTAAGGTAAGCCTGTTCACGAAAATATGAATTAAATGAAAATAAATCGATTTTGCATTTGACCATGACTCAGCCAATCGACCCAAAACGCGATGAGATCCGGCGCTACCTCGAGCGTGGCAGCGTGCTGGACTCGCTCACTAAAATCTTCATACGCGTGATCAAGGAGCGCCCGGAGAATCCGTTGGAATACATCCGGAACAACATTGGAGTGGTGCGCCACCAGCACGACAAGTACGAGCGCCTGCAGCAGGACCTGCAGATAGCCAACGATGAGATTCAACGCCTGCGTGACATTATCAACAGCATTAATCCAGACGTGCTCAAGGGTCTCGTACCCGTTGCCCAGGCCAAGGCTCCAGAATCATCTGAATCTCAAGCTGCCGGTGGGGAAGTAAATGAGCCAGTCGAACAGCAGAAGAACGGAGTACCGGAAGAAGCCGCCCCAGCGGTGCAGGAGCTTTCAGCTGCAGTAGAGACTTGCCAAATCGAAGAGAAGAAAGAAAACGAGAGTCCAGCAGTGCCAGCTGCAGCTAATCCCAGCCCAACATCCGTCCAGATTGAGGCCAACACTTCCACCGACAATACCGAGTAGATCTCACCATCTCGAAACCAAAACATCCCAAACAGATTACACATAAATTCAAAAGTGTAAAGTATTTTCTTATAAATATGTAAATGTAAATAAAGCACAGAAGCTAAAGGTACATACGTATTATGGATTTTTCAAATATTTATTGAAATCAGTTTCATACACGTTTTATATCATTTGTTTATTAATACAAAGGATTATTGATAATACATATTAATAATAGTTAATTTTTAAAAAAACACATCTTAAAAATGATAGAGGAGAGGATGGCGAACGGAAAGAAAGGTTGCAGTTGTATGATTGCGGAATTGAATGCAAAATAATAGAAATTTCCATTTATTATGAGGCTTTTTATATATTTTAGGTTCCATTTGATCTAATCAGACTGTTTGGGGGTGGTGGACGAACGAAAAACTGATCAATTTTACTTTCAAATTGAAGGTCAAAACATCGTTTTATATGTTTGTATTTTACTTCTTGGCAAGCGTTGTTCTCCTCCTCATTTAACGTTTTTCCCTTTTTTTCGATTTTTTCTTTTCATATTTTGCATCATTATCCTAAGGCCAAAGAGCGCTACTGGGCCCCTTTCTAATATGTTTTTGTGACCGACTAAGGTCCAGTCACTGTCCGTATGTGTCTTGTCCAATTTTCTGTTGGGTGCTCTTCTTGTTTCTTCTACTGACCTGTTTTTCTAGTGTTTTTTTTTTTTTAATTTGGACAAAACGCATTTTCTCAGGTCTGTGGGTGTATAGAGTATGTGTGTGTGTGTATATGTGTTTTTTTTTTTTTTGTATAAATGTGTGCAGGTGGATGGACTGTTCGGTAAAATTTAAAGATATAAATTTAGGGACTGGAGCAGTTATTAAAAATAAATATGTTTGCTTTTAATCATGGTTTTTTTTTGTCAATGTGTTTTTCTCTCTAATTGCGAATAAATCTCAATGGGTTAAAACTTCATTATCATATCGGAGCTCAAGGATCATGCTTCTCCAGTTATCCACCAGGTGCTGGCTGCTGGACTGCTGGCTACTACGTTGGTATTGGTTTTCCGCGGAATTAGACTCGCCCTAGCTGTCGATAAAAAGTTGACCAAAAACAGAGATAAGAGGTTGGCATGAGTGAATCACAACTAGTTAGTTTCTTTTGTTAGCTGCCCACTTACGTTCCGTCCATGATTTGATGTGTTTCAAGCATTTTTATTTCTGGTTGTTGGTGTGTTTTTGTTTTGTTTCTTGGTTGTATTTGTTGTTGTATAGAAAAGGACTGTGTATGCGATATTACTTTTTACGTTTGTCAGCCGGCTTAAGGATCTGGAACGAGCACATCAGCGTTTCGTCCACGGACATCATGGCGCCGGCATTGTCGAACTCGCCACAGTAATTGGGCGCCGAGAAGAGCGTAACCAGTTGACGCTTCGCGAAGAACTCGTAGCCATCTTCGACCACCTGATGGGCACGACAGATGAGATCGAACTCGTGCTTCTGCAAGAATTTGGCCACTACTTCTGCGCCAAAGGTAAAGCTGACTCCGCGATCGTTCTCTCCCCAGCCCATAGTGTCTTTGTCCGGATCGGACCACAGCAGATCACAGAGCAGACCTTGGTCCGGCACGTCGGTGGGGCGCATGATGCGTCGAATTTGCTCCATGGAGGTCAGATCAGGACTAAGGCCGCCGTGGCAGCAGAAGATTTTCTCGTCGACAATAGCCGCCACTGGCAGGCAGTTGAAGCAGTCCGTGAACGTCTTCCACAGCTTGATGCTGTAGCGACGCTTGCACTCGTCGTAGAAGCCATAGATCCGATTAATGCTGGCGCACTCATGGTTACCGCGCAGCAGGAAGAAATTTTCCGAGTATTTGATCTTATAAGCGAGCAACAGGCAGATCGTCTCCAGTGATTGCTTGCCGCGATCGACGTAATCGCCCAGGAACAGGTAGTTCGACTCTGGAGGAAAACCACCATATTCGAATAGACGCAGCAAGTCGTAGTACTGCCCGTGAATGTCGCCACAGATCTTCAGCGGCGCTTCCAGTTCCAAGAGGATGGGCTGCGAGAGAAAAATCTCGCGCGACTTGAGGCAGAGGCCTCGAATTTCGCCCTCAGAAAGCTGTACGTTCTTGCCTGGCCGTGCCCCACGCACCTCAAGAAGTCGCGATATTATGCTGTCGATATTCATTAAGTCGCCCATGTTTCCTCAGTTGCTGCGTTTTGTAGGTGGTGCTCCTGCTGCTGCTGGTGTCGTGAGTGCCTCGAACGATGGTTGCTTTCGCCGAAATAGCCTCGAAATGTTTAGTTTTTCAATTCTATTTCTGCAAAATACTTTTCACAGCTAACTAGTATGAAAAATTTCTCCAGTGTGTCCACATTGCCCAGTCACACTTTCGGATAGTCTGGCAGTCCCAAGGACGCCATTTTGTCCAATCGATAGCCTATTCGATTTTCTAGTCTTTCTCTTGAACAAAATTCTGGTAACGCTGCCACGCCCCTTTTTTAGGGTTGGAAAGCGCGGAAATGCGCGTAAAAACGAACATTTAAAAATTAATATTATTTTTTGTAAGTTTTTCAATTTTCCATTAACTTTGATAAATTGTACTTTGAAAAATTACCCTTCGATCGACAACACAATTTTTGAAAGTTTTTGAATATCAATTTATTACAGCGTCATCGTGTAGTTTTTAATTATATTAAAATATTATGATCAATATTTTTCAAACGAATTTACACTGGTTATTAAAAACTATTATTTGACAAAAAAAACCCTATTTTAAATATGACAGGCATGGACGCCCCTTCGATATCTTTTCGAACTATCATTTCAATTAGTTAATTGAGTGTTAAATTAAGCGGGTTGGTTTTTGTGAAAAATGCTTTTAAGTGATATTATTAGTCGAAAAGTAGAGAATTCCGTTTACATTATAGCGGAAATTGGACAAAATCATCAGGGATGCTTGGATATGGCAAAAAAAATGATCTTAGAAGCCAAAAAAGCTGGCTGTCATTGTGTAAAGTTCCAAAAATCTGACCTCAAAGAAAAGTTCACTCGATCTGCTCTAGATCGTGAATATATAAGCGAGAATTCTTGGGGAAAAACTTACGGAGAACACAAGGAGTATCTCGAATTTTCCAAAGATCAGTATAAGGAACTACAAGCTTATAGCCGGGATATAAATGTGGACTTTACAGCATCCGCCATGGATGAGGTAACAATCTGGCAATTAATCATTTAAAAAAAAAAATTAATATTAAATTTATTAAAATTATCACTTAATATTTCAATTTTAATACAGAATTCCTTAGATTTCCTGGTTGACTTTAAAGTTCCGTTTATTAAAATCGGTTCCGGAGATGCAAACAACTTTTTACTTCTGAAAAAGGCAGCTAAGCTGGACATTCCTTTGGTTATATCCACGGGTATGCAAACAATGGAGACGGTCGAGAAGATTGTCCAAACTATGGAGGACGCAGGGAAGAAGGACTACGCCCTGATGCACTGCGTCTCAGCGTACCCAACATTGCCTGAAGACTGCAATCTTCAATTAATTCGAATGTTTAAAAGGCGTTTGCCCAATGTGACTATTGGCTACTCTGGACATGAACTAGGTATTTTGCTTACCCAAGCCGCCGTCTTACTAGGAGCTCGAATAGTAGAGCGCCATTTTACGTTGGACAAAAATCAAAAAGGTTCAGACCACCGTTGTTCCCTGGAGCCCAATGAGCTTCGCGAGTTGATAGAAAAAATCAATCATTTCGAGTTGAAAAATAATTCGCTTTCTGTGGGGGATGTGATGCAGAAACTAAATGGAGGTCAGGATCTTGTAAAGGCTCTTCGAGATGTACGTGAGAAAGAGATTTTACTCTGTGAGCTACCATGCCGGGATAAGTTGGGAAAATCTATTGTAGCAGCTCGCAGCCTACCCAAAGGCCATATCCTGGAACCATCGGACATGGCAATCAAAGTAAGCCAACCCAACGGCGAGACAGCAGAAAAATATTTCGATTTAATCGGTAAAGAATTGATTGTCAATGTTGGTGAGGATGAACCCATAACTGGGAGTATGCTATTTATTTAGGGCATGAGATTTTGCAACTACATGAAGTGCATAGTGAAATAAATATGAACATATATAAGCAGCATTGCTTTATTCGGCTCCATCATCGCTGCCATCGTCCTCGTTTTCATTTTCAATCATGTCAATGTCCTCCTCAAGATCGCCTTCTTTTTTGTCTGTGGGTTTTTCGTAAACGGGGTTCAGCGGGGAGACGCAGACACCGTTCCAGACGGACATCTCACGCACGATGCTTGTGTTTCCCTCGATGCCCAGGATGTGCTTGTACCCCCCGTGGGCCAGAACACGCAGCAACGTCTGGGCGGTGTAGCAGCACACATCCTGCTGCTCCAGCGTCATGGCTGTGTGCACCCTGATGTGCCCCGGTTCGGTTGGGTCAGTAATACCAGCAGAACCTGGCAAGAATAACCCGGCAGAGAGCAGCTGGAAGACGCGACGGAAGGCGAGGTTGATTGGCAGTGCTTGGCGCGACGGGTTGTTCATGATGGCCAAGTGGGCGATCAGGTCGAGCATCCAGGCGGAGAGTGGCGAGAATGCATCAAAGCGTCGGGTCAGATCTTTAAGTATGCGGATTAATACCTTAATTGAAGAGTGGTGAGCGTTTTCCTCGAACCACCGGGTGTGGCGAATGGCAGCCAGGTGGCTCTGCATTAGCTTGTGGTCCATATGGATCTCCGGCTCCAACTTGCGCAAGTTCTGCGGCAAAGTGGCAATCATTATACGCACTTTGGCGTGCATGTTGGCAATATCGAAGCCGCGCTCGTGTGTCTGAATCGTGTGCTGGTCGCCTTTGGTCAGCACTTCAGTCTTCATGCTAGCCTTCAAATCGGTCTCCACCTTCTTAGCCAAGGCATCAACGGCCTCCTTGGTAGGCAGTGTTTTGAGAATGACCACAATATCGGCCACATTATTGCCGGTAAGAATGGTGCCTTTCTTAAATGAGCCCACCTGGCGAACCTCCTCCAATTGCTACAAATTTAAGGTGTTAGAATTAAGATTTAAGCATAAAAAACTGAAAACTTACACAAGTAGTGAGATCACCAGGAGCCAAAACAAGATTGTCCAACACCGCCTGGACCTTGGTAACCAGGTTACCAATAGCTGTCTGTTCGGTGGGAGTTGGGCTCAAGTCCTGGTTGCGCTTCAGAAGAGCCTGCATAAATAGAGATAGAGGCCATTAAAAAAACTTCTCCACCCATGTGCGTTTATTGATTTACCGCTGTCAAGGCAGAATCGTCAACAGTACCGGCTTGCGGCACTTTGGGGAAGAACACCTCTGCTAGGGTCAAGTCGAACGGATGACGGGGCACGAAAGTCTTCTTGAACGGTGGCCGGATGCCCCCACGCATGGGGCGTCCCCCTCGAAGAGCTCCGCGAACCATATTCCTGTGAGGATGAATTTTTACTTATTTTTCGGAACGCCGGAGCGTTTTTTGGGGATGATAAAAAACTAGTGAAGAGCCGGATCCAATAGTCTATTTTATCGATATCAGACAGAGTATGCCCAGACTTATTTGGCATTTGACGCATTTGGTCACACCGACGTTCAATTGCTGTGTCATTTTTGTTTCTCTGCAAAGTCGGCGTTTTTATTTTATACATTAAAGTACTGCTGCTAAAGCCTATTAAATATGGCTAGTGAACGCTACAGCTTTTCCCTGACCACTTTTAGGTAAGCGCACCATAAGGACAGGAGGAATTCATAAGTTTTCCCTTTGCAAACTTAACCTGCAGCCATGACTGGCAATAAACACAATTTTTGCATTTCAGTCCCTCCGGAAAGTTGGTCCAATTGGAGTATGCATTGGCGGCTGTGTCCGGCGGTGCTCCCTCCGTGGGCATAATGGGTGAGTTTTTCTATTTGTAACTATGAGAGTGAGAAGTCATAACTTTGTACATCCATCTAGCTTCCAACGGCGTAGTCATTGCGACAGAGAACAAACACAAGTCGCCGCTCTACGAGGAGCACAGTGTGCACCGCGTCGAAATGGTCAATAAGCACATCGGCATGGTGTACTCGGGCATGGGCCCGGACTACAGGCTACTGGTAAAGCAGGCCCGAAAGATCGCCCAGAGCTACTACCTGACCTACAAGGAGCCCATCCCAGTGTCCCAACTGGTGCAGCGGGTGGCTACTCTCATGCAGGAATACACCCAGTCCGGGTAGGAAACATAATTAAATTTTTTGTTAAATATTTTAACAACATTTTTTGTCATTAGTGGTGTGCGTCCTTTCGGTGTTTCTCTTCTGATCTGTGGCTGGGACAACGGGCGCCCATATTTATATCAGTCCGATCCCTCTGGCGCTTATTTTGCATGGAAGGCCACTGCCATGGGCAAGAATGCCGTAAACGGCAAAACTTTCCTCGAGAAACGGTATGTTTTAACAATGCGACGGGACAATCACTGATTACTAAATATATATTTTTTTTAACAGGTATAGCGAAGAACTGGAGCTGGACGATGCTGTCCACACTGCCATTTTAACCCTTAAGGAAGGATTCGAGGGAAAAATGACTGCCGACAACATTGAGGTCGGAATCTGCAATGAGGAAGGATTCCAGCGTCTGGACCCTGCCCAAATCAAGGATTACTTGGCTAACATCCCTTAAATGATAAGCGCCCGTTAGAAGAACCCAAGCTAAGCTTTTTTTGATAAGTTCGGGACATTAAAAACGAATAAAATTTTCATCTGTGGTGTTATTTGAAGTGAATGGAAATACAAATTTTTTTGTGTTAAGAGTAGAATTCGAGTTTAGTTGGCTTCGATGGTTTCAATATATCCTGCACAAGTCTGTGGATCAAAGATGAAAAGATTCCGGTGCGGCGCTTCCAGTTTTGTGACCACCTTAATGACTTCCTGAGCGACTACACCACCAACTATAGCAACTGCGGGCGAGATTTGAGCGAAAAGAACACCCAGAGCTTCGTCAGCCAGGGTAGAATTAGGCACCTGCTCGTCGCGAATACCGCGCAGCAGTTCCAAGTCAGCCTCACGGGTCTTATAGCTAGGATCACGCTGGTGCGTGGCACGGAACTTTTGAAGAACGTTTAGCAGAAGAAGGCCAGGTCCGGATTTCTTCAACTTCCGCTGGAAACTGCGCGAAGAAGTTTCCGAATTCAACCAGGTAGTGTAGCCGGGGTACTCCATTTCACGCTGTACTGGAGTCGAAGATAACTCGTACTTGGTCTTCTCATTGGGCTTGGTATTTGCCTTCGGTACGTATTTTACTACATCTCTGAAAAAATATATATATTATACATTAAGCAAAACTTTCTAAAATACAACATACTCGACGTATTTGTGTTTCTGCAGACTGGCAAAATAAAATCCAAACATGCCCCAGACATCAGTGGCGTAGAACTTAACTCCCAACTCCCGGCAAATGGTGTCGACCCGCAGGAGCTCCTCGTTGGTCTCGCCGCTCACCACAACAACGTCAAAGTCTGCAAAGAACTCGGACGCCTTCTCCTTGAGGGACTGTGTGTCAGCCGAGATGTCAACCATGGGGTTAAGAGCACGTGCCCGCAGTAAAGATGCCTCGGCGCGGTTGCTTCCCAGAGACTCCCGAGCAGCCAGGAACTGGGAGCAGAAGTCAGCTTCTGTAACAGGCTTATCATCGAGCAACTTAACCGAGTTCACTCCGGACAGAATAATATTCTTAGTGATTTCGGCACCGAGACCGCTTAAACCGGCAATTAGAATCTTGGCAGTGCGCAGTCTGAAATCAAAAATGATGTATTGATGTATGAACGGATTTACAATGGCAAAAAGCCGGTTGCACTTACCGTTTTTGCGACTCCAGGCCCCAAAGTCGAATCTGTCGGTCGTACAGCTCGTTTTCCGCCTCCGTGAGCTCCACGGCCGGCTCGTTGGTATCCACTTCCATGACCATCGTTTTTATTATACTTTAAGCACTTTTTTTTTGCGAAATTATATTTTTGCGAGAATTTAGAGACGCCGCCAAAAAGCACTAACGCGTTATAAAAATCCCGAATGAAAGAAAAGTGCTGCCTACACCGCCATTTCGATTACCGGCAACCCTGTAATGAAATTCCGATAAAATTGTTTTTTAACAAACTTGACAAATAATTAATTTTCCGGTAAACTTAATATTGCTATTATTCTTGTTTTGTTTTAATTGTTTCCCTATTTCCACAGATCATGTTGCGCAAAATCGGGAGTCTAGCGGGACGTCAACTGAGGCAGCAGGCACGTTTCACAGCTGTCCGCTCATTCTCGGCTACAAATGCCCTACGTAAAGGTAAGCCCGTTACCGACAATGACATAATATCGGAAGATAACCATCCTATCCGCCTTTTTAGATGCATCTGCACAGACGGAGGCCGACGCGCCACCCCCTAAAAACATTTTGGTGGAGAAGGACAAGAACATAACATTGATCGGGATCAACCGGCCCCAGCAACGGAATGCCATAGATTCGCATACCGCCGCACAGTTGTGCGAAGCTTTTTCCAATTTTGAGGCGGATGACACATCTCCCGTGGCCGTACTTTACGGCGTAGGCGGCTCCTTCTGCTCCGGCTTCGACATCCTCGAGATGAGCACCGACGACAAGGAGGAGATCAGCGTGGACATCCTCATGCGACCGGAGGGTTCAGTGGGTCCGACGCGTCGTCAGATTAAAAAGCCGGTTGTCTGCGGCATCAATGGCTACTGTATTGCCAATGGCCTGGAACTGGCGCTCATGTGCGACCTGCGCGTGATGGAGGAGTCTGCCGTTTTGGGCTTCTTTAACCGTCGCTTTGGCGTTCCAATGTTGGACGGAGGAACTATTCGCTTGCCCACTATGATTGGATTGTCACGTGCTCTTGATCTGATTCTCACCGGACGTCCCGTAGGCTCCCAGGAGGCCCACGATATTGGTCTGGTTAACCGAATTGTGCCAACGGGCACGGCGTTGGGCAATGCTTTGGAATTGGCCTCGTGTCTGGCCAAATTCCCTCAGCGTGCACTTATACACGACCGAAACTCTGTCTACTCGGGGGCCTTTGAAACGACTTCCTTCCATCAGGCCGTACAAAACGAAGTGATGTATACTTCTCGGGAAATTATTGAGGACATGCAGAATGGCATCAAATGGTTCAACCAGAGTAGGTTTTATGCTTAAACTTTTCCATTCACCTTTGGCTAATATTTTTGTTTTCCTTTAGCTTTTAAGCCCGAAACCACTCACTCTTGGCTGAAGAGAGATCGCTCCATGGCCGACTGGGATGACGAAGATGTGGCTGAAGCTGCTGCCGCAAAGGAAAAACAGAAGCAGGCCGAGGAGGCTGCTCTGGCGGAGGCGGAGAAACAAAAGGCTGACGAAAAGAACAAGAAAAAGTCGAACAAGGTCGAGGAAAAGCCAGAAGCGGATAGTAAAGATCCCAAGGACACGCCAAAGAAATAGTTGCGTCCCATCAAAACAAAATTTGTTTCAAATCATAAACTCTGTACATAACACACTCATAAGAATCTTAAAATTGAGCCATTCGACTTGTTAACTTATTACATTATATGTAACTATAAAACCGAACTACTGATCTACTTGATTTGGATTTTCTTTTAAGATTAAAGTTTAATCACCTGTTGATAGGGAGCTATCAGCGTTTAAAATGTTAGACCTCAAAATGTTTAATGATTCACTGAAATGGCGTATCAATAGTGGCGCTCACGTTTTCTGGCCAAGATGTCTAGTCCAAGAGAAGTACTTCTCAGTGGAATTCAAGGACTAAATAAATAAATATCCGATTCGCTATCATTAAGAAAAAATAAATATTTACAAATCTTTACAGCGAGTATCTTCTTAGAAATTTGTCTGGATTACAGTCATTATCAGTACTTGAATTTAACTTTTCAAAAATTGTAACCACTTAGTTGTTCAAGTAGTTGTTCACTGTGTAAAAGATAAGCCTTCATTATAAATAATTTCTCTCGGCTTGAGTTAGACATTAATTGAAACTTGATTTCAAAGCGATTGGACGTGCTTTCATTTTTTAAAATAGAAATCCTTTTTAAAAATTTTAAATTATAGTCCTTAAAAAAATAGTTATATAAAGGTAAGTGTGTGATTTTAAAATATTTGGACTAAAAACCAAAGTGAATATAAGGCATCTGTGATCTGTTAAAACTTGCTTGGCAGCAAAATATTGTTAGGACGTGGCCTTTAAAGAAATAAACAAGCTTAAAGTTCATTTGTCAGATCATGCCATTGCCGAAATCATTTAAGTACTTGAGGGTATGATTCACTTGATGTGTCTGTACAGTGTCCAGGTGTTGATCCCGTGGAACGTCTGTCGAACTTTGAACTATTTGAAAAGTGTTCATCGAAATCGTGAACCAGGTTTTACTAATCAACAAATTGCAAGCGTAAAAGGAGATAACAAAGATGGTAAAATAAATGAATTAAACAGGCTAATCGGTTTAATACGAGCTTAGAATTTTATAGGATTTAAAATCTAGAAATATTAGTAAATCAGTACTTGCAGTAAACGGTTGTGAAAAGAACTCTAATCCCAGAAAAGTAAGAAACTTTTGTGTGTTCTTGAAATTTTTAGTTCAAATCAAAATGTAATTCATATGGGTTTATTCAATTTTATTTAGCTTTAGAGCTTTATATTCGATTCGATTGCCTACAAATATCAATTTAAGTTTCTCCATTTCTTCCGCATATATGTACCTACGGTTAATTACCTATTCAATGTCATAGTGATAAAATTAAAGTCGAAAATGCATTTCTTTTGTGTGCACAAACATGTGCATAATTATCTAAGTGCATAAGTACGTTTCGTGTATCGGAAGAGAAATTTAATAGTTAGTTATTCGTTGCAGTCGTTGAAGAAATGCCACCCAACTCGAAGGAAAGCTCGGAGAAGTGCACTGCACTAGAAGGAGCCTTGAATTCCGAGATTCCTGGGAATTCGGATGATGGATCATCCAAGCAAACGGGAGTGCTCTTCGAGGCCGATGTGGAGACAAATGATGGTGCCTTGGCCACGTGCACCGTCGAATTCAAGCGAGCCGAGAAGAGGAAACTGGAACTGGTCTGGCGAAACATTATTCTATTCGGATATGTCCATCTGGCTGCACTATATGGCGTATACTTAATGTTCACACAGGCTAAGCTTGCCACCACAGTTTTCGGTAAGGATTTCAACTCGATTTCCATGTCCTTCTCTGACGGTATTGTCTACAGCGGCTGCCCTCTACGTATGCGGAATGCTTGGTATTACTGGCGGTGCCCACCGACTCTGGGCCCACAGATCCTACAAGGCCAAGTGGCCAATGCGCCTCATCCTGATCGTTTTCAATACGATAGCCTTCCAGGATGCCGCCTACCACTGGGCTCGAGATCATCGAGTTCACCACAAGTTTTCGGAGACGGATGCGGATCCGCACAACGCCACCAGGGGCTTTTTCTTCTCGCATGTGGGATGGCTGCTCACCAAAAAACATCCCGATGTGAAGGCCAAGGGAAAGATTCTTGACCTGTCCGATCTGCATGCCGATCGCATCCTAATGTTCCAAAAGAAGTAAGGAAAATGTGATTTCTTATTAATTTTTTACTTAACTTATCAAAATAACTTCCTTCCTTAGACACTATTATGTCTTAATGCCCTTGGGCTGCTTTATCCTTCCCACCCTTATTCCGATGGTCTGCTGGAATGAATCCTTCACATGTGCTTGGCTGGTGGCCGCCATGTTCCGGTGGTGCTTCCAACTTAACATGACATGGTTGGTGAATAGCGCAGCCCATAAATTCGGCGGTCGTCCTTATGACAAGTAAGAGATCATCACTCAAATTATTTCCTCAGAAATTTAAAAAAATGTATCCTTCAGGCACATGAATCCCGCGGAAAACGCCTATGTTGCAACAATGACCTTCGGTGAGGGCTGGCACAACTACCATCATGTGTTCCCCTGGGACTACAAGACATCAGAGTGGGGCAACCGCCTGAATATGACGGCTAGATTCATCGATCTGTGCGCCAAGATCGGCTGGGCTTATGATCTGAAGTCGGTGGCTCCGGACACCGTCAAGAGGAGGGTGTGGCGGACTGGCGATGGCAGCCACGAGCTGTGGGGCTGGGGAGACAAGGATATCACGCCCGAAGATGCCAAGGATGTGCTTTTCATCAACAAAAAGGAAGAGTAAAGATTCTGATCTCTAGAATTATAAGAAACATGGTGTGATTACTTTTTTTATATTATAAATGAATATTAATAAATATTAAATATGTATATAATTATATAAAAATAATTTGAATGTTTTATTTTATTTACGCCTAGTTTAAAAAGGTAAACATTCTCAAGTTCAATGGCTGTTTTAAGTAAACATTAGTTCATCAAATTAGTCGCTTAGTACATTATTTTAATTAAGTCTTTAAGGTGTTCCTTAATGTGACATCTTCGACCCAATGGAAACTAGGTCGTATCACTAAGTATCAACTAAAATAGTATCATTTAGAGATATAATATGAGAAGTGACTTTCGGTGGCTAATTTGAATTTCAAATTAATTAATTGCTGTCACTATCGAATCTTTCTCCAATCTTGGAATCAATTGTAAAGTTGCAATAAAAGAAAGTGGTCGATTCAAATCAAATCAGTGTAAAATTATAAGGATTCCGTTTCTGTTAATTTCGAAGATTAAGAAACTAGGAGTAGAGGGACATAGTTCTTATTAATATACATATATAAAAGCAAAGACATGCCTCCATACAGCAGATCGTTTGAGGCGCCAGACACCTGGAAAAGCGACGTCACACCCTCGGAGCAAACGGGAGTGCTCTTCGACTGTGATGTGGAGACCATCGACGGGGGACGACTGATAGACACCTGCCACCTAAAACGGGCCGATGACCGAAAACTGGTGTGGGTCTGGCGGAACATTATCCTTTTCTCAATGGTGCACCTGGCCGCCCTCTATGGCGGATACTTGATATTTGCAAAGGCTCAGTTCTTCACCATCATATTTGGTATAGTATTCTACCCATTGGCCCCAGGATCCTACTAACTCCTATCTTAGCTGCCTCTCTGTATAGCTGCGGAATGCTAGGCGTAACCGCAGGAGCCCATCGCCTGTGGTCCCATCGATCCTACAAAGCCAAGTGGCCTATGCGCCTGATCCTGACGATCTTCAATACGATTGCGTTCCAGGATTCCATTTACCACTGGGTGCGTGACCACAGAATGCACCATAAGTACTCCGAAACTGATGCGGATCCCCACAACACTTCCAGAGGCTTCTTCTACTCGCACATTGGCTGGTTGCTCTGCAAAAAGCACACGGAAGTCACATTAAAGGGAAAGGCCCTTAATTTGTCAGACCTTCGAAAGGATCCCTTGGTTATGTTTCAGCACAAGTGGGTGACTCAAATGAACTAAGAATTTTTTTTTTATTTATTTCATGAAATACATTTTTTTAGGCACTATTACATCTTGATGCCCTTGGCCTGCTTCATCATGCCCACAGTGATACCCATGCTGTGTTGGAATGAATCGTTGGAGTGTTCTCTATTTGTGGCCACCTTGTTCAGGTGGTGCTTGCAACTGAACATGACCTGGTTGGTAAATAGTGCAGCTCACAAGTTCGGTGGAAGGCCTTATGACAAGTAAGATTGAAACGAAACTGAAGTCTCACTTCGATTAATTCTATTCCCTTTCCGCCAAGAACCATGAATCCTTCACAGAATGCCTACGTATCCGTGATGACTTTTGGGGAAGGCTGGCATAATTTTCACCATGTGTTCCCTTGGGACTATAGAACCTCTGAGCTGGGTAACTTTACCATGAGCTTGGGCACCATTTTCATCGACTTGTTTGCCATCCTCGGTTGGGCCTACGACCGTAAGTCGGTAACTTCGGATATGATCCAGAAGCGCTCGAAACGGACCGGCGATGGCAGTCATGCACTGTGGGGATGGGGCGACAAGGACATGACCCCCGAAGAAAAGAAATATGTGATAGTTCATAAACGTAGAACGAAACGGAGATTATCTACCGGCATGTCGGCAGCCCATTTCGTTAATAATTAACTCACTCAATTATAGGCTTCTTATGATAGTGTTAATGGTTTTATTTGCTAAATATAACTGATATTTGTTATCAAAATATGGATTTTTTTTGTGTTCTATTGTTGTGCCGGTGCGGGTTGAGGGTTGGTCAGGTCGGAAAAGATAAGCCTAATCGTTCCGTCGGCCGTCATCGTCGTCTGTAGGAAAGTTTTAATGGAAATCTGGCGGGGATCTCTTCTGCGACTTTTCCTTCATTGCCAGCACATTGAGGATTACCTCGGCCAATGCCTGCGGATTGACGCCAACCTCTAGAAGCTCGATACAGAGATCAAGAGCAGTCTTGGATAGACGAGTGTTGATGAGAGAAGACATTCCATGTAGGGCAATATGGAGGGGCGGCGATTTGTGTAAGCATAGGAAATCACTGTCTTCGTGGTCCCTAGTCATAGCTTCCGGCTCTCTTTTCGATGAATTAGTTGTTTGTTGTGACATTTTTGGTCGTTTCAGTTTCAGGTCGCTTTGACAACTTAGAAAATATTTTCAAAACGGTGTTTGCTATGTATGGCGGAGAAAAATAGGCCTCCTATGACTGTGACCTCGTTCCAAAACTGAAAAACCATAAGTTCGCGAATATCCATGAATTCATGGGCTATAGGCACCTGCCAAAAGGCGTGGACATGAAAGCAGTGAGCAGTCATGAGCAGGATTACCACAAAGGCGGATACCTTCGTCTTAAGTCCAATCATCATGTATACAAGCAGGGGTTTCATTGTGCTCTTGCCAAGGAAATACCATAAGAGATCCTCCCACAAGAGATCCTTCAATTCATACCAATTTAAGAAGGTGGCCAGCAAAAATGAGATCACTACCTGATGGCGAGGCTTCAGCATGGTTAATAATAGAGCACTGGTTGCGCCCAATACTTCACGGTACATCGAAATGCTCCACAGTAGCGGATTGGTAACGAGGCGAATATGGGCCGCCAACCAAAGCATTCCGGTGGCCAAAAATTTCTCTTTTTGTACCACCACCAAAATGGAGGCCAGTATCTGAACAATTCCGAGTAAGAGTAGGTAGAGTTCGGCGAGATAAAGTCCACAGTTCCATGTTAAATTCAGCTGGATGCTCTTAAAGTGACAATTTTGGATGCATCTTACTCCATCCGCCACGAAGCTGGCTACTATTATGCAGCGCGCCACCAACGACAAGAAACTCTTAAGAAGTCGTTTTTGACATTCTCCCAGGATGAAAGGATCCATTACCAAGAATTGGTTATTTTATGATTGAACTTTTTTTTTTATGTTGATTTGTTAGTCAAGGTTATACTGTTAAGATTAAACCACCAAGGGTAAAAACAAAATCAACTTTATTATCCATTGCAAATTATCTTATTATTTCCGGAAAGGAATTATTTCTTATCTACGAAAACCCAGACGATCGGGTATTCATTTATTTTCTTCACTTAATATTGCTTTTTTATGGTAAAACAATATATATATTTTAAAAATTTGTAGTTTCAGAATTTATTAAATTTCGAATTATTTTTTAAATTGAATATGAATATAAATATGAATATGAAATACAAATTAGGGCTCAAAATACCCTTTTATTTAAAAAATTATTTAAAAAAGCCCTAAAAGTTTTAAAAGTTACAACTTTTAAAAAAGGGATTTATAACTGTTTGAATGTCATATAACTATCGATAAAACGATATAACCTTCGGCTTGCATATTCTTCTTCTTCTAATGTAGTTATGTCATCTCTACAGCCAGCCAATTCTTCACCGAACATAAGTTGAGCCACTTTTAAAGGATTTAAGCCTATTTCGGTAAGTTCGGCTTAGTGACAATAGTTTATAAGCTAAGACAAAATAATTTTAAATGATTTTACAATACCAAGAAACATTAAATTGAAGCACTGTATGTATTGAAGTGTGGCATGCGTAAACGTGACTTGGGCGGCTGGCGGCGTATTTCTTTTTTGGCTGATAAGATGCTTGGGTGATTATAATCAATGGAAATTTATTTAGTAATTTATTACATTATAGATGGTTAGATGCACCCGAGTTGTTTACATGCGACCTTAACGCGCACGCCGCTGTGACGTCAGACGTCATGCCCAGCGGCTTTAACCCTTTCAGGGGCATTCGGCATCACGCGTTCCTCTATCAGATGTTTTCACTCCTGCAGCGTTGTCTATGGTTAGATTAAGCCACGTTGTTGTTGAGAATGTTCTTCTGGTAGAGCTACACTCATTTAGCATCATTCATCATATAATATATTTTAAGTATTATGATTAAAATCAAACCATCCTACCAAAAGCAGATCTGTTAATCTATTATTTAAAGAGTATTTAAATATTTTATACTAAATACTAGTGTGTATTTATTCCCTTACCAAAGTTTAGCGAAAATCCAACGTTTTTCAATTGACGTCCAGAGCAAATATTGTATGGCGCCAGAACTGCCTTAACAGATTGCTTATTCATACATAAATGATTAATCTAAACAAACATACATGGATGTGGAGTATAAAGTGCACAATGCACAGGTTTAAAGCCAGCTCATCTGTCAACTGCGCAACTGTGCTCCACCATGCAGTATTATTTGATATATATTTTGATTAGAATAGCGTGTCTTTATATCCCAAAGAATTGCTTTTCATTGAGATGTTTATGTCACTTAACATTTTTTCAAGGTTAAAACTTAAACTTGATTGTATAAAGGTGCATGGCATTTCGTAGGGCTCAAAACTGTACTATATAGTAAGACTATATTAAAATTTAAGGTTTAACTGCTTTAGAGATATACCACTATTTTCAAAATCATTCACGTCTAACCTCATATTCTCTATTCAAAAGAGAATTAATAATATAAAACAATATGTTAATTTTTTATATATTCGTCTGGCTTTTATCGAATATGTAAAGTTAATGGCCGAAATTGCGAGGAGCCGATCTAACCGACTGGTTTTGGACCGGCCAAAGTTCGAGAACAGCAAAGTTATCTATAAGCAGATTATGAGAAGGCCAGGTGTATTCACGGATAACCCATTATCATGGAAACGCAGCAAACCAGAAAACATCGATTAGATTGGGTAAAATAGACCCAAACTAAAGATGGTCCAAAGTGCGAAGGCTAAACCTTTTGGCTCTGGCTCTGGTTATCTTTCTGAAAATTGCATTGTTTACAAGCTAACCGGCTTGTATTACTTTCCTACTGAAAATAACTCCCTTTCTTTATTTAATTATAGATTCAATTACCCTGCTCACTTAAGGGTTATATACCCCTAAGTATATTTGGTATTATTACTTGTTGATCGACGATGAGGCAGATGCTTACAATTTCCTCCAGATTAGGGCGCAAGATTGAGCTACGTGCATGTCGCTAATCTTGGGGAACTCTGGGGAAATAACAACAAAATGCAAACGCCGACAGAAAAAGCTCTGACGTCGCCTCGTTCGCCTTTTCGCCAAGCCGAATGTTTTCGTTTTGGCAGGTGTACGAAAGTTTAGTTAGTTCGAACTGAATTCGTCTAGCGTGCGGACGTGTGCTCTAGGCACTCCTCCTCATATTATCCCTCAAAAAACAAATAAATCAAATAGTGCAGACCATTATACCAAAGACACCTAGTCTTAGTTACTGCGACAGTGCCGAAAAGAGAAGCGCGAGTTTTAAGAAAAGTCGTGTCACTTTTGGAAAAGCAAACAGGTTGGTTTCTCAGCTGGATTCGACTACAATTTTGGTGACTGCAATTACTTGTTGCAATATTGCAACAGGAGTTTAGTTTGGTGACCAGTGTTTACGTAAAAGCCAAAGCCCGAAAAGCAAGAAAAGTCATTTTTCTAATTCTGCAGTATTTTATTATTTGCGTATATTACCACCATAAAATATACATTTGTGAATTGTTTATGTTAAGTCCAAAGCCGATGATCTTGGCTCAAGTTTATGTAGCACTCACTCTTCGGTTTTGAAGGTTTTAGTTGAGCGGTCAATGGGTCTCGAGGAAGGTTAAATGCTAGTTTCTTTTTTTTTTATACCCTTGCAGAGGGTGTCATAAAAGTTACTAATGGTTTTTTAAAAGACATGCTTTTTGCACTTCCAGTTAACTACAATTAAACAAAATCTAAATTGTTAATTGGAGAAAGGGTCAAGGGGTCTGTCCCTTGTAACTTCCTCATGTCTTCATGCCAGCTATTAAGTTGAGCTTTGGTTTGTGTACTTAGATAATTATATTCTTAATTCTATCCATTTCCTCCAACAAGCATTTCTTCGTTCTTTACACACTAAATATTCTTTTTTTTTTTGTACGGTTATTGAACTTTGGCAACAATTATATAACGTATACGCAATGTTAATTATCTGCTTAAATTGCAAATTAAATGTGGCGAATTGGAGAAAATAATTTGCACTTGTTAAACGCCAAAGCAGCGTGTCGGACTAAACTGGTTTTAGTTAAAGTCTAAATGACAAATGTGGAAATGTATTCAATTAATAGATGAAGCATCTCAAAAAAACGTGATGCACTTTAATATATTTTATAATCCAGAACTTTTTGATTAGATTATTAAAATTATTAATATATATATATATATTTTTTTCCTCCTTTAAATATCTTTTGTTGTGACTACTTTGTAGTGGCGATTCATATGTATTCTATTTGATGCTTTCTCAGTGTATGTTAGAGACGCAACAAGCATCACGCTTCTGCAACGTGATACGGGTATCCAACAACAAAAACATTTGTCGCAAATTGCTCTCTTCGTACTTTCTTTCCGCTGGCACTCTCTCTCTCTTAAATATAAGCTCCCACACTTTCTGTGTGCCCCCACCAACTCTAACAATAAACCAAATCTGCAAAGAGGCCACGAGTCGGTTGAATTCAAGTTCAATGTGCGCCCAGAATAAATGGCCTGAGCCTTCTGGCTTGTTTGAGTTGCCATGAAAGCAGTTTGCCGGCTTTTTGGCCCACCATTTAGGAACAAGAACAATCTGCTGCTTTGTTGACATAACGCCACTATGAGCTTTTTCTCTGCTCCCCCTATCACTTGTTTAGACTTTCGCCATATTCGAAAGCTTTTGCTGTGATCTGCTGTTCTTTCAATGAACTCATACAGTCTTTCCCAAAGACCTTTTTTAAGAGGTAGTACTATTTGGTTTTAGTAAAAAAGCATTCAAAAGGTGTAAATTAATTATATATGTAAAAAAGGTACTTTAAAAGAAACAAAGTTGTGCTTGTTATAACCCCGGTCCCTGGATCTGGTTCTCTATGTGTTCTTTCTAATCACCCTCCTATACTTGGTCTTGAGTCAGCATCGTATGATTTTTTAAGCTCCCGCTACCGCCACCGCTCCCGGTTCACGTGTTTAATTGACTAATGTTCACATCATATCTCGTTTGCGGCCAAGTGTAATAATTGGTTGTCTGATGAAATGCAAAAAAAACATTGATTAGCGTGTGAATCGCATGTGATTGGATAGATAAACCCACGCCGCCTTCACGCCACAAAACTGGGCAAAAGCGGCAGCGATAAGATTGGACAAAGTCTTCTAGTCTAGACGCAGCACAACAGCCAATATTAACCCTGACCTTAGCAATAGGCAAATCGCCAAACTGGCCAACATCTAATCTGCAAACAACACACCTGCAAAAGCTTTAGCTCTCTTCGGAGCTTGCGCCGAGGAACCGACAGCGAAAAAGCTTTTCGGCGATTCCTCATGGTACTAAAATTCAACACAGCACTTTTAAAACCTGAACCAAGCGGTACAGTTTAATTAAAGCCACGGCTATATAAAAAATTAAATAAATTTTAAGCTAAGACCAGGCGCAAAAGTTTCCACCAAGTGTAATTCTGTGAATGCACGAGTACAGGTGTTGGCACTGCAATTGGAAATTCTTGCCAATTGTTCGGAAGTTACTAGGTGATGGGGTGCATAAAAAAAACAGTGCCGAATTTCAGCAAGGAATTTTCCACGCCACCCACTTAGTGAGATTAAATACATCAGCGTGGGCCGCTCTTAACCTTGGGGGAAGGTGCCAAGTTCCCAGTGACCCATTTGTTTAACGGAATAATCCAACACCTGCCCATCGCCGTGTGTGCTTTTTTCTCACACCGGCATTTTTTATTATTCATGTGGGGAATCCTGTTACAAGGACACGGCCGCATCATGTCGATATTTTATTCAGTCAGCGATAATAAAAACGTCGCGTTTTTGGCTAAGAATGGCAAAGGTGTCCGGTCACAACTTAGACTCACCTGCCGAAAGCGTGTCAAGTTCAGATAGCTAATTGCTTAAAACACCAACATTGCATACACTAATTGCTCTTTTGTTTATGTATTTTGCTTTGCCTTGTTTTGCGGCTAAGAGCTTGAAACTAAACTATAATTTTTTAACCCACAGTTGACGCAAGATGCCACCGAACGCCCATGCCGGAGCCCAGTCCATTACGGACTCTCTGCTCGCCGCGGCCACCGCCGCTGCCGATTCGGAGCAGCCCCTCAACAAGCTGCAGCAGGACTCCACCGGAGTGCTCTTCGAGTGCGATGTGGAGACCACAGACGGTGCCCTCGACAAGGACATTGTCTCCTTGAAAAAGGCCGAAAAGCGCCGCCTGAAACTCGTATGGCGCAACATCATCGCCTTCGGATACTTGCATCTGGCGGCCCTCTATGGAGCCTACTTGATGATTGCCTCCGCCAAGTGGCAGACCATTGCTTTCGGTGAGTAGAGTCAAGGCTATAACTAGATTTCCATCACTAACTATGTTTGGGTATTGAAATCTTATCTGAAGTCTCGTATTTTCCGATGAATTCGGTTGCAAATATATATTTTTTAAAACGATAAAGTCAATGAGGGACATGGCAACGATTTTCATCTTCCAGACGCGTGCCGTTAGGGTTATCTAATTTTCAACGCACTGATAACCTTCTCAAAGTCGCATTTATGGAAGTCCAAGCAACACACGGCTCAGACGACTGATCGAAAACGATTTTATAGCGATTACATATACGCATTTTCGTACGTGCCTATACTTTCAATTTTATTAAATCAAGTCCCCTGGGAGAACAATATTAGAACAATACATGGATATAGAACAATACTATTCTCCCATTTGAGACGATACATTCTCCTCACAACAAATCAAACATATCCAATATTAAAATATTTTATCCATCTTATAAAACATGGAACAAACAAAGATACCACCAAAAGTATATAGACATGTATACAAAGCGGTCTACTACATAACTAAAATGGAGGAAGACAATTATGCTACCCTGGAGGAAATTCAACTGGAAGCTGCATACACGATGCGCAATTTGAATCCAGTAAAGGACCTAAAATTGGTTATAGCGGCGTCTGTAGAAAATCTAACAAACAAGGGCTTTCTTAAGTGTGATCATGAAAAATATTCTTTGAAAAATGATGAATATAGACCCAAGGACTTGCGTGACCTTCCAGGCACTACGTCAAGACCAACGACGGCAGCACCATCACTACCACGCTCAGCTAGTTCTCTATTTAAGTTTTTGAAATCCAAATGGAATGACCCAAATAATCCATAATTCCAGTTCTCCAAGAGGAGCATATATTTATTCTTTCTCCTATTCTGATTGCTGTTGTCAAAATTTAAAAAGTCCTTCTGCGGAAATCTGTGTACTACTATGTAATCTAAAATTATGAATTGGCAGAAATAAAAAAAAAATTAATTCGTTATTTTCAATTTATAAATAAATGATTGCTTTTTATTATTATAGCCTACATCATGTATGTGGTGTCCGGTTTGGGCATCACTGCCGGAGCTCATCGCCTTTGGGCCCATCGCTCCTACAAGGCCAAGTGGCCTCTGCGCGTGATCCTGGCCATCTTTAACACAATCGCCTTCCAAGATGCCGCCTATCATTGGGCTCGTGATCATCGTGTGCACCACAAGTACTCGGAAACCGATGCTGATCCCCACAACGCCACTCGTGGATTCTTCTTCTCCCACGTCGGCTGGCTACTGTGCAAGAAGCACCCCGAGGTGAAGGCCAAGGGCAAGGGAGTCGATCTATCTGATCTGCGTGCCGACCCTGTCCTGATGTTCCAAAAGAAGTAAGCCTGCTTTGACCACTTTTTAAAACTGGACTCTAATGAATAATATTTGTTCTTGTAGATACTACATGATCTTGATGCCCCTGGCTTGCTTTATTCTGCCCACAATCGTCCCCATGTACTTCTGGGATGAATCCTTCGTCAACTCCTGGTTTGTGGCTACCATGTTCCGCTGGTGTTTCATTCTGAACGTAACCTGGCTGGTTAACAGTGCTGCCCACAAGTTTGGCGGACGCCCCTACGACAAGTGAGTAACTAAGAGCTTACAAAATGGCATAGCATTGACTTTGAAATCTTTTTAGATTCATTAACCCCTCTGAGAACATTTCGGTGGCTATCCTTGCCTTCGGCGAGGGCTGGCATAACTACCACCACGTCTTCCCCTGGGACTACAAGACGGCTGAGTTCGGCAAATACTCCCTAAACTTCACCACCGCCTTCATTGACTTCTTCGCCAAGATTGGCTGGGCCTACGACCTGAAGACCGTGTCATCGGACATCATCCAGAAGCGTGTTAAGCGCACCGGCGACGGCACTCACGCCACATGGGGCTGGGGCGACAAGGACCAGTCCAAGGAGGAAATGGAGGATGCTGTCATTACACACAAAAAGAGCGAATAGACAGACCGGGCCTAGGGTTAATCAAGGGAGGGTTCAGCAAGAAATCAATCAAAACCATTGAAAAGTTATTTTCCATTTGCATATGTCCGCGGATTCAATTTCGTAAAGCAACAGCAGTAGAGAAGCAAACAAAAAAAGACCATTTAATTAATTCTAAGATATAAAAGTTAATATAATTCTTTGTTGTATCTTGAGAACTTTATACCGTTGGTGCTAAACCAGCTCTGGAAGCTGTTTTTTCGCTCTGGAACCGCTTTGGAAAAACTGAAAAATGAAAAATAATTTTGTATTTATACATATGCATATAAAACGCTTTAAACCTGTATATTGATGTACAATAGACGGAAAATTGGAGCTTTTTCATTCGCTGTTATCTCGAAGTCATTTTGAAATCAGAGAAAAATCACCCGTTTCAAATTTATACTACATACAACTATAGAAGAAATACTTTCCGTTTCAATGAACATGAAATACCTGCATAGGAAAGATTTTAGTATTTAGCATAAGCCAAAAACCCAACAGAATAATCAAGGAACTAATATAACTACATATAAACTAAACGATCGATGTTAGAAATGACACTTTCACATAAACATATGATATTCCTTTAAATGTTTAAAATAAATTTGGAAAACGCCTCTGGGTAACAGATCCCAGTAGGCCTTTCCGTAACCTGAATATGTCTCGAATTGTTTCATTTCAGTTTCGTACTTTCACTCCTACCGGTAACACATAAGTCTTCTCTAAGTAACTAGTCAACTGAAAATAAATCAAAATCAAAATTTTTAAATTTTTCTAACGAATAGTATTTTTCTAAAATGGATATATTTAATATTCCAAAGAAAGTTAACCGGCACGTCTTTAAGGCAATCTGCTTCCTGCAGGGTTCCAAGAAGGAATTCGTTTCGACCGGAGCTATTGCTAAGCAGGTTAAGATCCAGATGGCTAAAACTCGAGTCAAGCCCGTTCGTAACTTTGATAAGACCATCCATGAGTCGCTGAATAACTTGGCCAGCATGGGCCTAGTATCAAAGTCAGGAGGTATTAATGCCTACTCGGTGGCTTTCTCCCTTACTCAACCTCGGGTATGCGCAAGTAAGGGACGGGCTGTTCCAAAAGCCGTCCCAAGTGTGCCCGGCAATACTGCTTCTCGTGAAAAAGTAAATATTTTAGTAAGTGTGAGATATGTAAGTATGATAATGTCTAACCATATTACCTTTAATTCCATAGCAACGCAGGCGAAGCTTTACACGGATGGACCCGGATAATGCAACCACTAAGCTGATCACTCCAGACTCTCTTTCTGGAAACGAACAGGAAAAGGCTAGGAAGATATTCCGCACAACCAAGCGTCTGGTAAAAGAAAAGAAGGTAGTCCCGCCTCCAAAGAGAGCTTATAAGAAAAAGCCAGGACGTGGTTTTAAGCCAAAGAAACTGGCTTTGAAAGCAAAGGATAAAACTCAATATTATCAACAAGTTGTGTGCATGGAATGTAGTCCCTGTGTAGATTCTAACATCGATCCTGAAGTTGAATTCATCCCAAACACAAGCCAAGATGTCGATCATTACATGGATGTCGATCAAAATGATGAAGAGGATGTATACGACGATAAGAATAGCCAAACAACCTCGCGCCCTTTTGTATTGGGCACTTTTAACCAAATGCCCAATGGCTTGTCTATGGAAGACAATCTTGAACAAAAATCATCCGGCCATGAGCTGAAATCTGTGGATGCTGCGGCAGATCTTCACCAAAGCAGTGCCTGCTCAATGGTATCGCTGAAAGAAATGGATTCCTGTATGCAGATTTGGTATCCGGACCAAATGTCCATGGCAGCCCCTGTTGAAACACCTTCGTTTACATCTGTGGGAAACATAAATTCTACTTCACAAACAAGTGTGGCCCAGGGTGCTCAAGATTCAGTCGGCGATAAATCAAATTCTCCAAGGACACTAGAATCTAACCGTACCAATCCCAGAGTAGCACCGACGTTTTTTAACCCGGAGTTTCTAGACGTACATTATATGCGACAAATGTTGTCAAGTGTGGGTACCAATCATTCGTACCCAACTCAATCAACACAGGAACCGGGACTGAATCTTTTAGCCGAATCCTTACATTGCCAAGACTCACGAGCCTCGTTTGGAGTTAAATCGTCGGAGTCTGGACAGGAACCAGGACTTAATCCTGTAACTGAATCTCTACATGGCCAAGATTCGCGAGCCTCGTTTGGAGTTAAGTCGTCGGAGTCTGCACAGGAACCAGGACTGAATCCTTTAGCCGAATCTCTACATGGACAAGATGCGCCAACCTCGTTTGAAGCTAAATCTGAATCAGCACAGGAACCAAGTACTTCAAAATCAGCTTTTGGTTCTGTAACCCCCCAGAGTAGCAAATCTAATTATGATTTTTATAACTGATTTAAGCTTAAAATAGCAGAACTTGTAAACATCTTTAGTGAAAATTCAAAAATAAATCTGTAACGGTTTTTAGTGAGACCCTCCTATTAAAAGATACTGTTAATTTCTGATATTAGGGGTGGACCTATCGGATGGCGCGTGAGCATTACCTCTTTCATTTTGTGTGTGTGTAAGGTTTCGCTCTCACACCACTCTCCGATTTCATTATCTTAACTCTCTTTAATAGAGTATATTCGCTACGATTTTAGATATGTATATACATTTTTATTAATTTTATTATCTACATATATAATTGAACAAGAAATTTTTAAAAAATCTTCATTCTCTTTTTCTTCTTGAACAAATAGTTTCCTGTTATTCGGGGTAAAGAAAGTTAAATAAAATCCAGAAATTATTAAAACGGCCTCTTTTAAATATATTTGACAAATATATTTTGTCTACTTCATAAACGTTTATATGAAAAATAAACTACACAGTTACGAATATACCAAAAACACAGGTAGGTAAGGTAGTATGTAGTCGGTGCGGCTGCTGAGTTCCTCTCACTGCTTCCCTCTCTTTTATTACTGCGTTGCTGCAAAGTCTTGCCATTCAACTCTCAGCTGTCGACGCGTAAACATTGCATTTAGATTTAAAAAGGCTCTGTTTTGGTTTGAGTTTTGCGTGGTTTACCTTTTTTTACCTCTTCTAAGACTCTGTTATTGTTTTCGACAAGTGCTAATACCTATTTTGATGCACTTGAGTGCCTCCATCTTGCGGTGTATTGTGTCCACTAATTGAGAGAGCAATCTGAGTGACGCCCCCTCACTTCCGTGACGTCGCAAATGTAAATGCAGTGCGCGGGTACTTATTTTAATTCGATTTAATTGCTCTCGTGGCTGGCCGAAAGCTTAAACAGCCAGCTATCATGATGGATATGAAGTTCCTGATGATTCTCATCCTGGGCGTCGGTTTTATGTTCGTCTTTACGGCGTTCCAGACCATGTGTAACATTGAGGTAAGAACGGTCCCAGTCCCTTTCCGACCTTTCTCGCCCTTCTCTCTCGAAATCCGAGCGTGTGTATGTATGCGTGGGCGTTGTTGACGTATCCTTGCCATTGGTATTTACGTCCTTGTCCTTGTCAATAGACATGGCAGTAGCCTTGGTCCTTTCCTGCCACCCACACCTGCCCGCTTCCCACACGACGACCGCCACGACAGGACGTCGGCGAACAAAGCTGGCAACAGCAATTGGGCCGAGCTCGTAAATTACCCTGATTTGCGGCAGTGTAAAGTGTAAGTGGCGTGGAGTTGGTTTTATTATTATAATTTAATGAACTGCCCAAAGGTCGTGCCTTTGTTCGCTTTGTTGAATAATTCTATCATCGCAGCAGAGAATGAATCTTTCATTGATAAGAAAGAGGAGGCTGCTCTTGGGAACTTATCACTCGCCCCCCATAGAATCTCTTGATTTATGAATAAGAGAAGTCAACTGCAGCCACAAAAATTGACCCCAATGAGAGAATTAGATTCTGTAGGAAGTTATACAGGGCGTATACGTAATGTAAGATAATTTTACATAAGATAGCTTTCATGAAATAAAAAAAATGCTCTAAAATCGTATTTTAGACCTTATTTTAGATATCCTGCCATAAATTCTCTTCTAGGAACCAGCTGATGATGATCCCACTGCCATAAAACTAGATGCCACACTCCGATAAAATCATTTAATCAACTGACAACGATTAACTAATTAATATTTGGCAATAATTACGCTACATGCAGTTATCCGTAATGATAGGAAAAGATAATGCCTTAGAAACGCCCATTCCATCCTCTAACTGTTTATATTGCGAATTATTTATTACGGTTAATTCAAGCAGTAAGATCAAGGTCACGCCAGCCAGCTAATCATAAAACCAGAAAACACAGACCTGCCTATACCATATAGAATCTATATCGATGGAGACTGGATTGGCGGGTGTGCAAAAAAAAAAAGAAACATTCTTTTTCACTTTTTTTGGCCTGGCTTATTACGAATGCGAAGCATTTTATTTTATGACCGAAACTCGAAAACGAATACTGGCCACCAAAATACGTCGTTGTCATTGTTTTGCATTGGAAGCAAATTTATCAAGCATTTTGTTATGGTTCAATGGACTCTATATAAGCACCTTCGGTTCGGATAAATCCAAAGTCTCTGAAATTGTTACGGCATGAGTAAGGGCAATGTAATTTAAGTTATGTTTGGATTTTGGCCTTTCGCGCATGCGCAATGGGTAAATATTTTTTGTGTTAGTTTGTTTCTGCCCTCTAGTTAGTGTTTTACTTTAATAAAAACAATTTGCCATGGCAGCGGCGAATGCGGCGCTCGGAATTCCAAACAGGGCGTGCTATGGCGTTGTTAGCCAAGCTTATAGACCAACAATCCGACCGATCGATAGATTGGTCGACCGGCAGTTAGAAAGCCATTTTCAACCATGGGGGCCTTGGCTGATGTGGATGTGGTGCAACCTGTGGAAAGGAACAGAACACTTGACTGCCAGTCTGCTTTCCAACTGATTGCGCAATCGAAATTCAAGACACAGTGCTCACACACTCACTAAGCGCGTCAAACGCCAACTCTTTCAATGTCATTGCAATTGCAAGCTTATACACACACACACACACACACACACACACACACAGAAGCGTCAAGGCCACGTCAGCAATATAAGCTAGCCAGGTTGACCAACATACATATGCACACATCCATTCAGTTGGGTGACGGCGGGAGTGGGCGGGAGCAGCGGGGTGGAGCGCCTGCGCCCAGACAGCGAGCATAACACATGGCGGCGAACAGCCGCTAGGCGCCTTCGCCTTGTTGCACAACAACAAACCAAAAAGTGGGTGTGCGCCGACGAGCCCACCACCAGCACTGCCCCAGTCCCCCCCACCACCTGGGGGTCTAGTCAAGCCAGCTTTTGGAATCAAGTCAGTATTGAAAGTCTCTAACAACTGATTTTCAACCTGAAACTGAAAACTAAAATCACTGTTTAGTTTAATATTCCGAAATCAAGAAACCATAACAAAACACCTCATACATTTAATATTAGAAAATAATTGAGATACAAGATGCAAAGATTCAAGAACAATGCGAGCATATATCGAAGCAATTCCATAGTGCCATCCGATTATCGTACCTATGGACTCCTCAAGGCGCTTCGCTCGAATACTCCCAATCCCGTTGCCAAGACCTCTGTGGATCGCGACAAGCTTAGGGAGAAGCTGCAGCGTATGTCGAATATAGAAAGCTCCAATGAAGACGAATCTTCAATGTCCAGTGGTACTCTCAAGTCCGGGATGTCCTTGACTAAGTCGGAGTTTGAGAAGAAGCGTAAGCTGTTCGATACCGCCGAGTTCACAATCGCCAAGGGGAAGAAAATGAGTGAAAACTTCCATCCGAATAGCCCAATACATGGAGATACTGTGGAGCGCACGAACATGGATGATATCAAACGATATATACACGAAATGCGCCTTACCATCAGCAGATAGATGTTTTTCAAAATAGTACTTTATGTATATTATAATAAAGCAGTTATAGTCCATATTTTCTTTTTTTTTTATTTATTAAAAGACATTTTTAAGCAGAGGTGGTTAGGGAGATATAGAGAAAGGGATATGCTAGGATATAGGACATAGGGATATAGGGAGAGGGATATAGGGATATGCTAGTGAAGAAGTACATTTTTTAAACCGTAAATCCCTCTATGAATTTATCCTATTAAATTACTGAGATTTTGAGAAACTCCAGCCGAATCATTTCAAAATTAAACCGAGCTGTGGATTTATTTAAGATCGCAGTTATGGTTGGTTCAAGACAGTAGGTCAGCTAGGCCATATATAATTGTATCATGAGCTAGGCATAATCTTATAGATACAAAAATAGGAACTGCTGTCACATTTAGATAAACAGGCACAATCGAAACTTGTAGTTAGAACACAAACAAAGAGAAACAAAGAGTCATTTAAAAAACAGTCAATGTAAATTTTTAATGAAACTCGATTAAACAAATCACAGAGAATACAAATTTTAAAGCCAATTCAAAATGAAGAAGCAGAAGAACTATTTCCCAAAAAGTGGGTATTTCCAAACGCCCTCTGAAGAGGCCACCGAAACACGTACCTATGGCCTGATGAAGGCTACCAGAGCGGACACCCCACTGCCAGCGGCCACCAAAGCTTTAGATAATACCGAACTAACTCAAAAGTTAAATATCGAGCAGCGTAGGAGCTTAATGTCCCAAATGCTGGATCCAAGGGCGGGATCAAGTTCAACATCAACGCTTTCTGATTTAACCAATCCGAGCGCCAGAGTAACGCCAGAGCCAGAGGTATCCTTTGCGATGAAAAGAAAACTATTCGATCAGGCCGAGTTCACCATAACTAAGGGTCAAAAAATGAACGAAAATTTGCATCCACTGGACCGTCTTGGGAAACGCACCTGTCCCCTCTTGGATAGTTCACCATCCCCATCGGATGATTAAGGTTCAAATATTTTTTCTATATTTGTAAAGTGCCGAATTAAAATTTAAGCTCACAAAGGCGCCACAAATTATAGGTTGGTTTTTTTTTATTCATGAAGGGGATACAAGCTTTAACTAAAAGTCGGAATACCCTATTTAAAGGAGGTTCAAACTCGTTTCTGTAGTTTTAGTTTCGTTTTTTTTGTTTTGAGTTTTTGTTGAGCCGATGTGCCAGTTTCTTTTGCGTAATAAATAAACAACATAAACGCAATCGAATTAATAAATTTTTTCATGTGTTCTCCTGCAATTCCGCATACGCACATGACTTTCTTTATTGCACTCGACTTTCTTTCGGCATTGTTTGTTCAAATCTTGACCCAATTCCCGGGTTAGGTGCCCCGTCAATCGAATAATAAAAAGATCATCAACTAATGTTCATGGAGACCCATTAATGCTATCGAACTGATAAGGAGTGATTACACTTGAAACCTGAGATTTCTTATCAGAATGGTATTGCTTCGATAGTATAGTCCGTTGGATGATGGTCTTAAAACTATATATATTGTTTTTAAACGACTAGTTCCTGTATGCTATTAATTAAACATAATGGAACAGTTCCGGCTTCGGGTAGTTCCCACTTTCACTTGCTGTGGAAAAAGCTGGCTCGAATCTTGAGAAAAGTTCTGAAGTACTGTCGCCCCTCCACTAAGCTGGCTTTTACTGATAATGCAGCAGTCGCATTGGAATGCGAAATGGGGACGAGGACCAGACCAGATCTACCAGTGCCAGTGCCACTTAATTGATGCATATAGAAATCGAAATCGTGTCAGAGTCAGAATTTTGCAGTGAGATAACGATATCATTCGACAGTTACTGAGATGCGTCCTTTAGAATGGAAAATTTCCACCGCAACAGCAAACATGTTTCGCATATTAAGCTTGAAATTTTCCATTCACAATATCCACATTGAGATCAGATGCAAGAATTGCAATGTTGCACTTGAATCTGGTTGCAGACTCGATTTCAAGGCTCGCCCAGAATCAGAATATACACCAGCGGGTATTTAGTTATAATATATTTTTATAGAATATAAAACAAGTCGTTGATCTCTTAAGATTATCAATAATTTATTTGGAAAACCTTGAGGTTTATAGACAACATTAGACAAAGGGGGGATAACAGCCATACTAATATAGATTTTTGTCTCGAAAATCGTATCCGGACAGGAAATACCTGTATTACGGTGTACTTGAAACGATAACACGTTTTCGGTATGGTATTTAAAAAAAAAACATATAAACAGTAAACATTTCTACCGGTTCATTGAAATGCAACAATCAATATGTTTCTGGCACGTTTTCGAAATGCTAATCATGCTAATCGATTGATTACCCCCCATCCGATCTTTCCGTAGAAAACCATACTGGACAGTATTTCCCAGGAGGATGAGAGCTTCAAGGGTGAGGGCTACACCAGCCTGGCCATCATTTATCTGTTCTTCTCCCTCTCCAACTGGCTGGCACCTTCGTTCATATCTTTTACGGGTCCCCGAGTGGCCATGGTCGTGGGAGCATTGACCTATACGTGAGTAGATCCGAGACCCAAGATATCTATACAATAAAGATCGGCCACTAATGATTTAACTTTCTAGCGCGTTCATGATCACGTTCATGTTTCCGTCGACAGTACTGCTGTACGTGGGCAGTGCGGTTCTCGGGTTGGGGGCCTCGATCACCTGGACGGGACAGGGTACCTATCTCGCCAGGTGCAGCGAGTCTTCGACCATATCCCGAAACTCCGGCGTTTTCTGGGCCTTGCTGCAGTGCAGCATGTTCATCGGGAACTTGTTTGTGTACTACCAGTTCCAGGACAAAACGCGAATTGATAAGGAGACCCGGAATCTGGTCATCGGAGTGCTGACTTTGATAGCCGTCCTGGGCATTGTCTTCCTGGCGGCTCTGCGCTACATGGCGGACAATGCGGAGCATGATAATGAACTGGAGCAGAAGCATACAGGGTGTGGTCAGGCCATGTACGCCCTGAAGTCGGCGGGTCAGCTTTTCTTCACCAAGAAAATGCTGCTTCTCAGCTTGGCATTCTTTTATACAGGTATGTTTACCTTTGAATTCTTTTAAGTAAATGAAAACTAAAGATAACTTTGATTGCAGGTCTGGAACTATCGTTCTTTAGTGGAGTTTTCGGCTCCGCCATTGGATTCACAACGAAAATAGCCGAAACGCCCAAGGAGATCGTGGGCCTGGTTGGCATTTGCATTGGAGCCGGTGAGGTCTTCGGAGGTGGACTCTTCGGAATTCTGGGCAACAAGACGACGCGATATGGACGCGACCCCATCGTAATTGCCGGTTACGTGATGCACATGGTGGCATTCTTCATGACCTTTATCAACCTGCCGAACAGCGCACCGTTTAAAGATACCACCGATATATCGTATCTGGATCCGCCCAGCGCCACCATTGCACTGATCTGCGCCTTCCTGTTGGGCCTGGGCGATGCCTGCTTCAACACACAAATCTACTCGATGCTGGGCGGAGAGTACGTGAATAATGCTGTGGGGGCTTTTGCCCTCTTCAAGTTCACCCAGTCAGTGGCAGCGGCCATCAGCTTTTTCTACTCCTCGCACTTTGGACTGTACGTCCAACTCGGCATCCTGGTGGTCACGGGAACCATTGGCACCATTGCTTTTGTTTTCGTAGAATGGGGCTTCAAGCGACAGCATCGGGAGCAGGAAGCCCTGGAGAAGTAGAATAGTTGTTCCTTAGAGCGTTAGGGCGACCAGTTTGGTTCGCAATTGTTAAATTTCCCCGGAGTGCGTTAGATCCGTGCGACTGCGTCGTCTTCCTAGACAATAACTAATAAGTTTGTTGTGCGCTGCTGTTGCTACATATTTGTATTTTAATGTTGGCATTCCAAACCGTAATTGTAAACTAGTTGTCTATGTTTTTATATGTGTGTACTGTATATGTGCGTTTATTTATTGTAAGCAACGAATGTGCAATTGTAAATTAAACCACAGCAATTGAGTATTAATAAGCAAATCGGGCGGCGTGCACGCAAAGCATATCCGCGCAAATATATATAGAGAATTTTAAGGAAACAAAAACTTGTTTTGGTTTTTTTGGTTTGTGGAAAGTGTTATAACTTTCAATTAGTTTCAAACGTGCCCGCTATCCATCAGGTTATCGATAACCAGATGGGCATTGCCATCCGTTTTGCAATCGAAGCACGGTCGTGGTATGGCAATTGTGGTCACACTAAACTATTGAAAAACACCCCCCACCCACGGGGTCGCTGCAAGCTAAGAACTGAGACAATACCCGCAAAAGATGAAAAATGGCAAAAAATAAGTCAACAGTGTACCTGGGCTTCGAGGATGAGGAAATATCGGCCAAGCAGGAGCAGTTTCTGAACAGCTGCACCAATAAAATAGGCGGCACTCCCGTAAGAACGTTATTTCTCAGCCCTAAAAGGGACCGAAGATAATTGAAATTGATTTTTACCCATATTTTCAGGACTGGCCCGGACATGCGGTGACTATTCCAGTCTGCCCGTTATGCGGTGCAGCACGTCCCTTGATTGTCCAGATGTATGCCCCCTTGGAGCGCTCCCAGTTTCATCGCAGCCTCTATGTTTTTGGGTGCGTCAGTCCCGCGTGCTCCCAAAATCAGAGGAGTTGGCTGTGCGTGCGCACCCAACACCTGGACCACCAGTTCGAAGTTATAAGTGAGCAGTCGCCAAAAGCCAGTAAGCCGAAAAAGAAGAGCAAGTCCGCCAGTCTCAAAGCATCGAGCTGGTGCAGTGGAGCAGATGACTGGGGAGACAGTGGAATCGTGGCATCGGTTAAGACGGAGAACGAGGATGAGGCTATGGACCTTACCGCTGACGAAGAGCAAAATGGCAATGTACGGTCCAACAATTTGGGATGTGTGGATATCGAGGAGCCCTTAAAGTTGGAGCACTCCAAGAATAACGTGGACGATGATGACGAGGATGAGAGCACCTCGCTGGAGAACGACTTGATTTCTGGTTTTCACCAACTGGACATGATCTCGCCACAAAACATTGATGACGATCCCAACGCGAATTGTGCAGCTGCCGCCGCTCCCAGCATGGATTTCGCTGGAGCCTCTGCTGCCTCTGCGACGATTTGCGCCGAAATCGAGGGTCCGGAAACTGACGTAGTGTTAGTCGACTCGCCTAACAAGCCGGAACGAGATCTGATCGCCCTACTCAAGCACACGTCTGTGTCATTGTCGCAGATCAAGGACCTAACCCTGACACCCTTTTACATTTCGGTCGATGTTGAGAGCAAGAGCATGGCGGATGACTTTGAGAACTACGGTGGAGCCCTATCCATGGATCATATACGTGATCTCTACCAAGAGTACAAGCTACGCGACGGAGACGCAGCCAATTCACCCACTGGAGCGGCTGCGGGCTCCGGTGAACCAGGCGAGGAATACGAAAAGGCAATACCGGCTCATGGAGATTTCGTTTTTCACAACTTTATATCAACCATCCAGCAGAACCCAGGCCAAGTCTTGAGGTAAGCTATATGCTTCAATTTGGAGATAAAAGAGTTGTCTTAAAATAGACCTTCTTCAATATAGGTATTCCCGAGATGCTCTTCCGTTACTCGTGGCTCCACTGACTGAGCCACTGCCCAAATGTCAGAACTGTCGTGGTGAGACAATTTGCGAGGTTCAGCTGCTGCCCACTCTCATTCCCAAGTTGCGGTTCCAGCAGAATGGCTGCGGTGTACCGATTGAATTCGGCAACGTGCTGGTATTCACTTGCCTCAAGAGCTGCTGGGACACCCCTGACCTGATGCGATACGAGCATGTGGTGGTGCAGTCAGAGTCTTAGAGCGATGCTCCTCCAGTGATTACCAAAAGCCATAGAAACTGTACGCCGTAGCTGCTAAGTTGCAGACCTGTGCAACGAATTTTAAATGCAAACTGCAGAGAAAAAGCTAAGCTTCTCGAATGTCCTAGGAAGATTTTACGCTCTAGTTGTTAAGAACGTTGTACGCTTTTAGACACGCCGAAGAGGATAGTTGCTAATAATATCTCGTTATTTCCACTCCCCCTCTAACAGGGTTTCAATTCGGATTCTTTTATTTCCCCATTAATGGGAACAGGTGTTAACTTAAGCTAATGGTGCATCGGCATCCAGGTGATAGCTTCTGACAGTTGAAAACCATAGTGGCGGATACTTGGTGTCTGTTAGATCAAAATCGGAGCTGGTATCCACCGTATTCCGCTTTTGAACGAGCGTGTAGTGCGACCAGACCAACTGGGCGCATCGGCGTTTAGGCGAGTTTGTGATGCGTAGTTCAATAAGGAATTCGGTTGAGTTCTCCTCGATGGGCATGACGCTTCCTCGTCTCTGCCGCATGTGTCCAGTTGCCCTGGCTTGTGATTTCTGTAGAACCAAAGTCACTGTATTACCGAAAAGCCGGTAACGACCACGTAAAACGTCTGGCCTTATGTTATGAGGTTGCTTTAGCCTGTTCACTCCTTGGGCTGGCTCGTCCGCGCTGGTCATCATCAGGACTTTGCCGTCAGGCATGAATCGAATGTACCGATAGTATTCCACCAGCTGTACAGGACGATAATACTGATCCTGAAAGCTGTTTTCACCCATACGCAGGTACGTAGTTTTGCTTATGTAGCAGCCGTTGAAGTGCACCCTTTCGCGACGGATGAACATATCGCGCCAGGAGTAGTATGTGTTGCTACTTTCGGTATCCTCTGCATCGGAGTTCAACGTTCCTACATTGTGGCCCCATACTCTAAAAAAGATGTTTTTACAGAAATACGTTAAAGCAAAACTTTAGATCACTTACTTGTTACAGGCCAGTCTCCAGATCTCCTCATCTCTCGCATAGACGTAGAATCCCTTGCAGACGGCAGCACACTGTTCCAGGGAGCGCATATCCAGTTGAGCGGAGACCACCCAGCGAAGTATACGCATTACTATCTCGGGTGGCAAATCCGAGAAGTGGAGCCCTGTGGTCAGTACACTTGCGTCCCGACTAGAAGCCATCAATTTGCCATTGTAGCCGTTATCCTGGCGCAGATCGAGCTGGAACTTTTCGTAGAGATTGTCCGAAACCGCATCCCCTGTCTCGGGCAAAGTTTCAGACCTTCCGAGATCCAACTGTTTGGCAAAGTCGCCTGGTAGGCTATGAAGCTTTTTGTTGACCTGGTCTCCACTGAGCTTCTGCAGCTCATAGTACTTGAACTCAATGTCTGGCATGATTTGCGTAGCCTTCCGGTAGAAGGGTAATGCGTCGTAGACTTTCCCCTTCTGCTCGAGAAGAACGGCTGTGCGGAAGAGACTCTGGGCCTTGGCCTGCAACAATTCTGCTTCGGTGGCATCGCCGGAATGTTCTCCTTTGCCACCACCTCTCTGGCCAGGCTTCAGCTGTTCCTGGAGCTCGCGCTGCCAGTTCTCACGAAACTCGTCTAGAGCATTGGGACCATGACCTTGCCCCTCATTGTCTGACTCGGCATCCGACATGGCTGGGTTAAACTGGTCTGCAAAAGAAAAACAGATGCAGATAGCAAAAATAGATTGGCACCTCTGTTATCTGACGCAATTCTAACCTGTAAGACGTCTAATATAGGTGGCTAGTGGATTGCCAGGAAGGTGAGGAGACGAAAAAAATAAAGGCTTTTGAATTTATAATAAAGGGCCGCGCGTATTGCTGATAGTGGCCGCGGGCTTCACCCCAGAATTTCGAAGTCGTGCGAAACTGGGAGCAACATGTGGCCATTGGTAAGACCCCAAGATTAAGTTAATTCAGATACGGCGAACGAAGCACTTCTAGCAGCGTAAAACTATTGCATGCAGTGTGACCGTTGTCTTGACAACATATGTTTATTACCATGGTCATACTTTTGCTGGTCAATCAGGTTTTGTTTTTGTTTTGGTTTGCCGGAATACTCTTCGCAGAAGGTACTTCAGTTATTTTAATAAAATAATGAATTAATATTCCACCAATACATAGTGTAGGCCATGTCTGCGGATTACTCGCATCTGTGCTCTGCCATTCTGGAGCAGTGCTTCGGAAAAGTGGTCCAGTTAGTCGCTGATTGCCTGTTTTCGGCCACCACGAGGTCTCTGTCGCAGATTGCCAGTTCCACCAAGTTATCCCGCAAGGAGGTGGCCCTCGCTCTAGCTGTGTTGGTCAAGTACCGGTTAGTTGACTTTGGAGCCTCCCAGCAGAACCCCTTTTTGGCGGAATATGCTCTCAGGCGGGAGGATGTGCTCTGTCTGCTGCGGTATCCACGGTAAGCCATGATATCCATTGTATATTTTAAATAACAAGTGGATATTCTAATTTCAGTTATGTTCATTTGGTGCAAGCGAAGTACGGAAACGTTGGCGCCTCTATCGCCGAGGAGCTGATCAACTCTGGTTCGGATACTGCCACAGGGATTCTCGTCAAGTGTCTGACAGAGGGCGAGAACAAATCGGAGACCGCGGAATCCTATCGCAATTCCTTTCTCCAAATGATTACCGACCACTATATTATAAAGAAACCTGAGCTTTTGTCGACGGATGATACAGAAGAAGTTGTCCCAAAGTTCGAGACCAACGAATGCGACTTTTACAGACACCCTAACATTGATCTTCAGCTTCTGGCCAAGATTCGAAAGGGGGAAGCAACAGTTAGCGAAGCTAAAGACGGCCATATGGTGTGGAATCTGAACTACGATCGATTTCATCAGGACTTTCGGGATTCCATCATGATAGATGCTATTGAAAGAAAACTGGGAGAAAACGCAGCCGAGTGCTTTCGGTTTATTCTGAAAATAATGTACAATTCCACTGATCCCTGGCAGCGGGTATGGAAAATTTCTTGTTAAAAGTACTTAATTTAAGCTATTGATTTTTCAGAAACTCTCTAACCAAATAACGTTTGTTGAAATCAAACAAACGATCGAAAAGAAATCCAATAACCTGGACCTCATGAAGTACCTGGATCAGTACATCAGCTTAATAAGTAAGTGCTCATAACTTAAATACTTTTCATTTCATTTAATACCTTCCGTTTGACAGCCGACGACTCGCTGGGCTTCCTTCGGAGAGTAGGGGATATGGGAGGTGGTCTTTTTGTGGTGGACATGGAGAAGTCGTTCGAATCGCTGGCCTTCGCATGTGTCGAGTCCGTAATAACTGAACGTTTCGGTTCAAAGGCAGCTCGTATCTTTAGAGTTATCCGCTGCAAGAAGTACATCGAACAGGAGGACTTGCAAAAGGAAGCCATGATACCCTCCAAGGAGGCCAAGTCCCTGGCCTATAATTTGTTCCAAGAACAGTTTATTCATGTAAAAATTATCAAAAAACCGGGAGGTGGGAGTAATGGACCAGCAAAAGCCTTTTATCTTTTCCAAGTCAGAGAAAAAGATGTTCGTATAAACTTGTTTCCAAAAAATTATGTATTATATACTAACCTGTGAATTTCAGACTGTGAGAATGTTGTTGGATGTGAGCTACAAGTCACTATATAACACCATCGAGCGATCTAACTTTGAAAAAAATGAGCACAAAGGTCTCATTGAAAAATCTCAAAGGCTGGACAGCATTGTGGAGACAATGAAAGAACGCGGGGAGTCGGATGAATATATCGCCGAGGTAGAATTCTTTAAACTTAGTCATGTAACTTCATTAACCTCGTTGTATTTCAGATTGTGGAGACTTTTACACCGCCAGAATGTGAGATCCTTAAAAAGGTGAAGAATCGTATAAAGACCTTGTCAAAGGCAGAACTGACCCTGGACGATACAATCTTCCTGCTCCAAATGTATCAGCATCATTGCACCACCTTGCCAACTGGCATTAGAAAGTTTAAATAAAAATATATTTAAGAGATACATAAAGTAGTCAAACAATTTGGAATATGGTAGAGGCTTTCAAGATTCACATTTACTGAGACATTTACGAGGGTTTCAAATAACTTTTGGCTTAATCACAGGTTACACAAATAGCATTTAAGGACTCTAATTACTTTCTGGAGTAATTATGCTGCGTTTCCGATGCACAATACGTTGTTCGCGATGCGCCTTCTGCAGCTTAATGAAGTGTTGTTCCAGGGCATCGAAATCAATGCCGCTTTTGTACTCCAGGGAGTTCCGCTCATCGCTGCCAAAGAAAATATCAAATATAGGTTGACATTAATGCATTCCAAGACCTTACATGGGATTTTGACCCCAGTAGTTGGGGACACATTGCAGGCGATTCCTCAACGTATCGAATGCTTCCGTTTGGGGGAGCAGCATAAGAATTCCAAATAGGGCATGTGCCAGGTATTGGGCATCTGCACAATTGTTTGCCTTTGAAACTAGCGTTAATCGCAGTGGTCCGAAAATAGGAGACTCTATTAATTGCACTAGTTTATCCAATTCAGTAAGCAGCTCTAGTGTAATTTCCACATCAGCACTAAAGAAAAAAGCTTATTAAAAATGATAAATGTTTGGTTAAATTTTACTTACAATAATGTCACCAAACGAGAGACGTGCTGGTAGCTCTGGGCCAGAAGGCACAAGGACAGCGTGGAAACTGGACAATGAGCCCAGCTTTTGTAAAGACATTGAAAAAGATCCGCAGACTTTTCATTGGAAATTGTTCGCAAGCTGGTACGCAACTCAAAAAGTTCCGTGGAGGTTAGCAGAATGATATTCAGCAGACGAACCACTGTAGAGGCAAACTTCAAGTTGGGTACCTCGTCTGCTATGATCTCCGCAAAGGTGCGGTAAATATATTCGGCATTAAGAAGTACACACAGTTTTCTAAAATTTAAAACAAATATTATTTCATGTGATATATTCCGAAAACAAAGCTTACCTTATTATGAGACTGGCTCTGTTTTCCAAGATCAGCTTTTCCTCACTGAAGAGATTCAATAAGCTAAGTAAAAACTTGCGGTAGTGTGTCTTTTTAAAGTCATTCTCTGAAATTTAAAAATATATTTCATTTATTGGCTTTATTGTAATCTTAGCGTTTACCTCTATTATCCTGGGAGTTGACAATTTCGGCCAGAACAGATAAACTCTGGAGAACCACTTCATCGGAGTTATCGGCCAGCGTTGATAAGAGATTGTTGTTCAAATTGCTGGCATGTTGAGACATCTCGTTGGGAAAATTGGTGAACAAATGATGGATCCACTTGAGCACCGCAATTTTGGTGTGCATGGAATTGTGCGTTAGATACTGAGAAAGAACATCCATAATAGAGGACAAATCTATCTTATCACCCGTTTGCGTTTTTAGTTCCTTGGTTGACACAAGCAGCATCATCGTGTTGTTGACGGAAACAGCACTCTCCTTAATGCCTGAAAGTATTTATTTTAAAGTCGACCACTTTTAATTCTTTTAAAACTGTCTTACTTCGTTTCGATTCTAAATTGTATTCGAGACATGGCAGGATTGCAGTAAATATTCCGCTGGCGTAGGGAAGGACACTGGTGCCAAATATCTGGACAAACTCCCGTATCCAATTGATGGCAGTTGACTTGATCAGTTCGTTGGGCGACTGTGCATGGGTAATCAACGTGTTGATTGTATCCTCCATTCTCACGGAGGAAGAGTCGTTGCGTATGGATTTCAAAAACTGGCTGATTGCGTTTTCGCACATGCGCTGAATTTCTGGCGTGTTGTCCTCGAGCATGACGAACAGACCGTCAAGGATTTCGGTTAGATAGTTGACCATGTTTATGTCAGGAACAGCATTTAGAATGGAAATCCAGGAGATCACATACTGGCGGGCAAAAGCATCCTTCACGTAGATGTGCTCTCTCAGCAGAGGTATAAATGCTTCCAAGTTAAAAGTTTGCGACGATTCTGTAACAATGTCCTGGAAAGAAAAGAGTTAGGATGTGGTGGAACACAAGGGCAGATTCCCTACCTTGAGAAGGCGGTCGAGAAGCTCACTGCCATCCTTAACCGTCTGATCAGAGTCGGTGACAAGCCGGGAAAGGGCAGCAAACAGCTCCGGAAAGAATGGAATGATGGCGGATCGGGCCACTTTGACCACATTGTACAACGATTCGCAGGCAAAGTAACGCACTCGCAGATCGGGATCATTAAGGCACGTAAGAATGGGAGTAACCAATTCGTTTACATACTTATCAGAGTCCTACAAATATGGATAAAATTTCGTATAAAAAACCACCATTGTATGACTAATAGCACCTTTCCCAGCCCTAATCCAGTGGCCGCCAAACCGATAAGAGCTCCCTTCCTGCGGTTGACGTCCCGAGATGTCGCATAGTCTGTAGACAGTACGTCTATTAGCTTCCGAATTTGGACCGAGTTGTTCTTATTATTAAACTCTGTGACCATTCTGTGAAGTAGTTGGTAGTAAGCAATAGGAATGACGAATCGGCAATATTTAATTCCCTTAATACTCACTTCTCGATCTCCTGTGAAGCCAGCTTTCGTTTTTCATAAACTTTGTCACCCAGAGCCTTGGCGCAGGACTCGCTGAGCGGTGCGTACGGTGGATCCATAACTTATTTTGAAAATCTGCAATATTTGACAAATATTTTGTTTTGCTGGGCGGTTTTTTGCCAAAAAACTTGAAAACAGCTGATTTCCTACAATCGTTAATGAACACAGAAATAGGGGAAATTTCATGTATTTTCAAACACTGTTCTATAAAAAAAAGGATTAAACGGATTACTGCAATAAATTTAAATGAAAGATATATAAATATGTATTCTGATTCTATACATTATACTTTTTATTTCCAAACAACTTTTTCAACCTATAGGCAAAAACCCCATTTTCAGGGATCCCATCACGAAAAATGGACAACAAATTTTACAAATATTTTGTTTCAGGATTTTGATGCAGAATGGTTGAGAATCGATCCAGAAATCGTTTAAGGTACTCCGCATGAGAATCGGATGAGAATTGCGGAAGATATAGCCATCACCGTGGACCCCATAGGAGAAAACAACATTTTCAGGGGATGCCTCACGAAAAATGGACAAAAAATCTAAAAAATATTTTGTCTCAGGATTTTGATGCATAATGGTGGCGAATCAATCCAGAAATCGTTAAAGGTACTCCGCTTGAGAATTGGGAAAGATATAGCTATCAGTGTTGGCCCTATAGAGAAAACCCCATTTTCAAGGGATGCCTAACGAAAAATGGACACAAAATCTTAAAAATATTTTGTCTCAGGATTTTGATGCAGAATGGTGGCGAATCAATCCAGAAATCGTTTAAGGTACTCCGCTTGAGAATCGGATGAGAATTGCGGAATATATAGCCATCACTGTGGGCCATATGAGAGAAAACCCCATTTTCAAGGGATGCCTCACGAAAAATGGACAAAAAATCTAAAAAATATTTTGTCTCAGGATTTTGATGCAGAATGGTGGCGAATCGATCCAGAAATCGTTTAAGGTACTCCGCTTGAGAATCGGATGAGAATTGGGAAAGATATAGCCATCACTGTGGGCCATATGAGAGAAAACCCCATTTTCAAGGGATCCCTCACGAAAAATAAGCAAAAAATCTAAAAAATATTTTGTCTCAGGATTTTGATGCAGAATGGTGGCAAATCGATCCAGAAATCGTTTAAGGTACTCCGCTTGAGAATCGGATGAGAATTGCGGAAGATATAGCCATCACTGTGGGCCATATGAGAGAAAACCCCATTTTCAAGGGATGCCTCACGAAAAATGGACAAAAAATCTAAAAAATATTTTGTCTCAGGATTTTGATGCAGAATGGTGGCGAATCGATCCAGAAATCGTTTAAGGTACTCCGCTTGAGAATCGGATGAGAATTGGGAAAGATATAGCCATCACTGTGGGCCATATGAGAGAAAACCCCATTTTCAAGGGATCCCTCACGAAAAATAAGCAAAAAATCTAAAAAATATTTTGTCTCAGGATTTTGATGCAGAATGGTGGCGAATCGATCCAGAAATCGTTTAAGGTACTCCGCTTGAGAATCGGATGAGAATTGGGAAAGATATAGCCATCACTGTGGGCCATATGAGAGAAAACCCCATTTTCAAGGGATCCCTCACGAAAAATAAGCAAAAAATCTAAAAAATATTTTGTCTCAGGATTTTGATGCAGAATGGTGGCGAATCGATCCAGAAATCGTTTAAGGTACTCCGCTTGAGAATCGGATGAGAATTGCGGAAGATATAGCCATCACTGTGGGCCATATGAGAGAAAACCCCATTTTCAAGGGATCCCTCACGAAAAATGGACAAAAAATCTAAAAAATATTTTGTCTCAGGATTTTGATGCAGAATGGTGGCGAATCGATCCAGAAATCGTTTAAGGTACTCCGCTTGAGAATCGGATGAGAATTGGGAAAGATATAGCCATCACTGTGGGCCATATGAGAGAAAACCCCATTTTCAAGGGATCCCTCACGAAAAATAAGCAAAAAATCTAAAAAATATTTTGTCTCAGGATTTTGATGCAGAATGGTGGCAAATCGATCCAGAAATCGTTTAAGGTACTCCGCTTGAGAATCGGATGAGAATTGGGAAAGATATAGCCATCACTGTGGGCCATATGAGAGAAAACCCCATTTTCAAGGGATCCCTCACGAAAAATAAGCAAAAAATCTAAAAAATATTTTGTCTCAGGATTTTGATGCAGAATGGTGGCGAATCGATCCAGAAATCGTTTAAGGTACTCCGCTTGAGAATCGGATGAGAATTGCGGAAGATATAGCCATCACTGTGGGCCATATGAGAGAAAACCCCATTTTCAAGGGATCCCTCACGAAAAATGGACAAAAAATCTAAAAAATATTTTGTCTCAGGATTTTGATGCAGAATGGTGGCGAATCGATCCAGAAATCGTTTAAGGTACTCCGCTTGAGAATCGGATGAGAATTGGGAAAGATATAGCCATCACTGTGGGCCATATGAGAGAAAACCCCATTTTCAAGGGATCCCTCACGAAAAATAAGCAAAAAATCTAAAAAATATTTTGTCTCAGGATTTTGATGCAGAATGGTGGCAAATCGATCCAGAAATCGTTTAAGGTACTCCGCTTGAGAATCGGATGAGAATTGCGGAAGATATAGCCATCACTGTGGGCCATATGAGAGAAAACCCCATTTTCAAGGGATCCCTCACGAAAAATGGACAAAAAATCTAAAAAATATTTTGTGCCAGGATTTTGATGCAGAATGGTGGCGAATCGATCCAGAAATCGTTTAAGGTACTCCGCTTGAGAATCGGATGAGTATTGGGAAAGATATAGCCATCACCGTGGACCCCATAGGAGAAAACCCCAATTTCAAGGGATGCCTCACGAAAAATGGACAAAAAATTTAAAAAATATTTTAGCTCAGGATTTTGATGCAGAATGGTGGCGAATCGATCCAGAAATCGTTTAAGGTACTCCGCTTGAGAATCGGATGAGGATTGGGAAAGATATAGCCATCACCGTGCACCCCATAGGGGAAAAACCTCTTTTCATGGGATTCCATCACGGAAAACCGAAAATGAATTGGTTTTAAAGCTATTAATTTTTAAAAGGATCGGCCTTCTTTATGCGACGTTTGCGATAAATATATAATCTTAGCCGCAAGAGTATATCACCACGGCTCCGCCCGAAGTTAGCTTTCCTTTCCTTTTTTGTTTTAATTTGTTTTGAATTATATTTGGAACAAAAAGAAAAGCGTACAAAAGTGTAAATATTTGAAATATTTTTGGAAAATGGTTTTCCATTTTTAAGAATTGCATATTTGTGTTCTTTGATTTTAAGCACACGTCAATAATAAGAGTAAACATAATCTAAAAATACTAATGGCTTAATCATTCAATATGCAAAAGTGCCAAAAATAAATATAATTTTTAATAATCGAAATGCCGACCTGCGACAACCAAAACTACCCCTCAATTATTCCTGAATTTTCCATTTGTTCTGCTGCTGTCTCACTCACTCTCATAGGAAAAGTCGGGTGAATTCGAGAAGGGAAATCTCGAACTTTCCCCGCCCGAGCAGTCGGGTATAAATAGCGGCGCAAATTTCCCAGCCAGCACATTTGAAAAGTGAAAACCAAGCGAAAAGTTCAAAAGAAAGAAGGCTGTGAAAGCTAAAATCTGAAAAAAGAAAATATTACTGAAAATATTCCGCTATCGATATAAATCCAAGTGACAAGTAAAAAATAAGAAAAAATTATACAAAAAATAATATTCATTTTGGACGTTGAATCAAAAGAAAATTCAAAGAAATACAAAAATGCCAGCTATTGGAATCGACTTGGGCACCACGTACTCATGCGTGGGTGTCTTCCAGCACGGAAAGGTTGAGATCATCGCCAACGACCAGGGCAACCGGACTACACCCAGCTATGTGGCCTTTACCGACTCGGAGCGCCTGATTGGAGACGCTGCCAAGAACCAGGTGGCAATGAATCCCAAGAACAGCGTTTTCGATGCCAAGCGGTTGATTGGCCGCAAGTACGACGACCCGAAAATCCAGGACGACATCAAACACTGGCCCTTCAAGGTCATTAGCGACTGCGGCAAGCCCAAGATGAGCGTGGAGTTCAAGGGGGAAGAGAAGCGCTTTGCTCCGGAGGAAATCAGCTCCATGGTGCTCATCAAGATGAAGGAGACGGCGGAGGCCTATCTGGGCACTACAATTCGTGATGCAGTCATTACGGTGCCTGCCTACTTCAACGACTCCCAGCGCCAGGCCACCAAGGATGCCGGAGCCATCGCCGGATTAAATGTCCTTCGCATTATTAACGAGCCAACTGCCGCAGCTCTGGCCTATGGACTCGACAAGAATCTTAAGGGAGAGCGCAATGTGCTCATCTTTGACTTGGGCGGCGGCACTTTCGATGTCTCTATTTTGACCATCGACGAAGGATCTCTTTTCGAGGTGCGGTCTACGGCCGGCGACACTCATCTGGGTGGCGAGGACTTTGACAACCGACTGGTAAACCATCTGGCAGAGGAGTTTAAGCGCAAGTTTAAGAAGGATCTGCGCACTAATCCTCGCGCTCTGAGACGCCTTCGAACTGCAGCCGAACGCGCTAAGCGCACTTTGTCCTCCAGCACAGAGGCTTCCATCGAGATTGATGCCCTGTTCGAGGGTCACGATTTCTACACCAAGGTGAGCCGGGCCCGTTTCGAGGAGTTGTGCGGCGACCTCTTCCGCAATACCCTGGAGCCCGTGGAAAAGGCCCTAAAGGATGCCAAGATGGACAAAGGACAGATTCATGACATTGTCTTGGTAGGAGGATCCACCCGCATCCCCAAGGTTCAAAATCTTCTGCAGGGTTTCTTTGGCGGAAAGACCCTTAATCTGTCCATCAATCCTGATGAAGCGGTGGCCTATGGAGCGGCTATACAGGCAGCCATTCTTTCCGGCGACGAAAGCAGCCAGATAAAGGATGTCTTACTGGTGGATGTGGCTCCGCTATCACTGGGCATTGAGACTGCTGGTGGAGTGATGACCAAGCTAATCGAGCGCAACAGCCGCATTCCTTGCAAACAATCCAAAACATTCACAACCTACGCCGATAACCAGCCTGCGGTGACTATCCAGGTTTTCGAGGGCGAGCGTGCTCTGACTAAGGACAACAACGTGCTGGGCACATTCAACCTGACCGGCATCCCACCTGCACCCAGAGGCGTGCCAAAGATTGACGTCACCTTCGACTTGGACGCCAATGGTATCCTCAATGTTACCGCCAAGGAGCAGGGCACCGGTAATGCCAAGAACATTACGATCAAGAACGACAAGGGCCGGTTGTCGCAGGCCGACATCGACCGCATGCTCAACGAGGCGGAGAAGTATGCCGAGGAAGATGAGCGCCACCGCCAAAGGATCGCCGCCCGCAACCAGCTGGAGAGCTACGTTTTCAGTGTTAAGGAGGCCGCCGAGCAGGGTGGCGATCGCATCAGCCAGTCGGACAAGAGCAGTGTGCTGGAGAAGTGCAACGAGGCTGTTAAATGGCTTGACTCCAATACCACTGCCGAGAAGGAGGAGTTCGAGCATAAGCTGGAAGAGCTGACGAAGTTCTGCAGCCCCATCATGACCAAAATGCACCAGCAGGGAGCAGGAGGAGATGGTCCGCGTACTAACGGCGGCCAGCAGTCAGGAAGCTGCAACAACGGTGGTTACAAGGGTCCCACTGTTGAGGAGGTGGACTAATTCCAAATGCCATAGCATTAAACTAGTATTGTTGAATCTCAGTCTTTATAGTTTAAAATAAGTTACTGAATTTAATTCAATTAAAATAATATCTAGTCAGTAGCAAAGAATTCTGAAAATAAAAAAAGATAATCAGTATATGGAGAAGATCATAAATGTTTTTATTTGCTGTTTACTTTTCCCAATTTACTTTGGCAATCCCTCGCGCTTGGCCCAGTCCAGCCAGGATCCCTCATAGTTGCTAACTTTTTTGAATCCCAAAGCGGTGGCAGCTTCCGCGGCTTTGAGACTCCTCTTGCCTATCTTGCAGTGGAATATAATCTCCGTATCCGGCTTGGGCTTTTCCCTGCCGTATTTCGATTTGAAGGCGCTGTCACTGGTGGACAGTTCTTGGCTGACCACATCCAGAGGTATATTAATGCTGGAGGGGATTTGTCCAGTCTCTTTAAGTTCGTCTGGCTCACGGACGTCGATGAGCAGCTTTTGGGGTTCACTGGGTAGCTTCTTGACCACGTCGTAGTCCACTATTCCAATAACAGGAGACTGGCTGCTATAGAAACGTTGTTGAAGATTCCTTGCGGGGATCAGGGTCAATCTTTGTGGTTTTACGGCAGGGTGCAGCGTAACCTTTGAGCTGGTAACGCGTAAGGCCATTATACAGTTCCTGAGCAGCATTTTAAAATAAATAAATATCCACACCAGACAAACAAAGTTACGTAAAATCACAATAATAAATAGAATGCCGGTTTCTAGAGTTGCCAAGTAGCTAATTTTCTAACCGCCCTGGTTTGGCGGTAATTTAAAAAATAGTCCCTCACTGATAAGCATAATTCCCTTTGGCGAGATTGTAATCAGAAGCTGTTGCCATGTCGGATAACCAGCACTCGCGAAATACGTGAAGTGTGTGTGTCAAGGCCTGGAACCCAATCACAATTACCCGTCATCCCTTGATAAGTTCAACGAACAACAGAGACCATTGCGCTTGATTGAATCAATTAACTGAAATGGATTGCGATCCCGGATTCAGTCTACAAGTAAACAAATGGGGTATAGACGATCCATAAACGCTTAAGAACTGTGGCGCGTGCTTGTCTAGTCGAAAGGTGGCATGTTTCGCATCCGGCTATCGGGAAGGGAACATGAATTAAATCCCTCGGGGGTTTTGTGAATTATCGGACATGGGCGCCGGTTTCTTCTGGTAAAAAGGGATGTGGTTCAACGACTTTGTGATAGATGGTAGCTCTTATCAGAGCCACCTGATAAGGCCCACCAACCCACCTCAACAATCGGTGTTCTAGTTAAGAAGCGCGTGCCATGAATCAGTTAATTACCGAAAAATTCGTTTTGTACTCAAATATATTTCGACTTTTTATTATAAAAATATTACTTAGGACTACTAAAATGGCAACAATACACAGTTTCAGCTTCGCAGGTTCTTCACAAAATACATATTCCAAGGACACGAGTGTCCAACGTTAATACAAAGAGTGATGTGAGCAATAGTCGACAATAGGACAAGATTTGGTTGAAGAGTATTCCTCACTTGGAGCCAGCTATGTGTCCGAGAGACTCGCCCACGCGGATCTTCTGCCCGGCCACGATGTCGAACTTGAAGTTCTTCGGCGCTTCGAATAGCAGAACAATGGTGGAGCCCATGTTGAACTGGCCCACAAGGTCCCCCTTCCCGAACTCTGTTGCCGGTGCGGTCTGGTTCAGTTCTAGTTCATCGTATTCATAGGTACTGGGCGGATGCTTGCCCACATTAAAGCCCGTCCACTGGTTGGTCTTCAGTCCAGCATCCATGTAGATCTCAACAGATCCCACGTTTGTTGCACCCACAGCGGTGTAGGAGAAGAAGCCATGCTTCCACTGTCCCATGTACAAAACGCGCTCGTTCAGGCAAAACAATCCCGGCAGCCAGCTAGCCACCTTCGGGCTTACGGATAGCAGTTCCCCGGAGAAGTGTCGTCGGATAGAGGGTTTCCAGGCCGCTGGCGAATGGAAACGATGGTAGTCGCCAGGAGCCAGGTAAATTACGCACTGGTAGAGCTCCGTAGAGCCATCCTGCTTCTTTTTTAGAGCCTGGGCGTAAGGAACTCCCGAGTTGGCCTGCTCTAAGGTCTGTAGGGGACCCAAGAAGTCCTCGATGCTGTAGTTTACACCCTTAACTTGTTCGATTAGCGATTCTGAGGCACTTCCAAAATGCAGCACCTTGCCATCTGCCGGAGAAACGAGGGGGGCTTCCTGGTCAATGGTGCGGGCGCCTTCCTTCAGCGGACGCGTAAAGAATTCCGCCAAACTGCTGTAGTGTTCATATTCTGGAAATTGGGCCTCTTCCAGGTTGACTTTGAATGTATTCGAGTACCAACCGTATACATAAGGTCGCAAAGTTGGAGGCATGTAGCAGGCGGCCAGCCATCCCCAACAACGGCTGATGATGCGCAGGGGAAGCGAGCAGTAGATTCGAGATTGAAGTTCGGAGGCGGTCCTGGGCTGGCCTTCCTGCTCGCAGCGACGCTTCTGCAACTGCCACTCAATGGCGCCGAACACACAAATGCCCATAGGCGCCCAACGCAGGAGAAACCCAGTCCACCGAGCGAGCACGTTGCGGCGTACCTGTGCTACCTCCTGGCTGGAATTGAGTTGCTGCTTGAATTTGTGTGGAGGCGGACGGCGGTGGTGAAGAGGTGCCTCTTTGGATGCAGAATTCGAGGAAAACTGACGGAAGTGGCGTATTACCGGCCAGCTTCCGTTCTGTGCCTGCGGCTGTGAAGCTTTGGTGGTCTGGAGCTGCATCTGGGCCTGCTGGTGCTGCTGCTGCACCACCTGTCTGAGATTGCCGGCCTTCAGCAGGAAGCGGCCGCGAGGTACGAAGTAGGAAACCATTGTTGCTGTTGCTATAGCTGCTGCTGCGCAGCCCCTGTCGCGGATAATCACGTAATCAAGGTATGCCCAGATAAAAATGGCACGATGTGTGGAAATGGTCTCCGCTTCTGTTGTTTAATCTCGCAGGTTCTTTGCTAACTATTTAGTGATTTGGGTGACTACTAAGCTGTGCCTTGGCCCTAGGAACAGATGAAATGGAAAAGCACTCGCATGCGTTATGAAACTCGGATTCTTTCGCCACTTCTGTCACAAGTTTTAAGTTAAATCAGTGGGGAATCAGAGTGATGTTTGCTGCTTGATTTGGTGCTTCCGGATCGCTGTGCTGCCTACAAGAGACTGAAAGTTTTCCATGGGTTCCCGAAACCGAAGAAACGACAATGTGACCGGTGCCAGTGCTGCTATAAGTTGGCGGCAAATCTAGCTGAAAATAAAAGTTCACCGTGGATTAGTATATATCACTCTTTAAATCATTCTTTTTAAAGTCTAATCTTTCGGTTGACTTGACAACACACGGAAGTTCATCTCCTTAACCTTTAACATATTAATATTAAATTTTTGTTTAAAATGCGTCATTTCTTTAATGAAGAAAAATCCATTGACGCACTTTCTAATCGTACTTTATTTTTAAAGTGATTTTTAATAATTATTCTATAATTTATTTATTTTAATTATTCATTAGAAGTCGAGTTGGAAAACAAACTAATGGTAAAATATATAAATAAAATATATCTTTTATTGATCTATATTTTATAAATTGGTTTTTATGAGTTTAAGATATCGGTTATCATTTATATATTTAGCTTTATTTATCAACTAGCCAAGTTAGCAGCACTGACGACGACACTGCGTCTAACATATATATGTAGTTTTAGTTTTTCTCACCAAAACAAACCAAAACCTCCCGATTGTTCCCGCCTGTCTTATCAGACCCAATAGTGGTCAAGGCCTGCGGCACCGAGGCACGCGTAAACAATCTTAGGCAATGTTATTTTTTTGTTTAAAACTGGTTTTAGTCGTTCTTTTTGCTCCGCTTGCAACTGGTTGACAGTTTTGATAACTGCGCCGTAGAGTGGCTCGCTTATTCGGGAGGAATGACAACCCTGGCAGCAGCTGCGAACAGCTGATAAATTTTTGTTTTCTCACACGTAAAGTTAATTGCATGCAGAAAAACAATTTTGAAAACCAAACAAGACTGGCACAATGAGCGAGGCGGAGAAACAGGCGGTCTCCTTCGCCTGCCAGCGATGCATGCAGCCTATAGTGTTGGACGAGCAGCTGGATAAGATCAACGACCATGCCATGGCGGAGCTATCACGTAAGAAAAGGAAGCTACTCTCCTAAATATGTACATTTAATGAATCACCAAATTTTAGTGCCTATATACGGGGACAATGGGAACGTTTTGGATCCCCAGGGCGCCAGCAGCTTCGATCACTTCGTGCCGCCATACAGGCTGACTGACTCCATCAATGGGACTGGATTCATGCTAGTTTCCGATGGCAGGGACAGCAAAAAGATGAGCGCTGCCTTCAAGCTGAAGGCGGAACTATTTGACTGCCTTTCCTCGAACTCTGAAATTGACCATCCGCTGTGCGAGGAATGCGCCGACTCCATGCTGGAAATCATGGACCGCGAGCTAAAAATCGCCGAGGACGAGTGGGGTGTGTACAAGGCGTATCTGGACGAGTTGGAGCAGCAGCGGGAGGCTCCTAATGTAGACGCCCTGGATAAGGAGCTGGAAGAGTTGAAGCGTAGCGAACAACAGCTTCTTTCAGAACTTGGCCACCTTAAGGAGGAAGAGCAACAGCTGAAAGATGCTATTGCCCAGGAAGAACAGGAGAGGGAGCAGCTACATGAGCAGGAGGAGTGCTACTGGCGTGAATACACGAAGCATCGGCGTGAACTGATGTTGACAGAGGACGACAAACGCAGCCTGGAAAGCCAGATCGCCTATTCCCGCCAGCAATTGGACAAGCTGCGTGACACCAATATTTTTAACATTACTTTCCACATATGGCACGCTGGCCACTTTGGAACCATTAATAACTTCCGGCTCGGACGCTTGCCCACTGTCTCAGTGGACTGGTCGGAGATTAACGCTGCCTGGGGCCAAACGGTGCTGCTCCTGTCTGCATTAGCCCGAAAGATTGGCCTCACATTCGAGCGCTATCGGGTGGTACCCTTTGGGAATCACTCCTATGTAGAGGTGCTTGGAGAGAATCGAGAGCTGCCTTTGTACGGAAGTGGCGGATTTAAGTTCTTCTGGGACACCAAGTTTGATGCTGCTATGGTGGCATTCCTCGACTGCCTAACACAGTTTCAGAAGGAAGTTGAAAAGCGCGACACTGAATTCCTGTTACCCTACAAGATGGAGAAGGGAAAAATAATTGATCCCTCCACTGGAAATTCCTATTCGATAAAGTGAGTATTTCATTTCAGCATCCAGTCCAACCGAATTTCATTTATTTGTTTTCCCAAAGGATTCAATTCAACTCTGAGGAGCAATGGACCAAGGCCCTTAAATTCATGCTAACGAACCTGAAGTGGGGTCTAGCATGGGTCTCCTCGCAATTTGTTTCGCCGTGATGTTCCCCTTTGTCATTCAATCGTTTATTTATACAACTAATTATTAATCTTCCTAGTGCTTAAAATTAAAGCTAAATCATTCAAATTTTAAATGCAATTAAGGTATAGGACCGATTTTTTAAGGTCAGATTCAAATTACTATTTAAAAACGAAAATATATATAAGAAATATTTAAAAAAGAAGATAAGCATTAGTTTTTTACAGCTTTTTTAGGTGCCTCTGATTCTTCTTCACTACTATCTGAGTCTGAATCAGACCCGGATATGTCGTCGCCAATCCAAAGGGTTCCTTTTTTCTTTTTCTTCAGCTTGCTTTTATCCTCTGAGGTAGCTTTTCGTTTGCAGCCGCTGGTTGAAGTTTCCGGTTCCTGCTTTTCCTTTATCTCCTCTGCCTGTTTGAGTCCCTCTTCAAAGGCATCGTTGACTTTCTCGGTAAGATTGGCCCTTGCTTCCTCGTAGTCATCGTCCTTGAACTCGTGCTTGGGCACAGCCAGAAGCTTCTCAATTTTACGCTTCTTTCGCTCCTCGGCCTCGCGCTCCCTCTCACCTTGCTTCTCCAGCCAAGCACGAACCCGCTTCTCCTCGTTGATGTCCCGCAAGCGGCGTCCACTCAGATCCCGACAAGCCTCTCGATTTGTGGTCTTTTCGATTTGGGCGCCAATAGCTCGGAGCATGGAACCGAATCCACCCTTGCCGCCCAACTGACGCAGTATGCAATGGACATCTCCTGATGGCTGTGCTCCCACCAAAGGTTTTCCATTGCACAGGAGGTAGTAATCTTCGGGGAGCAAATTCTGAAAGTGGCACACGTTACAAAAACTTATGAAACCAAAACATGCATCCGCATACTCACTGTGGATTTTTCTATTCTACCACGTAGCTGTTGGTAACTGATTTGATCTTCGCAAGAAATCAAGCGTTTATTGTTTATCAGAATATTAATTACCATTTTACCGTTTCCCCTTTATATTGTTTTTTGTTCTTTCTTTTTGTACTTCTAGAGATGCAACTATCGGCTAATCTCTAGTTTCTCTTTGCGCTGCACCCTGACGTGAGTTAGAGGTGGTGGGGTGGTGATGCAAGCGTTTATCGGTGTCCCTAGGGTTGCCCCATTCTCATTGGTAATAATAACTCGTCATTAAAACAAAGATATCCAAGTGATTTTGGGCCAAGATCAATTAAAACATCCTAAAAAACCCATAGCTAATCTCTGTCTAAAATAAACACGCGCCGATTAGGCAAATTCAGTGTTTCTTCCAGGTTGCCGCCATTGTTTTTTCGTTTTTAGACAGTTGGCAGCCCTGGCTCTCACACACAAAAAGTCTCATTAATTAGTTCGCATTTTCGACGACAAAGGTAAAATTTTAGCGACGCGTTTAAAGAACATTTACGCCCACAAAACCAAGCGAAAATTGTGCAATTTTAGTAGAAACCGGTAGCGGCGAATCTTGTCCGTTGAGTGCAATGTACGAAAATCGAGCAAAGCAAGTAAAATGCGGTAAATTCGCAGCCGCAGCCACGTCACAGAAAGGCGCACAAAATTGTTAAGAGAGCGCGGATTCAGGCAGCCAAACGGCCAAATCTCAAATTCTGTGCAGCGTCTCTATGCAAATCCCCAAATGTGTTCAATTTCAAGTCGGTACATTCGGCATCGGTGTTGGTAGTTGGCGGGGGGACTGTTGGGGCGGGGAGCGGCATTGCTCCCATGAGTCGCCCAGTTTGTCTTTTGCTTTTTTTCGGTTCGGCTTTAGTTATTGAGCATTTAAACTAATACCAACACCAATGCAATTTGAATGTGGAACTTTTCATTGCTTTTTCTGCTAGCCGCTTCCATCCATCCCGTCTACATGTGTGTGTACACACGCAACGCAAGACGCCTCTCTCCGTGTTTGTGTGTGTGTTTGTATGTGTCGGTGTGCGAAAAAGAGACGAAGAAAATAAGCAGCAGCAAATGAGCAACAAAAACCACCCCGCCATCCCCCGTTTCCACTCCCTTTTGGGCTCTATGACTTTGGCTGACATCGCACGCAGAAATAATCAAAATCAAGTTTAGTGCCATGCAAGTTGATATTTGGTTTTTGCAGAAGCGAGAAAAGCGAAAAACATAATGCAACCGTGGGCCCTCTTTTCGTGTGCGTGTGACCCCTGCTGATGTGCGTGTGTTGGTGCCTGTGCCGAAAGAATTCGGCTAATGTGCGGAGACTTATTAATTATAAACTAAATCGCTTTGCCAGGCCCGCAAATCCGTTGCGAATGGATGGCTTTTGTCAATTGTTCCCGATTTGCTTTGTTATAAAAGCGGACAAGCAGATCTGTCTCTCTCTCTTGAAGCGCATTGGTGTGTGTGTGTGTGAGTGGGTGTGCTTGTGTGCGTGCGCGTGTATGAAAGAGACCGTGCTGCACTGCTTTGCCGCCTTTGGTGGCTCTTTGTTCCCAAAGGCGGAGGGGGAGGCGGTGTAGGTGGCGGGACCTATTCGATTTATACCCATATCATTTGCCTAGCTAATGCCCGCCGATCATGTGCTGTTAGGCCTTGTCCCACTATCCCGGATATATCGCCTCGCAACTAACCCAATTTCTCTCTTTCTCTCTTCTCTCTCTCTCTCTCTTTGCAGCAGTGATTCCAGGGGTCAGCTTTGAAAACCCATCCTGCGAACTTTCATAGACAACTAATTTTTGTACGACATCGAGTATTTATATACGTTTATACAATCCTGTATATTGGACGGTTTACAATTATCTTTTGGAAAATCGCAAATCGGCGGATCAGGGATCGAGCGAGCTACCCCACATCCACATCCACATCCAAAATCCCATCCCCTGGAAAAAGGCTGCTATCTGCAGATAGATCTGGATATACCAGATATATAGAGCGAAATTCGTATATATTCCAAAACACTCCATTAGCGATTAGTTAGGTCAGATATATTTATACATATATATAGATGTTTAACAAAATTTTCTACTAGGCGAGAGATTAGTAACGGAGCAAAAGCAATAAACGACGAACCTCAGCGTTAAGCCTAAAGATTTACCTACCTAGATACATACAGAATAATTAATTTATATTAAAAACAACAAAAAAACAACACAAAGCCCAGCCAAGTCGAGAGTGAGTGCAGAACTGCAGTCGTAGTATCGTAGCAATCGAAGTATTCAAAATTGTAGCCTAGCACTTAGCACTATTTAATTCGCAGCAAGACACCTGTATATTTAGACGGAAATAAGCATAAATATATTTTGTACGTGGACTTTGGGAAGTGACTACTAGATAGAGCAACCAAGCTGCATATTTTTATATCGTCCTGTGATTGATGCAGCCAGTCTCAGTTCCAGTTCAATTCCTGGACCGAGTGTAGAGACATATAATCAAGTAGCCAGAGCTAAGTAGCCTATTAGATACACACACCCTGACATACAGAACAGCCATGGACGAATCCCAGCCGAAGACCCTATACGTTGGCAACCTAGACAGCTCCGTGTCCGAGGATTTGCTCATCGCACTCTTCGGCACCATGGGCCACGTCAAGAGCTGCAAGATAATCCGGGAGCCGGGCAACGATCCCTATGCCTTTATCGAATATTCCACTTACCAAGCAGCCACGACCGCCCTAACCGCCATGAACAAGCGTCTGTTCCTCGACAAGGAAATCAAGGTAAGATCTATACTGACATTCTATGTTTCATTAAAAGTTATCAAAGGATCTGTTGTTTCATTAGGTTAACTGGGCCACTAGTCCCGGCAATCAGCCCAAGACGGACATCAGTTCTCATCATCATATTTTCGTCGGCGACTTGAGTCCCGAGATCGAAACAGAAACGCTGCGCGAGGCATTTGCTCCATTCGGAGAGATTTCAAACTGCCGCATTGTTAGAGATCCGCACACCATGAAGTCCAAGGGCTATGCCTTCGTGTCGTTCGTGAAAAAGGCAGAGGCGGAGAACGCCATTACGGCGATGAATGGTCAATGGATCGGTTCGCGGTCAATACGCACCAACTGGTCCACCCGCAAACTCCCACCGCCGCGTGAGCCCAACAAAGGAGGCGGCCAGGGAGGTGGCATGGGTGGCGGGCCGGGAGGCAACGGTTCCGGCGTAAAGGGCAGTCAGCGGCACACCTTCGAAGAGGTCTACAACCAGTCGAGCCCCACCAACACTACCGTCTACTGCGGTGGTTTTCCGGCTAACGTCATTAGCGATGACTTGATGCACAAGCACTTTGTCCAGTTCGGACCCATCCAGGACGTTCGGGTATTCAAAGACAAAGGCTTTGCGTTTATTAAGTTCGTCACCAAGGAAGCAGCCGCCCGCGCTATCGAGCACACGCACAACAGCGAGGTCCATGGCAATCAGGTTAAGTGCTTCTGGGGCAAGGAGAACGGCGGCGACAATTCGGCCAATAACCTCAATAATGCTGCGGCTGCGGCCGCAGCAGCAGCCTCCGCCAATGTAGCCGCCGTGGCAGCTGCGAACGCAGCGGCTGCCGCTGGAGCGGGTATGCCCGGCCAAATGATGACACAGCAACAGATCGCGGCAGCCACCGGAGCGGCGATACCCGGCCAAATGATGACTCCCCAGCAGATCGCAGCCGCCACGGCAGCGCAGTATTCGCCATACGCCTATCAGCAGATGGGGTACTGGTATCCCCCAACGGTAAGCTTATTATGATTTGGATTTGGATAGTTATTATTATTAATTAAAATTTAAATCCCTTCCAGGCATATCCTGGAACCCAGATGCAAACGCAGTACATGCAACAGGGCTACTATCCTTACGCTTACACCACCAGTGCTCAACAGGCGGGAGGCGTCCGTACGTAGCAGCATTACCGATTTTAAGTCTTACCCTTATTAAACATATCTCTCTTTAATTTTCAGCTGCCGGCTATCGTATGGTGCCACCGAATGTGGCATGGGGCGTACCCGGTACTGTAGTGCCGGGCGTAACGGCCGCAGCCACCGCCGCCGCAGCAGCAAACGGTTCACTTGCCCCCCAGATGATGTATAGTGCTGCGATGCCGCAATACCAGACCCAATGAGCTGAAATGTGACGCCAGCTTCGACGCCGTCTGCAGCATCCGGGCAGTCGCCCCCAGCCCCAGCTGCCAGGTTACCTAGAATACAGATTGGTACCAGCCAAATCGGCCTCGGGGGACTGAGAGAATGTGCAGGATTGGAGGTTGCGGCTAAGGATCGTGTCACTATCACCTATTCTCAGCCCAAAAAAAAAACCAATCCCAAGGTCTAGGCGATACGCCGGCGACAACTGAAAAAAAACATCAACTGAAAAAAAGCTCTGGGCTATGGGCGGGTAGCTGTAACAATCTAATCCAATCTAAGTACGTGTTAAAATAATTTAATGATTTGTAATTTAAGCAGAGATGTAGGCGATAAAAACAAAAACAAAAAAAAGAAAACCCAGAAACAAAATAAACCGAAAAAGAAATTCAACAAAAAAAAATGCAAGCAAGCAAGAGAGCCTTGTGCTAAGAAACTAAGAAACGTGACAAAGCCAATTGTAATTGTAACTATGTGGAAATTGTGTCAACGAAAATCGGAAGGAAATTAGACGATGGGAGGATGAGATGAGGAGGAGGAGGAGGAGATCATATGTAGGATGAATGGAAGGAAAAGCAAGCCACAAGCAAGCCGAAAGCAAAAAAACAAGAGGAAACAAATCTAGCGCCTAAGAGAATGTAAATTCGAGCATACATATTGTGTATTTCCAATGTGGAAAATGAAATGCGATATAAATATGTAAAATGTAAAATAAAGAAACAAAAAAATATATAAAACAAGTGAAAAAAAACGAAGAAAAAGATTAATAAGGTGTATTTATTAGATACTTCTCTAGTAGCTATACTACATAGCTTTAGTTATATGACTTCCCATGAAAGATGCCTTTGATGATGTTTTTGTTTTGAAATCGATTTTTATTTAGCGTATTCTATAGATTTATATTTAGGTATTGTATTATATGCATTATGTGTGTTTGAATCAGTGTTTAATAACTATAGTCATTGAACTTAAATTCCGGGTGGTGGTGGGCGAGCTGCGCAGAAGCTGGTTCCAAAGTACCGCGATAAGCGACGGGCGTGTGTAAAGGTTTTATTTTTTATATGGGTGTATCTGACAACAGATCCGATAAGACCAGATCCATACGCAACTGCTAGGTACAACATTTTTGGAAGTGTTAACTAACAATCTACGGATAATTCGGAGACGATTGTATTTGTGGCATAGGTACATACATTGAAACAAAGGAACTAATAACTATTTAGAGACTATCGTTAGAGAGAGCTATAGTATATACCTCTAATAAAACTTAATTCTGATTCTGCGCTGGTAATCTGTTTGTGTAGGTGTTTAGGTATATATAGATTCATTCTTAGGACTAATCCTTATGCTAGTTTACATGTAGCTTTTGGATGGGCACTCAATGTACAACAAAAATAATGCTCTATTGTTTCAAGGATACTATGGAAGTAGTTGTGAACATTTTGGACTGCCTGCCGATTAAATCATAATATATGGAATGATTCAAAATAGTGTACTAGAAACTAAAAAACGGCCAGAGAATCTATTCTAGCAACTCCATGTGATGGTAAAGATATTGAAATTCTTAGGAATACACTAAGGTAAATGAGTATAACAGTAATGGAGCTGCCCGACACAGATGTAGCACCATTCGAGTATGGCGTTAAAACTTAAATCAACATGGAAAGTAGTAGACTAACACACAGAAATCGCATGAAAACATACAAAATATTACATAATTGGCAATTACAAAATCTAACAATGATTGTGAAACGTTAAGTCTACGCATTAAATGATAAATAGGATAACCACCGGTCACGTTATCAAAATGGGAAAAATTCACTGTCACTCACATCACTGCGCGGAGAGATGGAGCAGAGCAGGAGGATCCACTCTGGCAGAGAAAAACCGACTAGATTGTGATGTCACCATAGTCCTGCGACCACTTCTCGTACGAGTTGAGACTCTGTGGCGCCACCGACCGTCGGATACGCTTCAACGAGCTGTGAAAGTCGCTCTCCGTGATTGCCCGCATCGCACTAATGTCCAGGCACTTCACCTGCTCCACGTTCAATTCGCGGATCGGCTCAAGCGCGGCATCTTTGGCCAGGGCTGTCAGATCAGAGCCGGAATAGCCGTCAGTGGTCTTGGCAAGTCGGCGCAGTGCCTCCGTGTCGAGAGGACTTCCTTGCTTCTGCAGCAGCCGGCTAAGGAGCAGCTCACGGGTCTGCTCGTCGGGCAGTGACACATAGACGCGCTTGGTAAACCGACGCAGGGCGGCCTCGTCCAGCTCCTGCGGACGATTGGTGGCGGCCAGCACCACGATACGATCTCCGTCCGGATTCCCGGGCAGACCGTCAAACTCCACCAAAAACTCGGTCTTCAGGCGGCGCGATGCCTCGTGCTCATTACTACTCCGTTCCGAAAGCAGCGAATCCACCTCATCGATGAATATAATCGAGGGCTGCATGTGACGCGCCACCGCAAAGAGGGCTCTCACCAGCTTTTCGCCATCGCCCACATACTTGCTGGTCAGAGAAGCGGCTGAGATGTTCAGGAACGTGGCGCTACATTCGGTGGCCACAGCTCGAGCCAGCAAGGTCTTTCCGTTACCGGGTGGGCCGAACAACAATAAACCCTTTGCCGGAGCGCGTAATCCTTTAAAATAAACCATATAAGTTCTTATTCATTGTATGCTCTTTAGAACCATACCCGTAAAGAGTTCTGGACGCACGGAGGGCAGTATAACCATCTCTTGCAGGGCCTGCTTGGCCACTTCCTGCCCGGCAATGTCCGACCACTCTACCTTGGCTCCACCTTCGACGATCTCATCTAGGATGAGCTGCACCAGCTTCGGTTCCACACCTTTAACGCTGACTACTGGAGTACTGGCGCCGCTGCCGCTAGTACTCGGACCATTATTATTGATGGGAGTACGGGAACGCAACGGAGGCGTATTACGACCCGAGGACTGAGGAAGATTCAAGATTAGAGTGAATAGGTAGTGGAAAATACGGGGAACACTCACAAATTGGCGCCTAACGGCAGGAGGCGTGGCAGCAGTCTTGGCTGGCTGACGCTGGACAGCACCAACTGATGTTTTCGAGCCGAGATTGCGGGGCAGAGTCTGTGACTTGTTGGCCACAGCTAGGTTTCCGGGTCGTTTGGTTCCAACCGTCAGCTTACGGCCCGAAGCTTCAAAAGAAAAGATAGCCTTAATGAAAATGTAAAAAAAAACTAAAGCAATTTAAACTAATTGTTAGAATTTAGGAAAGCAAAATAAAAATCATTATAGAATCAAGTGCCCAGTGAGAGGTGATTGGGATCGACTGATCGCACTGCCGAGTGAGGATTTGGTTGAGTGCGTTTAGCTGGTGGCTTGGTAACTTACCCGCGCTCGCCGCCGCCTGGGCACTGGTCGTAGCTTTCGGTCCATAGCCACTGCTGCGCACCCGTGGCTTCAGTGGATCATTGGTCATCCCGGCCAGCATCGGCTCTCGCGACTTTGTCGTTTTTTGATCCGCCTGTGGGGGTAGCATCTTGTGCTGCTTCTCCTTCAAGGAGAGCCGCTGCATTCGTAAATCCTCCTCACGCAGAGCTGGGTATTCGATGAGCAGGATAATGGACAAACCGAGGAGGAAAACAAACAATGGAAGGGCAAAACGTGCAAAATAAAATAAACAAAAAAATAAAAATAAAAACAATGTAAACAAAAACCATTCCACTACGATTCAGGGATAAACAGGGGAGACGACCAAGCACTCACCAAGGAAATGGAGACGGTCTCGGGCCATCGAAAGATTTGTCTGCATTTTGTCATGCAGCCGCTGAGCTCGGTCCCACACATCCCCGCGCCCACTCCAGCAGTCGACAGCGATGCCATCCTCCAGCTCCTTAATGCCCTTTCTGTACAGCTCGATGGCCAGCTCCTTGTGACCTGAAAAAGGGGTAAAGAAGCACCGGTGTCAGACTGGCAAGTGTGCATCTCATCCCCACCGAATATGAGCGCCTCCCGGGTTATTGATTCTCATACTCGACAGACAACAAAAGCTGACTGGGCGATGACTCATAAAGCACTCCAGCTCGAAACGTACTCCCACCCCAACATACCTTCGTTCTCCTCGTCGATTTTCAAAGCCTTCGAGATGTACTCGAAGGCACGACGATGGTGATGCTTCTGCTTGGCCAGAAGGGGATCGCCCGGACCTGGCGAGTAGCCGCCTCCCGGTCGATTGGAAGCCATTTCCAGCGGCTGAATGGCACGATAGCGCTGTGTCTGGCTGGGCAGCTGCTGCTCTGGATTGCCACCCTCACTGAGCTCGAGCGGATAGCTGAGTGGCTGCGATTGGTGCTGCTGCTGCTGGTCCTTGGAGTTCTGGACGACTATCTCGATGTTGCAGTCGCGGCGGTGCGGACGGTAAATCACCTTTGTGCTCGCCCCGTACAAATAGCGAAAAATACAAAACAGCTGATATATCAGCGAGCGCAAAACGTTGAAGAGAAATATGATGGGAAACGATACGACGTAGAGATTCTGCTTGTGCACAGACGAGCCCCCGTACGGATGGCCGTGGTGGTGGTGGCCACTGCGTGGCGAGCACGAGGAGGTGGGGGTCAGGTCATCGGTGGTTGTGGTATCGTCGTCGCCATCCGGCGAACTACCCGGACTGGTACGGGTCCTGTTCGAGGACGCGACAGCTGCGGCGGCGGCGGAGGCAACGTTCGAGGCGCTCGAGGAACGGTGCGTGGATTGGCGACTCCCACTGGCAGAATTTCCGCCAGCAGCTGATCCCGATCCTGCGGAACCAGACTTAATGGGTGACTTTGTGCTGCTGCTGGCGCTGGAGGAGGACGACTGGTTTTTGGTGCGTACCATCGGTATTGATTCCGCGCTGTCTGCGCGTCCAGCACCCCGCTCCCCCGCTCACCAATCCACAGCTTGCACCGCGGACTCCCCTTTCGCAGGGAACTTTTCTCGCTCTCTTCAAAATAAACGGTCAACTGTGGCACGTGCTGCAATCGACGCGACATAAAACAAATAAACAAATCTATTAATTAATCTGCGCGGTTGTCGCAAGCTCTCATTTTTCTGCTATTCGATCCGGTTAATGATTTTTCTCGTCACTTTCTGATTCCTTTCAACTCTCTGACGACGAAATCGAAGCTAAGCTCTGGAGTCCGTAACAGTGCTGACCGATAACCGATAACACCGTCTAGCCGGAAAAGCTGATGTACAGTGGGATGAAAATATTTGAAAATTTTAAAATTTATAGCAAGTTTTAATTACAATAGTTTCTTGGACAAGTACTTCACTTTCATGTATAGGGAATTCGAGTACAAAACGCTGAAAAAAATTATTTCCGTAAAATTAAATTTAAAAAAAATCCAGACTGGCATCCCATCCCCGAACGGTACTGTAACACTATTTGACATTCCTGTCACACTGGTCACACCGCCGCCATCCCTCGGTTGTTTTTTTGCGTTTTTGCATAACAAAATCTAGGAAACTCGCCCGAATCGAACAAGGAGAGACACAACCCAGTTGCTGGAGGCAGGCACGCAGTCGGAATGGGTCAGTACACGGCGTCCCAACGCAAGAATGTGCGAATACTACTCGTGGGTGACGCCGGGGTGGGCAAGACGTCGCTGATTCTCTCGTTGGTCAGTGAGGAGTACCCGGAGGAGGTGCCGCCCCGGGCCGAGGAGATCACCATTCCGGCCAACGTTACTCCCGAGCAGGTGCCCACTAGCATTGTGGACTACTCGGCCCTGGAGCAGACGGACGAAGCCCTCGGGGTGGAGATTAATAAGGCCCATGTGGTCTGCATTGTGTACGCGGTGAACGACGACGACTCTCTGGACCGAATCACGTCCCACTGGCTGCCGTTGGTACGTGAAAAGTGCAATCTTTCGCTGGAGTCGGAAGCAGATGGCGCGGAGCGGGATGAGGAGGGCGAAGGCGGTGCCGGAGGCGAGAGGGAGCCTTTGCGCAAGCCAATCGTCCTTGTTGGCAATAAGATCGACATGATCGAGTACTCCACCATGGACAGTGTGTTGGCTATCATGGAGGACTATCCAGAGATCGAGAGTTGCGTCGAGTGCTCGGCAAAGACACTCCACAACATATCCGAGATGTTCTACTACGCCCAGAAGGCGGTACTGCACCCTACCTCGCCCCTCTATATGATGGAAGAGCAGGAGGTAAGTACCGAATTGTTTCAGTCGCAATCAGCTACCCATTTCAGATAGTAGATCTAATAATAGCCGATTACTTTGCGGCTAAAACAAAAGAGAATATTTGGTACTAAAACATGCTTGTTAACCTTTGACTTTAGCTGACGCCCGCCTGCAAGAAATCGCTGGTGCGAATCTTCAAAATCTGCGACATCGACGGGGACAATCTGCTGAATGACTACGAACTAAATCTGTTCCAGAGGCGCTGCTTCAACACGCCGCTACAGCCCCAGATCTTGGATGAAGTTAAAGCCGTGATACAAAAGAACGTGCCGGATGGTATCTACCAAGACGCGGTCACCTTGAAGGGGTTCCTCTTCCTGCACTGTCTGTTCATCCAGCGCGGAAGGAACGAGACCACCTGGGCAGTGCTGCGGCGATTTGGCTACAACGACCAATTGGACATGTGCCAGGAGTATCTGAGGCCCCCGTTGAAGATCCCGCCCGGCAGCAGCACAGAGCTTTCGCATCGCGGACAGCAATTCCTCATTGCCGTTTTCGAGCGCTACGATCGGGATGGAGACGGGGCTCTGTCCCCCGACGAGCACAAGATGCTATTTAGCACGTGCCCATCGTCACCATGGTCCTACTCGACCGATATTCGCAAGTCGTGCCCCATAAACGAGACCACCGGCTGGGTGACGTTGCATGGCTGGCTTTGTCGCTGGACACTCATGACGCTGATTGACGTGGTTAAGACCATGGAGTACCTGGCGTACCTCGGTTTCAACGTCCATGAAAACGACAGCCAGTTGGCAGCTATCCATGTCACCCGCGAACGTCGCATTGACTTGGCCAAACGGCAGAGCAGTCGTTCGGTCTACAAATGTCACGTGATCGGTCCGAAGGGTTCTGGAAAGACCGGTCTCTGTCGTGGGTTCTTGGTGGACGATATGAGCAAGCTCATCGGCAAGGAGTTCAAAACGAATGTGGTCCACTGCATCAACTCTGTGCAGGTGTATGGCCAAGAGAAGCACCTCATCTTGCGCGACATCGATGTGCGACATGCCCTTGATCCGCTGCAGCCGCAGGAAGTCAATTGCGATGTGGCGTGTCTGGTGTACGACTCCTCCAACCCGCGCTCCTTCGAGTATGTGGCTCGCATCTACATCAAGTATTACGCCGAGAGCAAGATACCCGTGATGATTGTGGGCACCAAGTGTGACATGGACGAGCGTCGGCAGGATTACCTCATGCAGCCGTCGGAGTTCTGCGAAAAGTACAAGCTACTGCCACCACACCTCTTCAGTCTGAAAACCAACAAGAAGGAACTGTACACAAAACTGGCCACCATGGCCGCCTTTCCGTGAGTACTGTTTTGGATTGGGCTTTAATCCTGGTGGGAAACTAACCGAGATGGTGAAATGGTGGCATAATAACATTTCACCATCGAGTAGTTTTAGAATTCATCTAACATTTGGGACACATTTTGGATTAATGGCTACTTAATTCTTATCTTCTCTTCCTTCCCCCTCCTTTGTGTTTTGGTTGGTGTCTGTATTTTCTGTGTTGTTTGATGTTTGTGCACGTCGATGGCTTCGTGGACCTGTGGACTTGGTGGACTGCAGGCGCTTCCAGGCCGCCTGGATCCTGTTCTACAAGCACAGGTTGGTACAGCTGTGGGAATCGGCGTAAGTGTTAACCATTCATACTGAACTCGTTACTAATGTCAGCTCTCTATTTGTCTCATCTGATGATGTGTCGTACAAGCTACAAGAGATGTACATACAGACTCCCCTCCGCTTATATGTGCTTGATTAACGTGTGGTGTGCGAGACTCCATTCTGTAGTTTATACTCTTTGTTTTTGCATCAAATCTTAGAACAATATTCTAACGATATACTAATTCTTGATTTTTGTTCAAACCTGCAGCCACCTGCGACAATTTGGCCTGATGACCGAGGACCCGAAGCTGTGGTGGAAGGCCGGATTGGGCGTTGCCGCTGCCACCATGGTGGGCTTCTTTGTGCTGAAGACAATCAGCGCCGCCGGGGCCCACTCCCGCTAAATACACACACACACACGTTAATGTTCAGCAAATTCATGTAACTTATTAATTACTATTTTGCTTGCTACTGTAAATCCAAAATTTATTGTTACCAAAAAAAAAAAAAAAAACGGAAGAAAACAATGAAAAGAGGGACATGCGCCAAGTTCTTAGCTCTCATTCCTGACATGTAAATACACTCCCAGGAATCGGGCATCCAGACAGGATTCAAAGACAGTCAAGTCAAGCACATTGTGTACGTTGCATTTCTATTCGTATATACCCTTTAACCTTAAAACCATGTACTCACTGATAAGTCATATAAGTTATCGTTACTATCAATACCAAGTAACCGAAACGAAACAACCAAAATTCGTGGATAGATAATAGTTTTGTGTATGTACACCTACTCGGTTCTATATAAATACATATATATACTACTAGTAGATATATCGCACTCTGTAAATACGCGCAAAGTATGAGCAATAAATCGATCTATGTATGTGGATTTACTTAAAGCGAACTATAGTGGATCAAAATGGTGTGTGTTTCCTTGGTTGGACAACTTAAGCTACCGCCCGATCTTAAATAGTCAATTTCTGTTTGTAAAAAGCTTTAATAATAATTTATCTTATCATACCATAACCAAGCCTAAATGGGGCTTTGGATTGTCGAGGTCTATATATATGTTTGTTCTATTTCTGTATTCCGTTGATAGCCGCCGCACTGGCCGCCGCCGGGGACATGCAGTTACCGTCCGGATATCGCTTCTGGAACTGAGTAATCAATTCGGGATCTACCAGTCGGATGCCATCCAACTGGTTACCCAGTGTTATCCAGTTGGGCTGGATATTGTGAGGCCGGCCGAAGAGCTCTATTTTCCGTGTACCCGGACTCAGGCGCTCGATAATGCCGTAGATCTCGTCCGGTTTGTGAGAGGTGGCCCGCACCTCCGCCACGATGACGTCGCAGTCGAGGCCGCGGTTCAGGTTTGTGGGATTTCCTTTCATGCCCACCAGACAGTGCTCTTTGCCGTGGTTCAGCCAGTGACCCGTCCGTCCGGTGCGGATAATGCGCTGCAATTGGTTCGTCTTCACCCAAATAAGTTCATCCACGCGCTCGTAGCCCCAAAGCTTGAGGCAATCCCGACCCAGCTCCATGGCTCGTCCAGTGACCCACAGGAAGATAAGGCCGTCGTCCTGGAGAGCTGGCACTCCCAAGGCTCGCATCTCATCGTCCGACATGGTGCCATAAGGCAGCTCCATGTGAATGTCCCACGGGGGATCAGCCATTACCACAGCAAACTTGCCCAGCACAGTCATATCCAGGAAGCGGAGGTCGCACTGGATCCACTGCGGTGGATAAAGTGTGCAACTGGAGTCCACGCTGCGCTTGAGGCTCAGCTTGGTCTTCACATCCGTTGGCTTGTTGGTGTTGATGTGCGGTAGGGTGTCCACTTCGTAGTGGACGTACTTGCAAGTGGCCATGTGAAAGCAGGTGTTCAGGAAACTGCAATCCCCTAAGGACTCGTCCGTGTGGGACTGGATAATCTTCTTGAAGTGCAGTTTCGTGCACTTGTCTGGTGTTTCGCCGCTGGAACTGTCACTGCCATCGGTAGACTCTTGGGACTCGACCTCACAGTTTAGCGATTCTGAGATGATCTCGCCATCCTCGGCGCCGGAGTCCGCGGGCTTCGTCTTGGTAGTGACAGCCTCTATAACTTTCTCATCCCTTCGCTCTTGTTTCTTTTTGGCAGCCATTTCGGCTGTCGCCTGCTGCGCTTTCAGGCATTCCACTTTGGTGCCGTGCGAGCAAAATTCCATCACCTGTGCCCCACCATGGGATTTGAACTTCTCTGCCACGGACCTCTCCTTGGCTGTGGGCTTGGTCAGCAGCTCCAGGATTTCTTCGCCCACCTGCTTGCTTTGCTTCTCGCGCGTAGATGGCATGGAGAGCAGCATCATAATGTCATCGGGAGCATCGAGGCTGGTCGACTCTTTGCGAGGAGCACTCGTATCCAGTTTTATGGTTTTCTCCTGGGGCTCCTCGTCTTCCTCAACCTCAGTTACGTCAGATGCTGATATTGGATATTAGGATTATTGAAAAGTAGATAATACTCCCAGTAGTATATCAACCTTTACGCTTGGCCTCCTCCTCCCGTTGCTGGCAGGTGTCATTGGTGTCTTCCAGGATCTCCTTTAGCTCCTTGGGCTGCACTGATATGATTTCACAGCCGGTCTCTGTGCCAATGGTGACATTCCGAATTACAATTGCGCCCTGGTTGGCCAGTTTTCCCAGTATAAAGTTGACCATTTCCAAGCTGCTCCCGGGTATCTTTTCCACCACCTGTGTGGACACGATAGGCAGGGCCAGCGAACATGAGCTGAGTGTCAGTAGAACCTCCTTCTGTATTTCAAGGTCGGCCTCCACTGGAAATTTAATGATGGAAAGGGTCAGAAGCTAGAATACTTGTTGCCCTGGTGGATTCTTACCCAGTTCCTTCTTGGGGTTGGCTTGATCCTCTTGGATGTCCGACAGGATCTCGATGCGCTCCTTCTTGCGCTTCTCCAGCTTTTCGCGGAGAGTATTCCGCTTCGACTTGAGCGATTTTATGTCCCAAGCATCTGCCATTTCTCAATTAAATTGCCACCGGCAGATTGTAAACAATTTATATTCAACTTTTTTTTTTATTTACAACGGTGCTGCCAGACCATCCAACTTTAATACCAATTTGAAATTTCAGCTGGCAGTATTATTTAGTATTTTTTTTATTCGAAAATGGCTAAAAAAGGCTGAATAAAGAGAGCCCCCACGACCTGGTCATGCTGAGTCGTCTATTTATTTTTCGGTTCCCCAATTAAATGTAAACTCGTAAATATTTAGTGAAACAATAAACAAGCAACAAATATTTTAGTCAAACAAAGTGTCCCGCGCTTCCTGCGCAAAACTTGTGATTGCTAGTGACCGACCAATCCGATTGATTTCCGAGAGAGGGCCGACTTAAGTGAGAGCTCCGCCAATTTCGTGGCGTTTCCTTTTTTGTTTATATGCGAAGGGGGGAGGCCAGAGCGAAATTTGCGAAAAAGCAGCAATCTGCGTGTGAGGGAGTGCGCACAGCATTTGCCAAATAGTGTTATTGTTGGAGCTGGGCTCCCGCGCCCCAGAGAGAGCCGGACAGCTAGAGAACCAGAGCGAGAGTGGTGGGGCCCCAACTTGGGGCCATTCGCAGGTCTACTTTGGAGCATGACGGTTGTTTCGCGGCAGCTCAAACGCGATCTACGTGCCCGGCTGCAGCACAAGCAGCAGCAGCAGCACCACCAGCACAAGCTTCCGATTCGGAGCTCGTAACCCGATTCCCAACATCCGAGACGAGCTGAGCAGAGCAGAGCCTAATCCGCAACAGATTCTGCGTTTACGTTTTCGGTGGCCCCCGCGCTTCTATATTGATTCCGTGCGAGTGAATTTTTGCAGTTGCAGCAGCAGCAGCAGCAACTCCCCGTTCTCTGTGTGATTCTCTGTGTATACTACTACACACACTTTTGAGGCGGTGGCACGCCCTTCCCCTGTATCGGTTCCTGTGCCAGAGCCCCAGTTGGCTGGAAAAAAAAAAATCCATTTTGGGAATCCAAAATTTGTGTGAAACTGTCGGGCATAGACATCGATTCCAAGTGTAAAAACAGAACAATGTTCAGTTCGAATTGAAATCCAAAACAGACGACTAGCAGACGACAACAACAACAAAAGAGCGACAACAACAACAGCAATCACAGAGGGAAACCACCATGAAGATGGTCGATAAGTCGTCCAAGTTGGTGGATAAGTTCGTCGCTGTAGGTAGTGCTGGTACTGCCAGCGGACCGCTCAACATGCCCGGTGGCGGCGGACCAGGCAGCGGAGGAGCCGGCTCGGGCTCTGGCGGCGGTGTGCCAGGTACGGCGGGACTATCATCCGGCGGAGGATTTGGCGGCCAGAAGCCAGTGCCCATGAAGCTGTTTGCCGCCTGGGAGGTGGATCGGACGCCGCCCAACTGCATCCCACGGTGAGTACGCTGCTGTACACTGTAAACAAAAATATTTTACATAATCGTGGCAGAGAGGCAGAGGAAGAGGCGGCGCTTGCTGCCAATTTGTTTTGGGTCTTGTTTTCGTTCTGCGGCTATTTATAGATGGCCAAAACAAGGGGTGAGGTGGTGGGGGATGAGTGGTAACTGTTATTTAACAGGCCTGGTTGAATAAGTTGAGTTATTTGGCTTATTAGTCAAGTCCCCTCCCATGTGAATCTTGACCCTTCTGGGTCAGAACCATAAAGATTGTAGAACTAGACGCTCTTGAACTTTCGAAACGAAATCGGGGGAAAAGTCAAAGTCGTGTAGATAGCAGCTCCAAGTCCAATTCCACGATAAGGAATACTTGCCCCAGACTGGACTTGAAACCATATCCCCCTGGAAAGTATCTATTACCCAGGAATGTGTTTAGATTGGAAGCCACCATCAGGTGGATATATTCATTCATAAACAAAAGCCGGTCATAAATAAAATATAATATTATAATGGCTGTTATACTTTTATGGCCATTTCGCAAATAAACTTGTTTGCTTGGCGGGCCTGACAGCTTGTCCCAGTAACCCCCCGGAATGGGGTCTTCAGATGCTGGTCTTTTGCGTTCTTCTGTCTTCTGGCTGATAAGAAGGCGCCTCTTGGAATGAGTCAGAATTTGTCCAAAAAAAACAGCTAGAGAGAGATTAGTCCATAATGGCGGGCGACTTTAAAAACAAAGACCTTGGCCAGAAAGCCGCAAGTATTTACTAAATATTTGATGGCCAAGGCCAGATGGGCTCCCTCTGGCATCTCCTCTGGCCGCGAAAGGTCATGAACCGCATCGACAACAGTCTCTGCCCTACAAGTATCTCTCAGATACATTTTGGGGTTTGGGTTTGGGTTTGAGTTTGCTTTGTTTGTTTATAATTATGCGCTCGCTTGGCTGGCTTATAATTAGAAACTGAAGCTAAAGCAAGCAAATTGGGAATTTTTCAGAGTCACCAACTTTGAACTCTTCTCCCAGAGAGGAGGAAAACTTTCACCAAGTCGGCCCCCTCCTCTTGGCTAATTAAAAATGTCATTTTTTACTAATTGCAGATGAAAGAAAATTTAATTTATACCCTCACTATACTCTCTTATGTCGTCACAGTTTGTCAACTCGCCAGGTAGTCTTCCTGCTTTATGGTATCTGGTTGAGCAAATAGTATCTTTATGTTGATTTTTATTTCATCCACGAATGCGTCACGTCCAGCATATCCCAGACTTCGATTAGGGCTCAGGCGGTGGCATTAGCGATAGCTTCCTTGCGGTTTCCCCAGCCATTCTCTGACATTTGCGAGCCGTACGTGACCCGTCTGGCATGACCCGACCCGACCCGGTCAGAGCAATCAAACTCAAATCAAATCACTGGCCTCAGATACACACTCAGATACTATAGTATCTATGTATCTATGTATCTATGGCAGTGTCAAAGTCAGGGTTGCAAATGCATCTAAAGTTCGAAGTAGAGCCAATTATCCCTGAAAGGAAAGTTTTGGCTTTTAGGCCGAAATGAATGGCTTTCCTGTTCATTTATTTTTATGAGAGAGAGATGGCCCGAAACTTTTCTTATATTAATTAAGAACAAAGGGACTAACTAGCATAACTAACTAGGACCATAAAAGGGCTGATATATCCCAGACAGGGTGATGGGTTTCTTATCTTCTATGGGTCTCATATATCATCGTATCTGTTGGCTTGGCTTATCTTTTTGGGAAAATAAATCATAAATTTTCATTATCTGCAGTCTGGTGAGTTCTTACCTGAATTTTGAATTGCATTTTTAAGATACTTGGATAATAAAAATGTACTTGGGATAGGTTCGCGGTTGGCTTCGATTTTATTTTTACAACAGGAAGTGTTTCATGTTCTTCCGAAGAAAGTGGAGCAGGTCTTCAGTTCTTTTCAGCTGGCCTACAGGTCTGATTGTATTTATAAATAATTTCCACAAAAATATCTGCTTGTTTTCCTCATCATCTCGGGCTGTAAATTATAAACTGCGCCAATGTCTTTTAGACCAGAAATCGAATCAAGTTGAACCGAAATAGCCAACATTTCGGTGACATATTTTTTGCAGATCCAATTTGTATCTTTCACTGGCCGCTGCCGCTGATCGTGCCAACTGCCCCCCGAGTATCTGAGTATCTGTATCTATAAGTAGCATTTATAAGCGAGAGACAAGCGACAGCAGTTGGTAGCGCGTGTTGCCCACCAAATGGTAGCCTTGAACTTTTTTTTTTTGTCATCTGTTCTGGGGGGTGGGAAGGGGAGTGCAGAGAACCCGAAACAATATCTAGAGCATCACATGTATGTATCTTTTGGGTGTGTATCTGCATGTTCACTGCCATTTGTATCTGCATCTGTATCTGTATCTGTATCTGTATCTGTGCTTGACAAATTGAATTCCATTCTTTTAAATGGCTATTATTTTATGGCTGGTGTTGAAATATTATGTCAACGGTATTCCAGGTCCTTTTAAGAGGTATAAGAGGTATATATATTCAAAATAATATTATAGTAGAAATATAAGAGCTTCCTTTCCTTAAAGCCTAAAATACCCAACCAATTGATACCCCAGGGTATGCCAATTTATGGTGATGGCTTTTCAAATTGATTCAGTGTGCACTTTTAATGGGATTTACTTTATTCTCTGCCCCTGGATTCTGCCATCTGCATCATCGTGATTGCCGGCTGTGCCTTTTTGGCCATGACCGAGTGATTCAGGCAGCAGGTACGGTGGATACCAGACTCTGTGTGGAGGCGGGTAGCCATGGCCATAAAGAACAACATAAAAGCCAGATAGCGAAAGGTGGTCAAGTCAGCTAGACCCAAATTTGAACCCAAAACCGAAACCTAAACCGAAACCCAAGCTCTCGAACCCAATCGATTTCCTGTTGCGTTCGCCGCTGACCCAAATACCTCTAAACGAAGTGCTTCTTGTTGCCCCCGCCCGGCCCCCTGGTTGCGGGAGAGACCTCTCCGGAGACCAAGAAGCCAAGCCTCGACCCACATTCTCTAGTGACTCGACCACGCCCCTGTGGCATCGCCTCTAAGCGCATTAGCCGCGATCTCCGCGTCCAGTGGCGTGCTAATGCCCACAGCTGGCAAATCTCTTCAGAGGGATGGGGTCTGGGACTGGCACTGAAAAAGTGCAGCAGGAAAGTCAATTAAATTCAATGTAATGCCGGCTTGTGGGTTGTGGCAAGTGGCAAGGGGGAGACTGAGGCAGCATTAGTCCGGGAATGGGTGACCAAGTCAGGTGGGGGATTAAAGCACCTCACCTAAAAGATAGATTATTTGTGGGACTTGTAGGAGACTATCTTTTAAGATATTTATCCCCCAAGTTGGTAGCTGTATCCGGTTCTGATCAGAAGCCCCAAAACCCAACAAAGACAGTCTGTTGTTTCTGCTGTCCAGATTTCCCGGCCATCGTTGACTCATCCACTGGTTGGCCGAACTGCTTCTGGCTGCACTGGATTTTCCATTTTGTTTGCCAGCCAAGTCCAAGTTCGAGACCGAGACGATGGTGGAGGCGTGGCGGTGGAGCCACCACGACATTGTCCAGGCATGTCAACGTCAAGTTTGTTGACTCGCCCGAGTGGAGTTGCAACAACAACCCAGGCAAGGCAAGGCAAGGCATCATGA